GCGTAGAATTTCTTCAACCAGTATTAGGGTATGCACATCGTAACTTAGTTTCGTCAATTTTCATAAATGATTTTCTTTTAATTTCAGAGTAGAATAAGTGAAAGTGGATCGAGTATTAATGAAGAAGATAACGAAGAAGAAAATAATGCACAAGAATATGGTTTCTATGAAGGTACATCTCGCGGTGCCGTAAAAGGAAATCTTTTAATCAACTACGTAAGATCTGGTCTCAGTAGTATTGGTATTTTTGTACTGCTTATTTTGTTCTTAGCTACCCAATCAATGGTGATGATGCATGATTTGTTCATTCCTATACTGTACGTATGAGTCTTTCAAATATTGCGCCTGTTATCAAGAAAATGTTACCATTCTAATTGCTATAAATTTAGTTATATTGCCTTTTAAAAACCATAACATCCAGAATTTGCGAGTTTTAATACAAATAATATCTAATATAAAGCACTTAATTTTATTTCAGAGTAAATGCCGAAGAATCTCGTAATTATTATCATTATTTACATGAAAAGAACAGTCTGCTGGCCGACAATGACTCATTTAGCCTAAACAAAAGCACAGCATATTATAAGCAAGAAGATATTTTACCAACAAATTACTACATGTACATTTATACCGCTATCATATTATCGATATTTATCATAACTATTATTCGTTCCTTTTCGTTTTATAACATGTGCTTAAAAGTGAGTCAACGCCTCCATGATCTCGTCTTTGGATCTCTTATTCGAGCAACAATGCAATTTTTCAATAAAAATCCAAGTGGTAGAATTCTGAATCGATTCTCTAAGGATCTTGGAGCTGTTGATGAAGTGTTGCCGAAAGCTTTACTTGACTCAACTCAGGCTATTTTGACAATAATCGGAGCCATAATTGTTACCTGTACTGTCAATGTTTATTTTTTGATACCGACCGTGATAGTCGGAGGACTTTTCCTCCTTATTAGAAAGGTGTATTTAAAGGCGAGTAAAAATATCAAAAGGTTGGAAGGAATAAGTACGTAAATAATTTATTTTACTGATTAATAATTATTTTTCTAATGCTAAGTAATATATAAATCGATAATTTATAGCTCGATCTCCTGTATTTACACACTTGAATGCTACGCTGAATGGAATCACAACGATAAGAGCCTACGAAGCAGAGACCATTCTCAAAAACGAATTCGATGAACTACAAGACACGCATACTTCCTCGTGGTACATGTTTATTTCGACCAGCGCAGCTTTTGGATTCACGTTGGATACATGCAGTCTCTTATTTTATGGGATAGTGACATTTAGTTTCCTTCTGTTCGAAACAAGTAGGTTATTTTTATTTTCAATTCGATCAATTAATTCATTATTAAATAAGGAACTAATTTTTTCATGAAATTGATATTCTAGGTTTTAGTAGTGGTGAAGTGGGTTTAGCTATAACTCAAATTATATCGCTAATGGGTATGCTTCAGTGGGGTATGCGTCAAAGTGCTGAAGTTACCAATCAGCTGATGTCAGTAGAACGAGTACTCGAATATTCTCAATTACCATGTGAGCCAAATCTTCGTGACAAAGGTACAGTAGCTAAGGCAAAAAAGAAAATTCAAAAAGTACAGGAGAAGGAAATGCAGCTAATAGAAACACCGAAAAATTGGCCAAATAAGGGTATAGTTGAATTCAAAAATATGTCTTTGAGTTATTTGGATAACGAACCACCAGTACTGAAAAACCTTACTTTGACAATTCAACAAAGTGAGAAGGTAAGTTTCCATAATAGCACTTCTCGTTATACTGTTGAAAATTATATTTTTTTAATAGATAGGAGTAGTTGGTAGAACAGGAGCTGGTAAATCATCCCTCATCTCAGCACTGTTTAGATTAGCTCCGATAGAGGGTGTCATTGATATTGATGGAATTGATACTGGTACTATTGCTTTGGAGGATTTAAGAAAAAAAATGTCAATTATTCCTCAAGATCCCATACTGTTTTCTGGTACCCTACGTCGTAATTTAGATCCTTTTAATGAATTTTCCGATGAACTTTTGTGGGAAGTTTTAGAAGAGGTATTTTGAACTATTCCTTGACTAAGGACAATCGTCATTTACCGTTGGATTCGTTATATTCCAAACATTATTTCAGGTTGAATTAAAAGATTCTGTTAAGCTTACCGGAAATGGCCTTGACCATCAAGTATTGGATAGAGGCTCAAATTACAGTACCGGTCAACGACAATTGATTTGTTTAGCTCGAGCTATACTTCGTAATAACCGAATCTTGATGCTGGACGAGGCAACGGCAAATGTTGATCCACAAACCGACGCTTTTATTCAGCGCACGATTCGTACGAAATTTGCATCATGCACGGTTCTTACTGTAGCCCATCGATTGAATACGATTATGGACAGTGACAAAGTTTTAGTTATGGATAAAGGATCTATCGCAGTAAATAACTTTGAATTGTAGCTCTTTACAAACAAAATTTTTGCTATGTTTTGCTTTCAATTATTTTATTTAATAGTTGATCATTTTATCTCACATCATTTTCATAAATGATTCCATGAATTATTCAACAGCAACTTTTCAATTCATTTTCAGGAATTTGATCATCCCCATATACTGCTAAAAAATGAACAAGGTCCATTTTCTCTGTTAGTTAAAGAAACGGGACAGGCTATGTATGAACAGCTCTACAAGATTGCCAGTGATGCTTATTTTGATAAACAAAGGATCACTAAATGATAAAAATAATAATAATGATACTTCTAAAGCTTTGGATGAGTTGCAATTCTTCTAAAATGAATCTCTAAATCCATTGCGTATTGATCTTAAAAATCTCAAATGTTAATTCCAATTTAATTTTATTTCCATAAACTTCTTCTTATAATTTTTTTATACAACAACGTATACGCTTTCTTATATTTTAAACTTTCTAATTCGATTAATTCTCATTTGGAAAATTAGAAAAAACATTATCATTTTATAGTCTCTTAATTAGCGCTACAATGAGAAGTACTTGAAAACAATGACAATTTTTCTTGATAATATTTATCGTTAATCATTTTATGCTTTACGAAGAATAATAAAAAAAACAATAATAAACAAATAATAAGAATAATAATCAAAGTATGTCATATTTATCAATTTTTCGACAAAAATCAATTTGGAATGAGTGAGTACCTCTGAAATAAATCAAATTCCCTCTATAAATTGCGCGGTTCCGGTACCAGAAATCGAACAGGAGCCTCTTGGATGAGAGCCAGGTATTCTAGCCACTAGACCATATCGGAAATCTATTAATTTTTCTTATATGATAACAACCATTATCGGGATAGAAAATTTCTGATAAGAAATATATGTATATATACATTTCTTTTTGCAATGAAAAATGATTTTTATTTTTATAATTTTAAAAAGGGTAACTGAGACACTGTAGATTCTTTTAAGAGAATCTACATTTATGTTTATCACTTGTATAAAAACTAATTATAATTTACTAAACTATAACCATAAACAGTTATGATTGTTCGATTACAATTTCATCTATTTATTGCCCTCCAAACAAATCAATAAAAAAAATTATAATATGAAGTATTCGTACTGCGGATCAAAATCGTCAACTGTAACTTACAGAGGTGCTCCATGACGCTTTAAAAACATAACTGCGTTCCAATATCTATTGAAGAAATAACATACTGGGTATAAGATTTAAACAGGACATCAGAACTGATGCTTGACTTTGGAATTGTAAAAAGTATAAACAAAATTTTTTGTAAGCATTCTCATACTCGGACTTAATATCAGACCACTCGCTAGTATTAATCATACTAGACTTACAAGTACTCAAACCAGTAAACAGCTATATAAAAACTGACTAGGAAAAATGCGTACTATTCATTGAAGAATGCCTAATACGCAACGTCCGATTTAAATCACTTACTCACATAGAAACAATTATTAAAAATTACAACTTACTCCTTACTGAAGTCATCGATGAATGCTTTATGACTATGGACAGTGGAAAAATCCAATAATACATTTCTAATAAAATAGCTTGAAAAATTAAATAAAACAGGATATTTAGAAAAAGGTTTCAGTTAATCAAATCGAGTCAAGACAAAACTGATATAAATAAAGCAATCAAAAATTAACAAAAAATGTATGAAGAAAAAATTGATAATTGCAGAAATAAACTTAATGAAACGAGTACAACAGAAGCAACGGATTATTCATTTTAGAAGAATATTCATGAAAGAATAACCACGGGATAAGAAGATGATAAACTATTTGAATACTTTGAAGAATTGAAATCCAAGACAGCACATCAATTGAAATGGTTAAAATAAAGGAAGTTTTACAAATAATTAATAACAAAAAAGTTCCTAGACTAGATAATATCACCAAAAAAATAACCAATAAGCTACCCTCGATAGCAATAAGATATAACAATTACTTTTAATGCATATAAATAAACTTGAAGTAATAAAACAACTCGTTAAATACTTAATTTGTTGTAAATCTTTATAATTAACGTACGTTATGCGTTTAAAATACTTATGAAAGCCATTTTGTTGAGCAATGTAAAATTAATAAGATCACAACAATTTAATAATAAATTTAACATTATTTTTAAATCTTGTATAATTCTTTTGTGTATAAATATGATTTGTAACATTTTATTGTAATATTATGTAATTATATTTTAATAAATAAATATTTTAGTATGAGTCAATCGTTTTTTTTGAGTTGTTCTCCTTTTACTTTTGAGTATCTAAAATATCTGAATCTCTACTTAATGATGATAAATAACCATGATTTACTTGGATCACAATAATTGGAAAAATAAATGAATAAAATTCGTGATAAGCTATCCGAATGAAATCTAAGGCTCAAGTAAAGAATACTGTGTACGAGAAATGATGACTCAGCATTACTTCCGAAGGAGTAGATAAACTCACCTCAGAGAAAAAACGATTCACAGTTACTCTGTTCCTCGAGTAGAGAGATTATTCGCGACATCACTGTATTGTTTCGAAATGAACAATTGACATACGGCACTGAATAAATATTATTTGTACAGTGCTCAGTAGTTCGTGGAAATGATTATTTTAGTGAACTTAGCCCATTTGATTGCAGAGAAGTGTGAAATCTTTGTTTCAAACTATAAGTAAACTATTGAAAGACGATACACAATCACAATTGTGTAACGATCGTATGTAGAATATTTTTCTACTGAAGTATATTGATTAATAACCGTGATAAATAGTAAAAAAAGAAACTGTTAACTATATTTTTCAAGATAGTAAATGATAATTGAACTACGTGTTTATAATTGTTCAATAGTGGAGACAAAAATATGTTGACTAGTGTTTTTAATAAATAGAAAAAAAATTTGATGGAATTAAACGATCCATTTTGACAATGGATAACAGAGAAGTGAGCAGTAACCCAAATCCTAGAGAAAAAGCTAATATTTTTTCCGTGTTAACGTGGACGTAAGTATTCGAGATATTGGGATAATAAAATTTAGTATTTGTTTTGATAAAGATGGTTGATTTTAAGACAACCATTGAGATTAAATAGATCTAATTTTCAAACCATTTCAAAATTGGTGCTGTGTTGAATTGCCCACGTTTTAAAGTTTATGGAAAATTTATAATGTATTAATTTTTACAAGTTTAATAAAAATACAATAAAACTATAGATATATTGGTCTTTATAGATGGACTCTTAGTTTATTTAAGAGAAGTTATATAAAAAATATCCACGTAGAAGATTTATATGATCCTATAGACAAAGATAGATCGAGTAAACTTGGTAATCGACTTGAAAGGTTAGTATTATGTTTAGTTTGAGCTTCGACACAAAAAAGAGATAATTAAAAGCGCACGCCTCACCGTGATTAAATTGTGATCTTTATAGGGTTAAACTCCTATATTATTTTTTGTACAGAAAATACCATATTATATACCGTACATAACTTATCTTCACAATTTATTGTTCTCAATTTATGAACTCTATAATCATTGATAGATAGTATCGCATGATACGTGTGAGATAAGAAGATATACCTATGATAATTTACAAGAAATGCTTTCGTATTCATTGATATAAAAAATTTGTTTCACAAAGTATTATCACGGATGTCAAAAATATATTATTGAAATCTGTGTCCTCTTATTTATGCATAATATTTCATGAAAATATTTTTATTTAATATAATTGTACGCTATATTAACCAATTAATTCATGTTTGATCTATTTGTACACCATATTATTTACTTTTTTAGACAATGGGATGCAGAAATAGAAAGAGCGAAGAAAAAAAAGCGAAGTCCAAGCTTCTTATGGGCGATTACTCGTACATTTTATTCCGAGATTTTGATGTTAGCTTGTATTCAAGTTTTCAGCGAATTAATTTTGAGGTTCATTATTTAAAATAATATCACATAGTCATGATACGTGTAATAAAATCCATTTAATAAATTATTTTTCGAATGTAATGATTTAAAAAATTTAATTCATTTCTAAACAGGATAAGTACGCCATTGCTTTTAGGTGCTCTACTTAAATATTTTAAACCAGAACCACAAACTACGTATGATGCGGCTCTCACTTACGCCGCAGGTATGGCTGCTTCTACTTTTATTAATGTTATATTAATCAATCAATCCATGTATTTCGCAAACCATACTGGTGGTCGGGTTAGAATAAGCGCTTGCTCCTTAATCTATAGAAAGGTAACTGATAATTGCTACGACTAATTAAAGAAAAGATTTCCAAAAAAATATTTTAAATAAATAAAAATATTAATACAATTTCTTTTTTTTTCTCTAGGCATTGCGTTTGAGTAAAACCGCTTTAGGCGAAACAGCTCCCGGTAAAATAGTAAATTTGGTGGCAAATGATGTCAGTAGATTTGAGCTTGTTTTCTTGTTCCTTAATCACATGTGGTCAGCTCCATTGTCATCTATTATTATAATAACACTGTTATACATGGAAATTGGATGGCCAGCTTTTGTTGGCATGATCATTGTGTTCTTAGTAGTACCATTACAAGGTAAAAAACCACATGAGAAACTTTTATTCAAGCAATACAAATATAAAAACTAGGAATAAAAAAAATTAACTAGTAATCATTGACCATTTTGAAGGATACTTGGGGAAACTATCTTCTAAGTACCGATTACAAACTGCATTAAAAACCGATGAACGTGTGCGGCTGATGGACGAAATAATTTCTGGTGTACAAGTGATCAAAATGTATGCCTGGGAGAAACCTTTTTATGCTTTGATCGAACTTGCAAGGCGTCTGGAATTGAAAGTTGTTAGAAAAAGTTCTTATATAAGAGGCATTTTCATGACCTTCTTCCTCTTCACCACGCGAATGGCCCTTTATGGAACTTTAATAACAATGATGGTTAGAGGCCAGGAACTTTCTGCTGACAAAGTGTTCGTCTATATGTCTTACTTCAATATGATGGCCATGACAATGTCATCAATGTTTGTACGTGGTATCGCCGAAATTGCCGAAAGCAAAGTTGCTGTCAAAAGGTTACAGAACTTCCTTATGTTTGAGGAGTATGAATCAGGTATTTCGAATAATGAAGTTGTTAATAGTAAGAGTATTGATATTGTTGAATTCAATAGCAATTTTAAGAATAAGATTAACAATAGTTCACTTAAAAATGATTCCAACCAATCCGAAGACAAACAAACTACATACATGTAAGCTTAAAAATTCTATCATAACCTTTATGATATTTTTTAAATTTATTTATTTGTGATATTTCTTTTATTGTACATTTTTTATTTCTATAGTAATAATGATAATCCAGATATTGGAAAGTGGGCTGTTAAAATAAATCACATAACAGCGAAATGGGATTTACATTCGACCGAGACTGTTCTTCAGAATATCGATCTAGAAGTAGGCAAAGGCAAATTATACATTATAATTGGGATGGTAGGTTCTGGTAAAAGTTCACTCATCTCTTTAATCCTGGGTGAACTGAAAATTATCCATGGGAGTGCAATTGTAGAAGGTAGTATCAGTTACGCTGATCAAGATGCTTGGATATTTGGCGCTAGCGTCAGACAAAATATCATTTTTGGCAAAATTTTTGATAGTCATAGATATCACAAAGTAGTGAAAGCTTGTGCTTTGCAAAAAGATTTTGACCAATTTCCTCATGGAGATCAAACTATTGTTGGTGAGCGTGGAAGTTCCTTGTCCGGGGGTCAGAAAGCTAGAATTAATTTGGCAAGGGCCGTTTACCGTCAAGCTGATATTTATTTGTTGGATGACCCATTAAGTGCGGTGAGTAATCAGATATTTATTCAAATACCAAAAAAAATCTAACAGTTACTTTTGTCAAACAGGTTGATGCTCACGTTGGCAAACATTTGTTCGAAGAATGTATAGAGAAATATTTATCCGGCAAAACACGTATCCTGGCTACTCATCAACTTCAATATATCAAAGGTGCTGATACAATTGTTCTATTGGATCAAGGAACAATTTACCAGTTCGACGACTATCATGCACTTTTGCGTGCTTATCCTGAATATCACACCTTGATCGCAGAAGAAAAGGACGAAAAACCTACTGAAGAAGTGACGACGCAACCTCATCTTGATCGCAAAATTTCATCTATAAGCACAAGGGTACATTAAATAACAAAATTCATATAATGGTAATTACGTAGCACTTTAACGTTATATTTTATTTATAGAGTATAACAACTGAAAGTACGATATCTGTCGATGATGAAAAAGACGAAAGGGGTAATGAAATACAGAACGATGGTTTCTACGAAAATACATCTCGTGGAACAGTGAAGGGCAACCTCCTGCTGAATTACATGAAGTCTGGAACAAATACTTTTGTTGCTCTGATAGTAATGCTACTTTTCATAGCTACTCAGTGTTGTGTCAGCTTATATGATTCATTCATTCCTATATTGTGAGTGAAACATTTAAAAATTGTACGCTCTGCTAGACACACTTCGTTTTATTCAGTAATATTATCTAATGTTATTATCGTGTTTTAGAGTAAACGCTGATGAATCCCGACGATACTACGAGCAAAAATGTGAAAACGAAAGCTCTATTACTTTTCTTAATATGACAGAACTCGATGATACCATAAACAATAGCTCAACGATTTACAAAGAAGAAAATATTCTACCACAAGATTATTACATGTACATCTATACCGGAATAGTTCTCTCAATTTTCCTCGTGGGTATCACACGTTCGTTTACATTCTATTCAGTCTGTCTCCGTGCTAGCCAACGTCTTCATGATCTTGCCTTCAATTCTTTAATTCGCGCCACAATGAGATTCTTTGACACTAATCCAAGCGGTAGGATTATCAATCGTTTCTCTAAAGATTTAGGTGCCATTGACGAGTTGTTACCCAAAGCCATACTCGACGCCACGCAGAGTATTTTAACTATATTTGGAGCTATTATAGTCACTTGTACTGTCAATATTTATTTCTTGATACCAGTTGCGGTAATTGCGATACTATTTTATTTTATTAGAAAAGTTTATCTAAAGACGAGTAAAAACGTGAAGAGACTCGAAGGAATGAGTAAGTAAATCTATACAATTTTCTGATATTTTACTTTGAACAATATGCAATGATATTTACAGCACGATCTCCTGTATTTACACATTTAAATGCCACTCTTAATGGAATCACAACGATAAGAGCTTATCAAGCGGAACAAATTCTTAAAGAAGAATTTGATAAATTACAAGATACACACACATCCTCGTGGTTTATGTTTGTTGCGACAAGCATTGCCTTTGGATTTTCTTTAGATGTATGCTCTTTCGTATTTACGTCTTTAGTGACTTTTAGTTTTCTTCTGTTAAAAGATAGTAAGTTCTTATTAACTTTATTTTCTAGCATTAATAAAAAAACTTCTTCATAATTTTTAGATTTTAGTGGTGGTGAAGTAGGTTTAGCAATAACTCAAGTTATGTCTTTGACGGGTTTACTTCAATGGGGTATGCGCCAAAGTGCTGAAGTTACAAATCAGCTAATGGCAGTTGAGCGAGTACTTGAATATTCGAACTTACCATCCGAGCCAAATCTTCGTAATAAGGGTATAATGTCAAAGAAAGAAAAAAATAAGCAGCAAAGGGCGATGAAATTGATTGAGCCATCAAAGGATTGGCCAGCTTATGGAAAAATAGATTTCAAAAGTGTTTTTATGCGTTACTCGGATGAAGATCCACCAGTTCTTAAGAATCTCACCATGGTGATCAACCCAAGTGATAAGGTATAATACAATAAGTTATTATTATCTTTATATCATAATTATTTGAAAATTGTATTTTAGGTAGGGGTAGTAGGTAGGACTGGAGCTGGAAAGTCGTCTCTTATTTCGGCATTGTTTAGATTGGCTAAGTTAGAAGGGGTTATAGAAATCGACGGCATCGATACTAATACTATAGCCTTGGAAGACTTAAGAAAACACATATCAATCATTCCGCAAGATCCTATCTTATTTTCTGGAACATTACGTCGTAATTTGGATCCGTTTACTGAATTTTCAGATGAAATTTTATGGAAAGTGTTAGAAGAGGTACTTAAATATTTCATTTTCAATATCTATTTTTTTAATTATAATTGAATGTATTTTTCTGTGACTGATTTAGGTTGAGTTGAAAGATGCTGTGAAATTAACCGGCAATGGTCTTGATCATCGAGTACTTGATAGAGGCTCAAATTACAGTACAGGTCAACGACAATTGATTTGCTTAGCACGAGCTATACTTCGTAATAACCGAATCTTGATGTTGGATGAAGCAACTGCGAACGTTGATCCTCATACTGATGCACTTATTCAACGCACCATCCGTACCAAATTTGCACCATGCACAGTTCTTACTGTTGCGCATCGACTGAATACGATTATGGATAGCGACAAAGTTCTTGTTATCGATAAAGGATGTCTTATGGTAAGTTTCTAGCTTTCTCATATTGTAACAACATATAAGATATCAAATTATAATTATAAGGACATAACTTAGAAAATCAGACGACCGCTAACTGAAAAACAGCACTTCAATAAATAATCTTTTCGGCAGCGCTTTTGGTTTCTTTTTTTCGCATTCAATCAATGACGGTAGTCCAGTACATAATAATTTTGCCGGTTCAAAAAATCATGTGAATCTAGCATTCTAGTCTCTATAATAAATTTACTTTTAATGCATTATCACAAAAGTCATTCATAAATAATTGTACTATTTAATCAAGAGTTTACAATTTTCAGGAATTTGATCATCCTCACACACTACTTCAAAATAAAGATGGTCCGTTCTTATCACTAGTAAAAGAAACTGGTCAGGCTATGTATGAGCAGCTTAGTAAAGTTGCATATGATTCTTACATGACTAAGCAAAATGAAGAAAATTGTACTTTTGTGACGAAGCTGTAAAAAACATACGTTTCAAGGAAAATTTGATTAACCAATAAAATGATCATCCAGTAGAGTAATTAGTTAGGATGCGGTTAATTTATATTATCACTGTGTAATTCATATTTTAATTTGAAGATCAACGAATAAAAATTCACAAAGAACTGTATTTAAATCGAGTCTCTTGTTTGTTTGTTGATGCGTGTGTTTTTTTTAAGGTGAATTATCAAAGATGACAATTATATCTTTGTTTATATTTCACTCGTTAATAATTTTATTTATTAAAGAACAAATACAAATTGAAAACGAACTAGTACTGTTTGATTACTTTTAAGCTTACTTTATAATACTTATATAGTATACAAAATATTTACAGTGCCGCTCACGCACTTTTACCCCCCCACGGGCAAAATCAGTCTAACTTCAAAGTTTTATATCTCTGGTAGAAATTAGCGTACAGAGACGCGCGTGGGTGCGTTTGAAAGGTCTTTCGGAGAGCATTCAAATGATATGACTCATGGTTGCCATCGATTGTTTTTTTAAATTTTGCAACAATTATGCAAAATTGAAAATTCTGAAATTTTTTTATTATTTTTGACAATTAGCCAATTTTGGAAAAAAAATCGTACGAAAATTTGAAGTACACCATTTTTTAGCTATTACCAGGCCCTATCTGAATCACTCATCAAAAATTTATTTTCGTCAAATATGACGCGCGCACGGGCATTTTTTCCTGAAAGTGACAGTTTTTTTCAACATTTTTTATCTCCGTCAAATTGTAACAATCGAAAAAAATTTATAGGAGAAAAAATGTTTGTTGTTTTACGTAGAATACTGCAATAATTTTTTTTTTGGTTTTTCGAAAAATTTTTTTTTTCGGTTTAAATTATTTTTCAAGGTCGAAAAAAAAAAAGATTTTTTTTTTATGTAATTTACGATACTTGTTATGTAGTATTATTGAATGGGTGGAAAAAAATTTTTTTTTGTGGTTTCTCATCTTTTTAGCGTACCGACTGTGAGAAAAAAAAATTGAAAAAAACCGAAAAAAAAAATTTTTCGAAAAACCAAAAAAAAAATTATTGCAGTATTCTACGTGAAAAAACAAACATTTTTTCTCCTATAAATTTTTTTCGATTGTTACAATTTGACGGAGATAAAAAATGTTGAAAAAAACTGTCACTTCCAGGAAAAAATGCCCGTGCGCGCGTCATATTTGACGAAAATAAATTTTTGATGAGTGATTCAGATAGGGCTTGGTAATAGCTAAAAAATGGTGTACTTCAAATTTTCGTACGATTTTTTTTCCAAAATTGGCTAATTGTCAAAAATAATAAAAAAATTTCAGAATTTTCAATTTTGCATAATTGTTGCAAAATTTAAAAAAACAATCGATGGCAACCGTGAGTCATATCATTTGAAAGCTCTACGAAAGACCTTCCAAACGCACCCACGCGCGTCTCTGTACGTTAATTTCTACCAGAGATATAAAACTTTGAAGTTAGACTGATTTTGCCCGTGGGGGGGTAAAAGTGCGTGAGCGGCACTGTATATTGAAAATTTTGTCCGTAATAATATTGTATTTTACATAAAATATTTTTATTTAAATACCATTTAGATTGCTTATATACGCTTATACTGAAATTCTTTATTTCAATCGTACTGTCTAGTTAGAACGAAAATAGTATGATAAATTGAATGAATACAGTTTATTTTTAAATTAACAAATTATTTACTGTTCCACAAAATATATATATGATTATTTGTATAAGTAGTCAACATGGAAATTTTCCTCGTTACAGGTAGCTTACTATGGAATAAAAAAATCATTGCGTATCATATGTAAAGTTATATTTAAATATAATTTAGATTGTTAGTTCTTTTGCAACTATATCGAACTACTTCAGATCGCTTGTTACGTCCAACCGCAATAAACCAGAAATTGCCGTCAATCGATGCCAATTGATAAAGCTAGTAAATGGAGTTTGTAGCCTAAGAAACCGCTAGAAAACAATTCAATTAAAATCATTTGAACTGTAGAGAAGTGCGCAGCGCTATGCGTAGGATTTAGTTGACAACACGGTTAGAACGATAGTGTAATGCACATGTAAACTTCTTATTTTCATTGTGATTAAATAAAAATTAAGTGTTAATAGAATTTTAGAATCTTCAAATAAATAAATGATAAAAAACTTTTATGTGTAGTTTTCGTTTTTAGTTTTACTTGTATGTATCTATAGAATTTAATAAAGTAGCTTTAGTGTACAATACCTATAAATTATAAATGATTTTCTAAATGAATGAAATTCAAAGAAAACTTACAGTTAATCAAATTTAATATTAAAAATTTTATATAAATTTGATCGTCAACTGACAGATTATATGTTCATTATATAGATAAGATACTGAATCTAAGATGCGCATATGAGCATAGTAAAGATAATGTTTTATTGCGAATGAGGAATAGTCGTGCGTTTGAAGACAATATGTGCCATAATCATGATTTTTACAAGAATATACAGAATGTTACAATGTGGTGACAGCATCCGGCTTAAATAATGGATAGCAGAAAGATTACTAGTAACCCTAATCCTCGAGAAAGGGCAAATTTTCTTTCTGTGTTAACGTGGGCGTGAGTATACTTTGAATTATATTTTTATAACATTTCAATCAATGCTTGTACTTTACGCTTATTATGAGAACTAATGTTTTAATAATTCTCCAATTTTCCGATTTTCAATAGGTGGACTATAAGATTGTTTAAAAAAGGTTACAGCAAGATTTTAGGAGTTGAAGATTTATATGACCCAATCAGTTCAGATAGGTCAAATGTGCTTGGTGATCGACTTGAAAAGTTAGTATTGTACTTTTATTTGAAAAGAAACTTCCAATTGCGTTGATATTTTATTCTCTAAAAGTAAAACAAAGTGTTGAAAAGTTACCAAAGTAACGTTATCTAAGATCTAAATTCATTCATCTGTGTACTCTTTGATGACGCAGAAAAACATCAAGGACAGACTCATATTCAGAACATAACAATTATAGAAAACTATTTTATGAATACATTTATGCATGTGAATTTGTCGTACATAGTAACAATTAACAATGTAGATTTTCATTTGTAGTTCTACATACGTATTCCCAACATCAATGAGAACGTAATAACTTTATAGAAATCAATAATTAAAAGTCCATAGATAAACTTAAAACATTTCATTTTGTCTTATTTAAAAAAATGTTTATCTCGTTAGACAATGGTTTGCAGAAGTGGAAAAAGCTAAGCAAAAGAAACGTCAACCAAATTTTCTACGTGCACTTTTTTGGACATTTTCTTTGGAATTTTTCACAGCAGGATGTTACGTAATTATAGTGGATTTCGTATTAAGGTAAAAATAAATCAAATAACTTTGCTTATGCAAAATATAAAGAGAAGTTAAATATTTGACATTATTAATTTATCGTATAAACAAAAGTTGTAATTTTTATTTTTAATTGGTCATTATAAATCAATGACAACAAATCTTATTTCAGACTAGGTACACCAAAACTTCTTGGTGCATTTCTAGAATACTTCAAGCCAGAATCAGAAAATAAGATAACTTATGAAATGGCAATATATTATGCTTTTGGTATCGTGATTGCAAATCTGTTACTTCTTATAGTAATGGCTCATAATTTTTTTCTTGGAGCTCATGTTGGTGCACAACTTAAAATTGGCATTTGTTCAGTAGTATACAGAAAGGTGATCATTGGTATCTTTTTTAAAAATGAAAAATCCTTATTTCACTAACTAATACAGTATTTTCAATAGGCCTTACGTTTGAGTAGCACAGCCTTGAGTGAAACAGCACCCGGTAAAATCGTGAATCTTGTAGCAAGCGATGTTAACAGATTCGGTTTAGTTTTTCTATTTTTACATTACATGTGGTCGGCTCCAGTTTCATCATTTATTATACTTGCATTTCTGTATTCAGAAATCGGGTGGTCAGCATTAGTTGGGTTTATTTTGATGTTTTTAGATGTACCGTTACAAAGTAAATATAATTGAATTCATAATTAATGAATATACTGTAACAACTAATTTAATTACTTTATGCTATTACAGGCTATATGGGAAAATTGTCTTCTAAATTCCGATTACAAACATCACTTAAAACTGATGAAAGAGTGCGTTTGATGGATGAAATAATTTCAGGTGTTCAAGTGATAAAAATGTATGCTTGGGAGAAACCATTCTGCGTTTTGATTGAACTTGCAAGGCGTTTGGAATTAAAAGTTGTTAGAAAAAGTGCCTATATCAAAGGTATCTTCATGACACTTTTTGTTTTCACAACGCGCATGGCTCTTTTTGGAACGTTGATAACCATGATGCTCAGAGGACAGGAACTCACAGCAGAGAAGGTTTTTGTGTACATGTCCTACTTTAATATGATGGCTATAACGATGTCTTATATGTTCGTACGTGGTATTAGTGAAATCTCTGAATGTAAAGTTGCCCTCAAAAGATTACAAAATTTTCTTATGTATGATGAATTTAAATTGGAAGATAAGTGTGGTAGTAATAATGAAATAAACAATAAAGATACCAAGAGCTCAGAACTAAGTTCAATTCAAAACTATTCCAGTGAAATAACCCATATACAGCATGGAAGAAAGTAAGTAGATTTCAATACGCCTGTCATTATAAAATGGTTTAAAGACATGTAAATTACTTAATCACTGAACTAGATCTGCTTTGAATACTAACGTCGATTATGTTGTTGAAAATAACTAATGAATAATTGAAAACACTTGCAGTAAAGATGAAAAATCTATTAGTGAAAATTGGTCAGTGAGATTGAAACACGTAACAGCTAAATGGAATTTGAACTCATCGGAAGCAATCCTTAACGACATTGACTTAGAAGTTGATAAAGGCAAACTGTTCATTGTGATTGGCACTGTAGGTGCCGGTAAGAGTTCATTAATAGCCTCAGTTCTAGGTGAACTAAAACTAACTCATGGCTATAAAATGATCAAGGGTCGCGTTAGTTACGCTGATCAAGATGCCTGGGTATTTGGTGCAAGTGTGAGACAAAACATTACTTTTGGGCAAGAATTTGACAAACAGAGATATCAGGAAGTTGTAAATGTCTGCGCTCTACAACAAGATCTCCAACAGTTACCACAAGGAGATCAAACAATCATTGGCGAAAGAGGAAGTTCTTTATCTGGAGGTCAGAAAGCCAGGATAAACTTGGCAAGAGCCGTTTATAGAGACGCAGAAATTTATTTGTTAGATGATCCACTTAGTGCAGTAATTGACACCACATATTATTATTGAATCATTTATCGACGCAAGTCAATAAAACATTGTCTTTTTCAGGTTGATGCACATGTCGGTAAACACTTATTTCAAGACTGTATCCAAAAATATTTAACCGGCAAGACGCGGATCCTGGTAACTCATCAACATCAGTATATTAAGGCAGCAGATGCTATCATTCTTTTAGATCAAGGAAAATTATACCAATTTGTTGACTTTAATGAACTTTTGAGTACTCGTCATGAATACACTACTTTGATTGCAGAGGATAAAGTTATAGATAGAACTGACGGAATAATCAACAGCTCTCATTTAGATCGTAGGCTCTCTTCGTCAAGTGGAAAGGTATTCTTAATACTAAACAATAGTTTTACAACCATATAACAATTAAAATATTTTTCAGAGCAGAGGAAGTGAAAGTAAAATAGAAGTAGTCAATCCAGAATCGAGTTGTGAAGAAAATAATACAAATAATGATATTTATGAAAACACATCACGAGGTACTGTCAAGGGTAATCTTTTGATAAATTATATAAAGTCTGGCGGACATAGCATCTTCGCACTATTGGTACCTTTTCTCTTCTTAGCGACTCAGTTTTGTGTTAGCTTGAACGACTGGTTCATTCCCGTACTGTACGTATAAGCAATAATTTTCAAAACATTTTTGCGGAAATTTTAATACGAAATGATCAACATTTTACTTTATATAAATGCATCCATTTTGGGTAACATGTATTAAATATTCAATTACGTATATTTTTCTAGTGTCAATGCAGAAGAATCACGTAAATATATGAATAAAACGAACACTGATAGTGAGAAAAATATACTTTCAAGAGATTACTATATGTACATCTACACAGCAATCGTCTTATCAATTTTGTTAATTGGTCTCACTCGTTCACTGACGTTTTACACTATTTGTTTACACTGCAGCCAGCGTCTTCATGATCTCGTATTTAGTGCTTTGATACGTGCACCTATGCGATTCTTCGATACTAATTCAAGCGGTAGAATTCTCAATAGATTTTCCAAGGACCTAGGATCTATTGATGAATTGTTGCCCTTAACGTTACTTGATGCAAGCCAATGTATAATGGTTATAACTGGAGCACTTATCGTTACTTGCACAGTGAATGTCCTGTTTTTAATTCCAATATTGTTTATTGGATCATTATTTTATTTTATAAGGAAAATTTATTTAAGAACCAGTAAAAACATGAAAAGAGTTGAAGGAATAAGTACGTTTAGTTGTTGAGATTGATTGATAAATTTCGATGATTTAATTTATGACATAATTCAAACATCACTTTTACAGCACGAGCTCCCATATTTACACACTTGAACGCCACACTCAATGGTATCGCAACGATAAGAGCTTATCAAGCGCAATCAATACTTGAAAAAGAATTCGATAGATTGCAAGATGCGCATATTTCTGCTTGGTATATGTTTAATTCAGCGAGTGTTGCTTTTGGCTTTTCCTTGGATTTCTTTTGTTTTATTTTCACGGGTTTAGTGGTCTTTAGTTTTCTTCTATTGAAAGATAGTGAGTAATTTCTTTAGCAAAAGCAACAGATAATACTTTTAATTTTTATTCGAAATATAGAAAGAACATTTTTCTTTGTGCAAAAAGTTTTTTGTATTCACTATCAGATTTCAGTGGTGGTACAGTGGGTTTGGCAATAACTCAAGTAATGTCATTAATGGGTTGGCTCCAGTGGGGAATACGTCAAAGTGCTGAAGTCGCCAACGAGTTAATGTCAGTTGAAAGAGTTATTGAGTATTCTCAGTTAGCACCGGAACCAAATCTTCGTGACAAAGGGTTAGTTACTAAAAATAAAAACAAGTATAAGAAAGGAAAGGAAAATGAAGTTCAGTTAACCGAACCACCAAAAGACTGGCCGAATAAGGGTCGAATTGAATTTAAAAATGTATATTTGCGTTATGTTGATAAAGATCCGCCGGTTCTGACAGATCTTACCTTAACAATAGAACCAAGTGAAAAGGTAAGGATTGTATTATCTACATTGTTATGATGTTAAGTTATTCAACTAGTACAGGTGGGAATAGTTGGAAGGACAGGAGCAGGAAAATCATCTCTTATATCAGCATTCTTCAGGTTAACAATAATAGAAGGTATTATTAAAATTGATGGAATTGATACTAACATCATAGCTCTTGAAGATCTCAGAAAACAAATCTCCATCATTCCTCAAAATCCTGTACTCTTTTCTGGAGCTTTACGTCGCAATTTGGATCCTTTCAATGAGTTTTCTGATGAGCATCTGTGGAAAATTTTAGAAGAGGTATTCGATGACCTTCAGAGTGAAATTCATTCATTCTCACAAACTAGCATGACGTTAATACTAGGTCGAGCTGAAGGAGACGGTACAATCGACCGGGAATGGTTTGGATCATCGAGTACAAGATCGAGGCTTGAATTACAGCACTGGGCAGCGACAATTGATTTGCTTAGCTCGAGCTATTCTTCGTGATAATCGAATATTAATGTTAGACGAGGCAACTGCCAACGTTGATCCGCAAACTGATGCTCTTATTCAACGCACCATCCGTACTAAATTCGCAGCATGTACAGTTTTAACTGTTGCTCATCGGCTGAACACCATTATGGATTGCGATAAGGTTCTAGTCATGGATAAAGGACTAGTTGTGGTAAGTATTTATTTTCTTCATTTTCTGCGGATTGTTTATTTATTTTTCAAATATACATTTTTAGACAAATGTAGTGAATATTCTTATATTTATAGTAAATATACTTTTCAGGAATTTGATCATCCATATTTACTGCTTAAAAATGAAAAAAGCTCGTTTTCATCGTTAGTTAAAGAAACTGGTCATGCCATGTATAAACAACTAAAACAAGTGGCACATGATGCTTACTTCGATAAGTATAGTAGTCGACTATAATGGTAAAAACAAATATTAGCAGAGTAAAATATTAAATTAAATGTTTATGTGTCTCTTAGCAACAAGTAACAATTATCATACTGCGATACCGTATGATTTCTTTAATTATTTTTCTACCTTTAAAAACTATTTTTTGTTTTTTATTAATCTAGATTATCATGTATGGATTTTCGTTATTATGAATCAAATAAAATTTTCTAAATATAATTTGTCTTATTAAATCTGATCGTTCTACTACGACTGACAATTTACCAACACTATCATCAGACTAATGATTTTTGTAGATTTTATCACCACCGGAGTAAGAACGTTATTGAGGCTTTGAAATGGTCAATGTAAATGATTATTTGTAATAAATTACATATCAATAGGCACAATCTGAAATCATAAAAAAATATAAACTGTTTTAGTTTTTCTCATATTTTATGTGAAATTTTTTTGAAATTATGTTCTCTTGTGACACGTGAGTGTGACTCGCTAACATTAATAGCATCTATCATTCTCAAATATTTCATTAAAATTGGTACTCTTTTAATATTCTTTAACAACTATTAATCAATCATTCTTTGTTTGATATGATGACAAAAATGTTATTTGCATTTTACGCAAAGAGTTTGCTATCATTCAAACTGATTGCTTAATTAATAGTTGCAAGAGAGATAGCGATATAGAATATGTTTAATTATAGCTGTGCTATTGTTTCATAACAATGCATTTAAAAGATATATCTCATAGGTTTAAAATCAATTTCAATAATTGATTGAGTGTTCTATTTTTGACTTCCATTAGTATGACAGTGTATGCAGTATAAAAATAAATCAATCTAATTGTATTACTGATCGGTGTAGCTTTTTGATACCTATCGTTTCCTAATTTAAAAATTTGAATAGTTTGGATTTGTTTCGATTTTTAACAAATTTTTATCACATCTTGAATAAAATTGGTGGAAAATTAATGTTAGGAAAATTATTATCATAATAATAAAACAGCCTTGCACGAAACTTCAGGCATGCAAGTTTCGTATTTATATGATAATTACATAACTTATCGTTGAGTATGTTCATATCGTAAAAATGTATTAATTAATATTATAATTTTGTGATTTCCACATAATAATTCATCAGCTATTATAAAATAAAATGGTTGAATCGAGATAATATGTAAACGATTTGAAGAGATAATATAGAAATATAAGAAGTACATTACTTTATTCTGGTAAAAAATAGCAATGATATGTAATTATATAATCTATCAGTGTTAATTTTCCGCGATGAAACAATACTATTTATATTTTACCATTATTATCTGAATTTGAATTTATTTAAGAGCTTATGATTGGAATCGAAAATCTGGGCACAAGGTGTGCCGGGGTTAGAAGTATAAATAAATTATATGATACGTACCTCACTGATAAGTCATCGGTAGATTAACAATTAAAACTACTAATCGAACGTATTTATGCAGCGCACGCAAAAGATTTTTACAATGACATTGGCAATGAACAAACAGTGCGAGTCGAACAGTGGGAAGTGCATACATATTCGAATTGACTTTGTATCTCAAATATATATCGTTGCCTTATGCGTAATGCAGTCATGAGGAAGACATTGTGACCAATCAGAAGTTATCGATGGATTTAGAGAGCAGAAGATTTGTGCAAGCTATTGAATTAGAGTCGATTAGGCTGTCGTATAGCTTGTATCATTTTCTACAGATCCGAATCTTTCAGGTAAAAATTATGACAAACTGCAGAAAAGTACTTTTAAATATTCATTGATTATATTATCTGTCATTGACTTAGAGAGAGAAAACGAGTGATTTCAATATGTGAAAAGTGAAATAAATCGATATTATTGTAATTGATGGTGTTACCGCTTTACTATTAAAATATCAAAAGATAAAGGTTTGTACATTCTTTTAATGATATTCGTTTAGAACAATATCAATATAAGTGTATATATTGTGCGCCGGCACGGAAGTAGATGCAATTATGAACAGTAGAAGAAGCAGCAGTAATCCGAACCCTAGAGATCGAGCTAATATTTTTTCTTTGTTAACATGGACGTAAGTGTTTGTCACATGTTCTATAGTTTTACTTTTTGATTTTGTTAGAAGTTATGTAGTTATAATATTAATATTTCAAACTCATTGACAACTTTTTATTTAAATTCGAACTAATTATGTATGATTGTTATTTTTAATTATGTATATACGAAAATACTTCAATATGAGCATAAAATTTTTTATCAATTTAACATTTGAACTTATATCAATCCATTGTTGAATAAATTTTTACCTTTTAATTTTATAGGTGGACTTTCCCTTTGTTTAAAACATGTTGGAGTAAGATTTTGGGAGTCGAAGATTTATATGATCCGGTCAATAAAGATCGATCATATTTACTGGGCGATCGATTAGAAAAGTTTGTATTAATTTAATTCAATACAATAGTTGCTTATAAATAATTTTTATGGACTTAATGATTTCTTTTTCTTGATACATAATACAAACCATTTTTTTCATGTCAAAAGGTAACTGATAGTTTGTTGTTTTTCAGACAATGGTTTACAGAACAGCAAAGAGCCAAAAGAAAAAAACGAAGTCCAAGTTTTTTGTGGGCAATAGCTCGAACTTTTGCTTCCGAAATTGTATTATTAGGTTTTATTCAAATAATCACCGAGTTAGTTTTACGGTACGTGTATTTAAGATTATTCTTAGCCTGTAATGTAGTAATCTAAGCATAAAAGTAAGAAAAAAAATGAACGATATCTACTTACAGAGTTTAGTATTTTCTTGTTGATATTCTACAAGCAATATTTAAGTAAGTACGGGTTTACTCAAAATTAAAATTCGTACGCTTTGTATGAAAAAGGAATTCAAAAGTCAAAAATTATCTCTTGAAATTTATAAATGAATAAATTTTGTAACTTCTATTTAATGAATTTAATAAGAAAGAATTTAGCTTAACTATATTTAACATGATAAATTAAAATTGTTGTCTTTTCCTTACAGATTAGGTACACCACTTCTCCTAGGTAGATTTTTACAATACTTCAAACCAGCATCTGATATGTCTTATGAAACTGCGATATGCTATGCTACTGGTATAGTTGCTTCAAATTTCATTACACTTACTTTAAAACAACAAACAATGTTCATCGGTTGTCACTTGGGTGGTCGAATAAGAATAGCCGCCTGCTCCGTCGTATATAGAAAGGTAAATAATACATAACTTATTATCATTTCAGTAAAGTAGAGGAAGTTCAATCCAATAAATTAATAGATATTTTTTTAATTGGATTTTTTTCGCAACAAATCGCGAAAAATGCTGAAATTCATGTTTTCTTAAAAATTTCTTGCACTCCCAGGCACTGCGCTTAAGCAAAATTGCGCTGGGTGAGACGGCACCAGGTAGCATCGTTAATTTAGTGGCCAGTGATGTCAACAGATTCGAAATTGTATTCTCGCTCTTTCATCATATATGGTCAGCTCCATTACTGGCCGTTATTATTATGATTTGGCTATATTCAGAAATTGGATGGTCAGCATTCATTGGAATGAGTATCATATTTCTTGTTGTACCATTTCAAGGTAGGGGTATATAACGAACATTTAATAGAACGACTTTATGATTTGCATTGTGTATTTAATGTTTACATTAGATTTCTGAATTTGCTATTTTTCTCTGATTTAGTACCTGATATAATATAACGTACATATTTAAAAACGATAGGTTATTTGGGAAAACTGTCTTCTAAATATCGATTGCAAACATCACTTAAAACTGACGAACGTGTGCGTTTGATGGATGAGATACTTTCCGGTGTTCGAATAATTAAGATGTACGCCTGGGAGAAACCATTCTGTGCCTTAATCGAAGTAGCACGTCGTCTTGAACTGAAAGTTGTTAAAAAAAGTTCTTATATTCGTGGTATCTATATGACTTTCTTCATCTTCACTACGCGTATGGCTCTTTACGTAACTTTAGTCACAATGTTGCTCAGAGGACAAGAACTTAATATGGAGAAGGTTTTTGTGTATATGTCCTACTTCAACTTGATATCTTTGACGTTATCCTCTATGTTTGTACGTTCCATGGCTGAGATAACCGAATGTAAAGTAGCTATCAATAGAATACAATATTTTTTAATGTACGACGAATTCCAGACAAACATTGTTGATAATGAAAACATATTGATACCTAAGCTAGAATTTGATGGTACCAACATCAGAGGTGATGTCAAAAAATATGTAAAAGTATCAAATGACAATTTGAATACAGCTGTAGAAGACGGGAACATAACAATTAGAAATTTAGATGAGTATAATAGCGTAATACATGATGATAGTTGGGCTATAAAACTAGAACACGTAACTGCTAAGTGGGATTTATACTTATCTCAGACTATCTTTGATGATGTTGACTTGAAAATCGAAAAAGGTAAATTATACATCATAATTGGAAAGGTGGCTGCTGGAAAGAGTTCGTTTATGTCTACAATTTTGGGAGAACTAGTACTTTCTCAAGGCAGTGTTGAAGTAAAAGGAAGTGTCAGCTTTGCGGATCAAGATTCATGGGTGTTTGGTGCTAGTGTCCGACAGAATATCCTTTTTGGGCAGGAATTCGACAGACGAAGATACACAAGAGTTGTTAAGGTATGCGCATTGCAAAAAGATTTTCAACAATTTCCGTATGGTGATAAAACTATCGTTGGCGAACGGGGAAATTCATTATCGGGGGGACAAAGAGCAAGAATTAATTTAGCGAGAGCAGTTTATCGACAAGCTGATATTTATCTTTTGGACGATCCTTTGAGTGCGGTAAGTTACTTAGTTAAAATTAGAAATTCCAGTTTATACTTGTATTGATTATATTTTTCTTTTATAGGTCGATGCTCATGTGGGAAAAAAATTATTTCAAGAATGTTTTCAAAAGTATTTATCTGGGAAAACACGTATATTGGCGACTCATCAGCTGCAGTATTTAAAGAGTGCCGACGCCATTCTTCTTTTAGATCGAGGAAAACTATATCAATATAGTAATTACCATGAGCTTTTACATGCCTATCCAGAATACAATTTTTTGATGACAGAAAGTAAAGACAAACAGGCTATCGAAGAAACCGATAGAATACGAAAAACATCTATAACGAGCACACGGGTGAATCAAGTAAAATTACTATCGCGAAAATTTATTCTTGCACATAATAAACAAATTATTTATTTATATAGGGGCGACGTATTAGCGATGTCAGACAAAAACAGTTTATAATCAGTGCACAAGTGCGTTATACAAAATAAAAATCATCAAACTCAGTTTTTTTTATATTTCTAATTAAGCATATTACTTACAGAATCGACGTATGAGTGAAATTAATCAAAAACTTTGTATATTCCCACAAGTAAGTTATACAGAATAGAAATTGTCAAAACTCAGTTTTACTTATATTTAATTAATTATTATTTCACCTATAGGATCAAAGTGTGAGTGAAACCAATCGAAAACTTTCTATAATCAGCATACAAGTGAGTTGAACCAAAATAAAATCAAGGAATCTTGGAACTTCATACTTTGAATCAATTATTTCATTTATAGAGTATAATTAGTGACAGTGGATTAGAATTTGATGAAGATGACGATGATGAATTTGGACAAGATATCTTCTTCGAAGATACGTCTCGTGCTACTGTGAAAGGTAGCCATTTTGGAAACTACATTAAGTCTGGTGCAAGTAACATAGTTGCTTTCTGGATTCTAATACTCTATTTAGGAACTCAAACCTTTGTTAGTTTGAATGATTATTTCATTCCTGTATTGTAAGTATTACACTAACTATCTTAATTTATAAATATCCGACTGAAAATTTTACAATGATTTGCTCAATCATATTATCAAGTAATAAATGATTTAAAAAATAATGTGAATGATAAGCAAATTGGCAAAGTTTTATAGAGTTATCGTGATAATATACCATTTTTTCATATTTACATAAAATATTTAAAAGTAAGAAAAGTTGTATGTTGTAGGGTTGACGCTGAAGAATACCGTAATCATTACAATAAATTATATGGAAATAGTAGTTTACTTATTACAAAAAACAATAGTGAGAAATTCCTTAAAGAGAAAGATATTTTATCAAGAGATTATTACATATACATCTATACAGCGTTAGTTACATCCATCTTTTTAGTGGGCATCACGCGTTCAATTGTATTCTACAATATGTGTCTACGCGCTAGTCAACATATTCACGATTTAGCTTTCGGTGCGCTCATTCGCGCGAAAATGAACTTCTTTAATACTAACTCGAGCGGTAGAATCCTCAATAGATTTTCCAAAGACTTGGGAGCCATTGATGAGTTACTTCCCAGAGCTATACTTGATTCCGTGCAAAGTATTCTTACGATGGTTGGGACTGTTACCGTTACCTGCACTGTGAACTTATGGTTCTTACTACCTGTACTTTTGATCGGAATTGTATTCTACTTTATTAGGTGGATTTATTTGAAGACGAGTAAAAAGATCAAAAGGCTTGAGGGAATGAGTAAGTATCCCTAAAACCATTTTTCTTTTCCACGTCATTATAATTATATGCGATGTTCTTCACAGCTCGATCTCCTATGTTTACTCATTTAAGTGCTACTCTTAATGGGATCACGACAATCAGAGCATACCAAGCAGAGAGTATGCTGAAAAAAGAATTTGACAAGTTACAAGACATGCATAGTTCTTCGTGGTACATGTTTATTGCAACTAGTATAGCATTTGGATTTTCTTTAGACGTATGCTGTTTCATATTTACGGGCGTTGTAACTTTCACCTTTCTTCTACTAAAAGAGCGTCAGTATCTTTTTCTGCCTCATTTATTTCGTCTACTTACAGCGATTCTCTATGTGAGAACTATTTGGATTAATACCCTTATGTAAGTTAAATAATTTTATAGATTTTACTGGTGGTACAGTTGGTTTGGCGATCACCCAAGTGATGTCACTTACGGGTCTACTACAGTGGGGTATAAGACAAAGTGCCGAAGTAACAAATCAGTTAATGTCAGTTGAGAGGGTACTTGAATACGCACAATTGACATGTGAATCAAATATTCGAAATAAAGGTAGTCTAAAAAGCAAGAAGACACAAAAAAGAGAACATCGAGAAGAAAACTTGCTAGTCGAACCACCTGAAAAGTGGCCAGCGATGGGTCAAGTTGAATTTAAGAATGTTTCTATGCGATACTTGGACGAAGATCCGCCTATCCTTAAAAATCTGACTCTAATTATTCGTCCAACTGAAAAAGTAACATGACTAAAAATAAGCCGGTAAACGAATGCTTTCTTTAGCTGTTTCTTTAAATTTTTATTGCTATGACAGGTAGGAGTCGTTGGTAGAACGGGGGCCGGAAAATCATCTCTCATCTCTGCGCTGTTTAGATTAGTGGAAATAGAAGGTGTCATTGAGATTGACGGTATTGATACAGGAACAATTGCTTTGGAAGATTTAAGAAAAAGTATATCGATTATACCACAAGATCCCGTATTATTTTCCGGAACGTTACGTCGGAACTTGGATCCGTTCAATGAATTATCAGATAAACGACTATACGAAGTCCTAGAAGAAGTAATCATGGACTCTTATCAATTCAAATTTTTCATTTTAAAAATATTTTAAATAATTTTTTTAAACATGACGTAGGTCGAGTTGAAACCAAGTGAGAATGGCCTTGATCATAAAGTGCTCGACAGAGGTTCAAATTACAGTACTGGTCAACGACAATTAATTTGCCTTGCTCGAGCAATACTGCGCAATAACCGAATATTGATGTTGGACGAGGCGACAGCAAACGTTGATCCGTACACTGATGCACTCATTCAGCGTACTATTCGTTCCAAATTTGCAGCGTGTACCGTGCTCACCGTTGCTCACCGGTTGAACACCATTATAGACAGTGACAAAGTTTTAATGCTGGATAAGGGACGACTAGTAGTAAGTATTTAGTATTATTTCAGTCCGCCTTATCCTGACGTCCGAAGTGTCACGTTAATTTTATTATTTTTAGGAGTACAACCATCCTTACCTTCTACTCCAAAACCAAAATAGCCCATTTTCATTATTGGTCAAAGAAACAGGACAAACCATGTATGAGCAACTTTTATATATAGCACGTGATTCTTACATATCCAAGTATGTTAATACGTAGAAAAGGAATTATTACAAGTGTTGTATTGCTATATTGCCTTGAAATGAAGTCCTATTGGAACTCAATAATGAATTGAGTTGATGGCCTTCTAATAATACAATGAGCTGATAGTGGAAATTATTTCTATTTTTATATTTTGTCATTGTTTACTATCTAACAATTTCTTTTTACTGTAATACTTCATCATATGAAAATAATAAAATTTACAATAGTTTATATACACCAACTGTGGTCCAACTGTATATATGAATTTAATATTTTGATTCTTACGTTAGTCTCTTCCGCAATCTTACGAAATTACTTTTTTAACAAAATTTATAAACATTTCAATAATTTAATGAGATATGTAACTTCGTCCAAGATTTTTTTTAATTACTTAGTTTCTGAGATAAGTTCATAACGAGATTACTGCAACAAATACATTTGCGTTCGCTACTGTTAGCAATTCTCTCTCCCCCCACTATACCGCTGGAAATTCGCTTTGGTCAGTTAGTCAGTCGCTGGTCGACATTGAGCAGAACACGTACGCTGCTTTGCTCAAATAAAATCGCGTAACAAGAAATTGTATGATTTTGGTATGTAAACAGCGAAATAATAAAAAAATTTGCCAATTGTCGTTGTTACCAGTTTAATTTAAACTTTTGAAATAAATGAGAAGACCAGTTGTTTGATTTCGTCCATACCAAAATGGAAAGTTTTAGAACATTTGACTTTATAGTTTAGCACATATATGTACAAAAAAATAACGTGCGGACAAAAAAATTACATGATACATACTTTACTGATCCGTCATCAATAGAAAAATAATAAAAATTGCAACTGGAATATAAATTAATTATGTACCGTTCGCACAGGAATTTAATATATTATTAATATTGAATTTAATTTTGAAAAAATAATCCATACTGCATGTCATAACTGCATACTTATTTGAATAAACTTTGTGGCTCAAATATACATATCTGTGATATGATGAGTAATATAGTTAGAGAGGAAACATTGTAAGCAATCAAATATTATTGAAAACTCAAGGAGCAAAAACGTAACATACTTTTGAATTATAAAGTCGTGCGTATCATTTGCTACATGCAGATTTGAATATTTACAGTAAAAGAAATACGACAGACAGAAAAAGTATGTAATGATTAACCATAAATGATGTAACGAGAGAAAAAATATATGATTGCAGTGTCTACAAATGAAATAAATCGAGAGAACGTATTTGATGGATTAGTTGCGCTTTATGTCTTGAATCGCATAAGAAATTGAATATTTTACGGTGTTTGCTCAATACGGAACGAAGCGAAGTGTAGATATTTTACAGCTGCGCAGTATCAAATTCAATTATGGACAATAGAAAAGGTAGCAGTAATCCGAACCCAAGAGACACTGCTAATATCTTTTCTGTTTTAACATGGGCGTGAGTGTTTCAGTAGTCTCTAAGCTTTCTACTTATCATTAGCAAAAGTATCGACGTATATTTTTTGTGCGCTGTCGATCTGTTCTTAGTCTTTTACCGATTTTTTTCAAATTTCTTTCAAAATTATAACAATAACACTGTATATATACTTTCGAACTGATTTGGATTTATTACTTCTATTTTAAATCATCTTTGAATGAATTTTAATTATGCTTAAAAATAATTCTAATACAGTGAAAAACTGAAATTGGCATACATAAACTTCATGACGTCTTATTGTTAGTATACCATGATCTATCCATCAAGAAATAATTAGATACAATGATTTTTACTTTTTCGTTTTATAGGTGGACTTTTCCTTTATTTAAAACTGGTTACAGAAAGATTTTAGACGTTGAAGATTTATATAACCCTCTGAAGAAAGATCGAGCGAATATATTGGGAGATAGATTAGAAAAGTCAGCATATATTTAATTTTACTATTATACCTATATCGTACAAAAAATTGTTGATCAACAGAAAATAATACTTAACGGTATCATTTAATTTTATCAATTCAGAGACTCAAAAAATTGAAATTAATTAAATTATTTTCGTGGGATTGCCAACAAAAGTGTAAATGTTGGTTAAAAAGCGGAGACACAAAACCTGCTAGTAGTACAGTACACTAATATCCGTACATTGCCCATTGAACTTTTTCATAAATAACATTGAATATTATTTCTGCTTTCATTATTTTCTGAATACTAAAAACAATCATTTTATATCTAATTTTTTATATCAAAAGACCGTATCCCGAAAAAATCTATTGTTATGGACAAGCGTATGTATACATTGCTATAATGTGTTAATTTGATGACATGTATTTTTGTTACTATTACTATCAGGTTTTTTGGTAGTAGTATATATTTATATGTAATTAATTATTTTCTAACGCGATTTTTCAGACAATGGTTTGCAGAACAGCAAAGAGCCAAAAGGAAAAAACGCGGCCCTAGCTTATTATGGGCCATTGGTCGAGCTTTCGCTCCCGAGATCTTTTTAATGGGTTGCATTCAAATTATCACTGAGTTAGTTTTGAGGTATAAAAATTATAAATTACTCTTATCTATAGTAGTTTACGCAAAAAATAAGAAAAAAAATTATTTTCTAAGAAAAACATTTTCTTTCAAATGTAATTCTATCACAATGAATTACTTGATTGATGTGCTGGATTTTTTATCGCACATAATAATATAAATTTAAATGGTTCTTTCAATAGATTAGGCACGCCACTTCTCTTGCGTGCGCTTTTACGATACTTCGAACCGGCCACAAACATGTCTTATGAGATTGCAATTTACTGGGCCACTAGTATGATAGCTGCCGAACTCGCTACAACTATATCGATAAATCAATCAATTTTCATGCGTTATCATCAAGGAGGACGTATTAGAATTGCAGTCTGCTCTGTTATTTATAGAAAGGTAATTATTTTTTTAATCCAACAATACCAGAACTTGCCCAGTGAACAATTAATTTTTTTCCAGGCATTGCGTTTAAGTAAAGCAGCATTAGGTGAGACAGCACCAGGCAAAATAGTTAATTTAGTAGCTAGTGATGTTACTAGATTTGAAACGATTTTCGTTTGCCTACATCATATGTGGTCTGCTCCATTATCGACCATTATAATTACGATTTTATTGTACATAGAAATTGGATGGTCAGCACTTATTGGAACAAGTATCGTATTTCTTATTGTTCCTATACAAGGTAAGTAAAAAATAATAAATGAGAGTGTCCATTAATCTGCGTTGCGGATGAACTGGTGACTTTAGACTTTGGAAACTCTCCGATGGTGTAAGATGAAGTATAATAAATGGAATTTCTAAAAAAACAAAAATAACTATAGGTTATTTAGGAAAACTATCTTCTAAATATCGATTGCAAACATCACTTAAAACTGACGAACGTATTCGTTTGATGGATGAAATTATTTCCGGTGTGCAAGTGATTAAGATGTACGCGTGGGAGAAACCATTTTGCACCTTAGTGGAACTTGCACGGCGCCTTGAGCTAAAAGTTATTAAGAAAAGTTCTTATATTCGAGGGATCTATATGACTTTTGTTCTCTTCAACGCGCGAATTGCTCTTTTTGGAGTTTTGATGACAATGTTATTTAGAGGACAAGAACTCACTGCACAAAGGGTATTTATGTACGTGTCCTACTTCAACTTGATATCCTTAACGATGTTCAATATATTCGTGCGTGGGATTTCTGAAATCGCCGAATGTAGAGTGGCTACCAATAGAATACAATACTTTCTAATGTACGAGGAATTCCAATTAAATAATGTTGATCGTAAAAACTTACCGAATTCTATATCCAAAATTCATAATACTATCATATGTACTGATAAAAATAAGACACCAGTGTCGAACAAGAGCTCAAATCAAAATATTATTATGAAAGCTAGCAATTTATCGTCTAATAACTTTGGCATAAAAAGTAATAGTGAGTAAGTACAATGAATTTTTATTAATTATTTGGAAAAAGGGAGGTGCAATGAATCTACACGGTGTCAACATTTTACAGAGGATCAAAGAATGTATTGCATGATGAAAATTGGTCGGTACAGTTAAAACATGTCACAACCAAGTGGGACCCATGTTCTGCGGAAACAATTTTAGATGATATTACAGTAGAAATGGCGAGAGGCAAATTTTACATTGTGATCGGCATGGTAGGTTCCGGGAAAAGCACGCTTATTTCTACGATTCTTGGTGAATTAAACATTATTAGAGGTACTGCTGAGGTAAAAGGTTCTGTCAGTTTTGCGGATCAGGATGCATGGGTCTTTGGTGCAAGCGTCAGGCAGAATATTATATTCGGACAAAAATTTGACCGACAGAGGTACATGAATGTAGTCAAAGTATGCGCATTGCAAAAAGATTTTCGACAATTCCCGAATGGCGATCAAACTATAGTTGGCGAACGAGGAAGTTCCTTGTCTGGAGGTCAAAAAGCTAGAATCAATCTGGCAAGAGCAGTATACCGACAGGCTGATATTTATCTTTTGGACGATCCTTTAAGTGCGGTACGTTGCCTACTGATAAAACCAATAGATTCTTCAACTCTTGTCTAAGTTGAATTCTTCGTGCAGGTAGACGCTCATGTAGGAAAACATTTATTTGAAGAGTGTCTTCAAAAGTACTTATCCGGAAAAACACGTTTATTGGCCACTCATCAGCTACAATACCTAAAGTATGCTGACACCATTCTTCTTTTAGATCAAAAAAAGCTATATCAATATGCCAACTACCATGAACTTTTACATGCCTATCCAAAATATAATACCTTAATCGCCGGGGAAGAAGAAAAAGTATCTACCACCGAATTCGGTCCCATTTTTGACAGTAAACGAAGATATTCTATAACCAGCATACGAGTTAATAGAATAAAATAATAATTGCCTGAAAGAGAACTTTCAGGTATTGAGGAATAATTTTGATAAATGTTTGGGAAAATATTCCTAATTAAATATACAAATATCTATATTTCAGAGATTTTGCCAGTAAGCCTTTTTTAATTTTGTAAGTAAAATTGAGTATAATGAGCGAATAACTATATTATTCTATATATTAACTATATTCATGAATAAACTGTCTAATTTTTGTTAAGAATATTTTTCCCAAATTCAATCAAAATTAATTTCCTGAAGTTTTATTGCAAGCCTCTTAATAAGTCTATTATTTAAATAAATTATTGTATGCACAGAGTCGAGTAAGTGAAAGCGGAAATGAAACTGATGGAGAAGGTATCGATGATAATGAAATTAAACAAGATAATTACTTTGAAGGCACATCCCGTGGTACTGTGACAGGGACTCTTTTTGGAAGTTATATAAAATCTGGTGCAAATAACATAGTTGCTTTACTGGTTATATTATTCTATTTAGCAACACAAGCGTGTGTCACCATGAACGATTATTTTATCTCTATCCTGTAAGTTTAATCAAAGTATTTCCCTTATTCAAAGTATGATAATATAAAGGATAATTAAGCTATCATCTTTGAAATGATAAAAATATCATAAAAAAATTCCATATGAAATTAAAAATTTGAATATGCAATTTATTCCAGTGTGAATGCAGAAGAAGCCCGTAATTATTACAATAAAATACACGAAAACGGCAATTTTTCTATTGTTATGAATCCAAGTAAAATATTCCTCAAAGAAAAGGATATTCTACCGAGAAATTACTACGTGTACATCTATACAGCCTTAGTTACCTCCATACTTTTGGTGGGAATCATACGTTCTTTTACATTCCTAACAACGTGCTTACGTGCCAGTCAACGTCTTCATGATCTAGCTTTTGCTGCTCTCATTCGTGCGACAATGAGGTTCTTCGATACTAATCCGAGCGGTCGAATTCTCAATCGCTTCTCCAAGGATTTAGGGACCATTGACGAGTCGTTACCCAAAGCCATACTCGATGCCACGCAGACTATTCTTGTTACATTAGGGGTTATTATCATTGCCTGCACTATAAACTACTGGTTTCTGTTACCTGTTTTTCTGATTGGACTTTTATTTTATCATATCAGAGGGATTTACTTGAAGACAAGTAAAGATATAAAAAGACTGGAAGGAATTAGTAAGCGTCAATACATGCAAGCTGCTTGATATCGACTTCAAATTTGATATAATAATTTGTGATACTCTTTACAGCGCGATCTCCCGTGTTTACTCACCTGAATGCTACACTCGATGGAATCACAACAATAAGGGCATATAAAGCAGAAAGTATTCTCAAAGAAGAATTCGATAAGTTGCAAGATACAAACAGTTCCTCGTGGTACCTGTTTATTGCAACTAGTGTAGCCTTTGGATTTTCTTTGGATGTATGCTGTTTTCTGTTTACGGGAATGGTAATCGTCAGCTTCCTTTTCTTGAAAGAGCGTCAGTATTTTTTATACTCTATTTGATTCTACATCGATCATGATTGCGCATATCCATTGTCTTTATAAATAGAACGGCTTTACTTAAACAAAAAGAATTTTTAGACTTTGCTGCAGGTGCGGTAGGCTTAGTGATAACTCAAGTTATGGCTCTTACGCGTCAGCTTCAATGGGGTATGAGACAAAGTGCTGAAGTTACAAATCAGTTGACGTCTGTTGAGAGAGTACTTGAATATTCACAATTACCATCTGAGCTAAACCTTCATGATAAAGGTATTTTAATAAAAAATCAATTGAAGAAAGAACAACAAGAGAAAATTTTGCTGATTGAGCCACCTCATAATTGGCCAATCAAGGGCAGAGTGGAATTTAAAAATGTCTCGATGCGTTACTCTAATGAAGATTCACCAGTTCTTAAAAATCTTACTTTTGCAATTGCTCCAAGTGAGAAGGTGTGATTTATTATTTATGCCATTATCTTTATTTGGTCTTCATTGTTTTACTTAAATTCTGCCCCGATCGCTAAATTTTAGATTGGAATCGTAGGTAGAACAGGAGCCGGAAAATCATCTATCATCTCTGCGCTGTTTAGATTAGTGGAAATAGAAGGAGTCATTGAGATTGATGGTATTGACATAGAAAAAATTGCTTTGGAAAATCTAAGAAAAAGTATATCGATCATCCCTCAAGATCCAGTACTCTTCTCCGGAACATTACGTCACAACTTGGATCCATTCAACGAGTTTCCGGATGAACTTTTATGGAAAGTTTTGGAAGAGGTAATCGAAATGTTGAATTTTACAAATATTAAAATAATGTTTGTTAATTACTGTTGATACATAGGTCGAGTTGAGGGACTCGGTGAAATTGACTGGCAATGGTCTCGATCATCGGGTACTCGACAGAGGTTCGAATTACAGTACTGGTCAGCGACAACTAATATGCTTAGCTCGTGCCATTCTCCGTAACAATAAAATTCTAATGCTGGATGAGGCAACTGCAAACGTTGATCCTCACACTGATGCACTCATTCAGCGAACTATTCGCATTAAATTTGCACCATGTACCGTCCTTACAGTAGCTCATCGATTGAACACTATCATGGATAGTGATAGGGTTCTAGTGATGGACAAAGGACGACTTGCCGTAAGTACGATGGTATTGCTTTAATTTTGTAACGTTACCATCATAATCAGCTGCAAAGTGATTTTCTGATATATTTTTATTAGGAATTCGACCATTCTCACGTCTTACTACAAAACGAAAGTGGACCGTTCTCATTATTGGTTCGAGAAACAGGCCATGTCGTACATCAGCAGCTTTGAAAGTTGCATATAAGTTTTAAAAATCTAAATATTGCGATAAGCAGCGATAATCAGTGATATAGCACCGTCTCACAGCGAAAGTTATACTATTCAGTTACCTTCAATTGCTAGCCGGTTTGTGGTGTATTGACCGTCAATCGAATTGACAATTTTAAAAACAATTAAAAGTGCATTGAAAATGATTTAAGATAAAAATTACGAAATTATCTACTTACATTGCATATGGATAATATGTAAATAACATAAATTAAAATCAATATTGTGCAAATTAAATAAATCTTAGTATTCATTTGCATCATATTTCGAAACTGTAGGTCGACTAAAGATTAATCCATTTTAATGTAAAATCTATAATCATTGAATTTCGAAAATCTACAATGCGATGTTATGAACGGCAAACTTTAAGATATTTCAAAGCCCATTAAGTAAATTAGGAAGTTTGATTTTTTTAAAGAAATATCGAGTATCTTAAGATCAACGCTGTTAAATAACAACGTTCGCGACTTATTCCGAATTGTCTGACTTAAATATTATGATTTTTTCTCAATCAAAATAATTGATTAAAGAATGATATCAGAATAATTATCAAAATAGAAAGTACTTTTTTAGTCTCGTCATTGGAATCAGTGGATATAATACAATCATAGACTTTACAATTCATGCTGGCACTTATGTGGAAGGCTAAAATAAATTACAATTCGCGGCAGTTGCGACAGGTCTATTCGTGCGCACGCGCGAGTTTGTAATATTTTCGTCGAACGAACAAGAAGCATGCGCTACCCGCCAGTCTGTTTCAGTGAGTACTTGCGATTAACGACTGCTTTAATAACCTTTCACAGCTTTTATTTTAACGTGTAACTTGCATAAAAGTGCAATTTAAAACAATTAAATTTTTTACGAAATGACTCTTGACATTGGCATCGTGCTTATTTTAGTATTTCGAACTTTTATTCAGCATTAAGGGCAGAGGTTAGGTGGCGTTTGTTGATACGAGTAATCTAGTATACAGTAAGTTGTTTATACTTGCCGCCGAACACCCCACTCCGCTGTTATGGATGTGATTTTCGCGCTTAGTAATATAAAATTTTACGTGCATAGTATCTCTTCGCTAATTTGTAACTTAATCGCAAAAGTATCTAGCCTCGTCAAAGATATATGGTTTTGTATTAGTGGAATAATTAAAAGTTATGTAAATAAATTCAGGGTAAAAAATCTCGGTATATGTAATTAACATTGGCCAGTGATAACTTCCTATAAGAATTTCAAACAACCGCTTTAATATAGACGAGACAGATAGCATTTTGTTTGAATTTTTCAACTTGGTCATAACAACGTTATGCAACTGAATATGTAGTTACAACGACTGTTACGAAGATAATTGACGGATTTTTATGACTCGTGGTTTTGTTATTAAAGAAAATTATTGAAAAAGTTAAGGTAGAATTAGAATTGGTTACAATTAATCTTGACAATGTGTGCAATTATATTTTTTATATCACCTCACATATTTTGTGGAATGTGATTAAAATGTTTTTATAAACGATGTATTACTATGCAATATATGTTTTTAAGTAAATATTCTAAGATTGCATATTGAACCAGTTCTAAAGTGATTATCATAGTCATATTGCATGATCGTGCTTTTTTTGTAATGTAAAGACATCACATTTTATTAGTAAGTAATACAGAATAACAAAATTTTATTAGGAATGTGTATGTGTGCGTGTGCGTGTGTGCGCGCGCGTGTGTGTGTGTGTTATTTACATAAAGTGACGGGACTTTTTCAAGTTTGGTTTCTTACTAAATTTCATAGCGAATTGATTGAACATACATGAATGATCTTTGAATATTTAATTTTCATTGAAAAATAATGTAAACTATTTTTTTTTTAATTTATTTATTGAGTAATAGTAACTTTTTATATAAATTTCTATTTAAAACGGATATTTATGATATAAAAGAAAATCTCCGTATGTGTCAAATTATTTTGTAATATTTAGCATTAATTATGGCTCATAGTGGGCATAAGATATAATTATATTCTAATAACTTTGAAATTTTTTAATAAGTATTAAATTACTTTTCAGTTATTAAAATTATACAAATATAATTGTTCAATAAAATAATATACACTTGGATTATGATTTATTCCATTACAAAAAAGGTTTTGCTTTAGGATCTATTATGATGATGAAATTGTATGAGAAATTTTCAAATTTATACACCTTCAGATGATACTATACACGTAAATGAGTGACGAAATCTTTTTCATTTTAAACTGAGATAAGTTTGTTTGATAATTAATGACTCATCTTTGCTGTACTCTTATAAAGACAGCGACTGTTATCAGCAATTGGATAGAATAGAATGAATTATGAAATGGTTCGTGTCATTTATTGACAAGAACTTCCAATCAAACGTATGCCGCACTAACGCATAAAAACATTTTGTAAAATGGATAACCGAGCAATCGTAATTAAGCCTAATCCTCGAGAAAAAGCCAATATTTTTTCTACTCTCACTTGGACGTAAGTATAAATTCACTGTTGATGCATATTTTCATCTTACTGTTTATATAATTTATTTATGATTTTTTCAGATGGACGTACGATATATTCAGAAAAGGTTTTAGTAAAATTTTAGGAATAGAGGATTTATACGATCCCGTGAGTACAGACACATCAACTGTACTTGGCGATCGTTTGGAAAAGTTAGTACCGTAAATAACAACTACGTAAAAACAAATTTTAACTTTCTAATGCCATAAAAACGTATAATTTTTTAGACAATGGTTCGCAGAACTAGAAAGAGCCAAAAGAAAAAAACGCCGTCCAAGCTTCCAATGGGCAATTTTCCGAACATTTGCACGCGAATATTTTATCCTTGGCCTTTATCAGATACTCAATGAATTCTTTTTGAGGTATATTGAAGCATTTTTCGTGCTCTGTAAAATCTACACTAGATATTGTGTACAATCTAAGAACATATAGCTACTTTAGATTCATAGTCATAGTGACTTTTAGATTTACTTCTTTAAAAATAAATGACGTGCTATGACGTGGAAATTTAATTATACCGAATTATTATGCCATATCAATTGTCACTCACGATTGAGATGATTGCAATTTTTATGTGGCGGGCTTTACATTTTTCGAAAATCTAAAGTTTATTTTCACGTGAATTACAATTTTTCATCTACAAAAAGGTTGGTCTGTATATGCATCGTGATGAAGCGTACGCAAAATATGAAAAGACTGCGTGAAAAGGTATTTTTTTTAACAAGATATTTTGATCACCTTGACGTCGAAACCTGTTGTATGGAAAATCATGGTCATCGCCTTGTTTTATAACTAGATATTCAGTACGATATAACAAATAACTACAACAAACACAAAAATACAAAAAAATTAATATTATGACCGTAAAGATAATTTTACGATTGTAAAAAATTCCGAATAAAATGTTTGTTTTTTCAATTAAATAATTATTAATATAGATCATAAATAATACTGTATCTAATAATTTTTTCTTTGTTATCCTCTAATTTCTTTACTTATCAGTCATCACTTATCCAAACGATCAAAAGTAATTTTTATGATTGACAAATAAAATAAATTCTGACCATAGGTTCGCCACGCCAATGCTCTTAGGTGCCTTATTACAATATTTCAAGCCAGAAACTAAAGTCACATATGAAATGGCATTATATTATGCCGGCGGCATCGCTCTTGTGAGCTTCATCAATGTGCTTTCTCAAAGTCAAACTATTTTTGGCGGATTCCATTTGGGAGGGCGTATCAGGATTGCAGTTTGCTCAGTTGTATATAGAAAGGTATATTTACCAAGTTTATTGGACATTTAATCACTCAACTAGAATAATGTAAGAACCTTTTTTTCTGTACAGGCTTTACGTTTGAGTAAAACCGCATTAGGCGAGACAGCGCCTGGAAAAATAGTCAATTTGGTAGCTAACGATGTTAATAGATTCGATCTCGTATCTGTTTTGATCCACCACATGTGGTCAGCGCCTTTAGCGGCAATTATTATTATGATACTATTGTACTTGGAAATTGGTTGGCCGGCGCTCGTTGGGATGTTCATTATATTTTTAGTTGTGCCGTCCCAAGGTAAATGCATTTGCACAATATTAAGTTTACATAAATAATTTATACTGCTCCATTTTGCACATTAAATTTTTCGCGGGAAGAAAATTTTGAATGGATTAAAAATATAAGAATATTAATATAAAGCTATATTGCATTTCGGTGTACACGCAGTCTTATTAGCGAAAATGTTTATTTACGGTTACAATAAATTAAGATAATTAAATTTAACATTCTAGGTTATTTGGGCAAGTTATCGTCAAAATTCCGACTGCAAACTGCGCTCAAAACAGACGAACGCGTACGATTGATGGACGAAATAATATCGGGTGTACAAGTTATCAAGATGTACGCCTGGGAGAAGCCATTCTGCGCCTTTGTGGAGCTTGCACGTCGTCTCGAACTCAGTGTCGTGAGAAAAAGCTCTTACTTACGTGGCATTTATATGACCTTCAACCTCTTCACCACGCGAGCTGCTTTGTTTGGTACTTTAATAACGATGATGCTCAGAGGTCAAGAACTTAATGCCGATAAAGTATTCGTTTACATGTCGTATTTCAACATGATGTCCATAACAATGACTAGTTATTTCGTGCGTGGAATCGCCGAGCTTGCCGAAAGCAGTGTTGCCGTCAACAGGTTGCAGCACTTTTTATTGTACGAGGAGTTTGAGACGGCTAATGTCAGCAATGAAAATTCAAAGTTGTCGAAGAAATCCAAATCGAAGTCCGATCTTCCGCATATTGCCGAAAATATCAGTCATGATGAAGAACAGTCGCGCGAACAGTCGAGGCAGAATACAGTTTTGCAAGCCAACGATCTACTGGAAAATTCAAGGAAAAACAAACGAAGCGGCAGTGTGAAGTAAGCAAAAACAATAATTATTTAAAAAAAAATTTCATATCGAAAACGTTATTATAGCAAACACGAATGTTCACGAAACGAAAATTGGGCGGTGAAATTAGACCACGTGACAGCCAAATGGGAGTTTTACTCCACCGAGACAACTCTTAAAGATATTACATTAGAAGTTGAAAAAGGCAAACTGTACATTGTGATTGGCATGGTAGGTTCCGGAAAAAGCTCGCTCATTTCTACAATCTTAGGCGAATTAAAACTGATTGATGGCAGTACGTCAGTGAAAGGACCTATAAGTTTCGCCGATCAAGACGCGTGGGTGTTCGGAGCAACTATTAGACAGAACATTATCTTTGGACAAAAGTACGATAGGCATAGATATCAGAAAGTGGTAAAAGTCTGTGCTCTTGAAAGTGATTTCCAACAATTTCCGGATGGAGATCAAACGGTCGTTGGCGAGCGAGGAAGTTCTTTGTCGGGTGGGCAACGTGCGAGAATTAATTTGGCTAGGGCTATTTATCGCCAGGCTGACATTTATCTTTTAGACGACCCGCTAAGTGCGGTAAGTTATCAAATGAAAATAAAATATATACCTTCAGACTCAACCATATATTTTTCTTGTTATTCAGGTCGATGCTCACGTGGGAAAACATTTGTTCGAAGACTGTATCCAAAAGTACTTATCCGGAAAAACTCGTATTTTAGCGACACATCAACTTCAGTATCTCGAAGGCGCAGATTCTATAATTCGATTAGACCAAGGGAAGTTTGAACAATTCGCCAGTCATCAGGAGCTTTTGCAAGCTTATCCTGAATACAATTCTATGATCGCTGAAGAAGAGTCTATGGAACCAATCACTGAAACTTCCATCGAGAAAGTCAATATGAAACGCAAATTCTCCACAGCTAGTACAAGAGTAAGTTGAGTGTAATTCATTTGTTTAGAATCTACGGATTCACCTGTGCGAAATTAATCGTTTAATTTACAGAGTCGAACAACCGACAATGGAACTGAAACCGACGGAAATGATCATGCTGATGAGAGCAATGCGCAACAATATGGACTCTTAGAGGATACATCTCGCGGTGTTGTTAAGGGTCATCTTTTAGTAAAATATATCAGATCGGGCACAAATAGCTTTGTAGCACTTTTGCTGCTATTCCTTTTTGTAGCTACTCAATTTTGCGTCAGTTTGTACGATTATTTCATTCCTATTCTGTAAGTGTGTAAGTTTTATCTGTCACTCTTAATTTGAATACACTAAAAAATTATAAATTTTACAGTCTCACTGCGGAAGAATCCCGTTTTCACTACAGCCGAGTACATGAGCTTGAAAATAATAGCTTCTATAGTAAAACTGAAGAACTAAACGAAAACATAAACTCAACATTTATTAAAGAAGAAGATATTCTAACACAACACACATACATGTACATCTACACAGCAATCTTATTATCGATCTTCCTTGTCGGCATCACGAGATCATTTGTGTTCTACACGATCTGCATACGTTGCAGTCAGCATCTTCATGACTACGCTTTTGGTGCTTTTATTCGCGCGACAATGAGGTTCTTTGATAAAAACCCAAGTGGACGAATACTTAATAGATTTTCCAAAGATTTGGGTGCGATTGATGAACTTTTGCCGAAAGCTATACTCGACGTTGGTCAACTTTATTTGATGATGTTCGGTTCGCTCGTGGTTACCAGTGTGGTAAATCCCTTGTTTTTGGTGCCGATATTGCTGATTGGTGTATTGTCATATATTTTGCAGAAGATTTATCTTAAAACTAGTATGGATATCAAAAGACTCGAGGGAACGAGTAAGTGAACAGCATTAATTTGATTGAAGTGAGTAAATGAAAAAAAAATTATTTTTTTTAGCTCGATCGCCTGTATTTACTCACTTGAATGCTACCCTGAACGGAATTACAACAATAAGAGCGTATCATTCGGAAAAGATTCTTAAAGCAGAATTCGATAGATTACAAGACACGCACACTTCCACGTGGTACATTTACATTGCTACAAGTACTGCTTTTGTATTTTCTTTGGAATTTTTCTGTTTCGTCTTTATCTCTTTGGTCACTTTTAGTTTTCTATTTCTAAAAGATAGTAAGTTATATTTTATAAACTCAAAAATGTTTCCAATAATATCTTGACACAAAATTTATTTAGCTTTCAGTGGTGGAGTTGTCGGTTTAGCAATAACTCAAGTAATGTCGATGACGATTTTACTTCAGTGGGGTCTGCGTCAAAGTGCTGAAATAACAAATCAATTGATGTCAGTCGAACGAGTGCTTGAATATTCTCAGTTACCGTCTGAGCCGAATTTATGCGACAGAGGGATCTTAGCAAAAAAGCAAAAAGTACAGCAAGTAGATAAGCAGTTCATTGAGCCACCAGTGGATTGGCCAGCTCATGGCAAAATTGAATTCAAAAACGTGTTTATGCGTTATTCTGATGATGATCCTCCGGTTCTTCAAAGTCTTACTTTGATAATTCAACCTAATGAAAAGGTATAGCCAGTCATATAAATCGATATCGTACATCGATAGACGTACATCTATAAATTTAACATTTGTTTTAGGTGGGAATCGTAGGTAGAACAGGAGCTGGTAAATCATCTCTCATCTCCGCCCTGTTTAGATTAGCTCCGATAGAGGGCATTATTGAAATTGATGGTATCGATACAAATACTATTGCTTTGGAAGATCTAAGAAAAAATATATCGATCATCCCTCAAGATCCGGTACTCTTCTCCGGAACATTACGTCGCAACTTGGATCCATTCAACGAGTTTCCGGATGAACTTTTATGGGAAGTTTTGGAAGAGGTAATGGAGATGTTGAATTCTACAAATATTAAAATAATGTTTGTTAATTACTATCGATATATAGGTCGAGTTGAAGGACTCGGTGAAATTGACCGGCAATGGTCTCGATAATCGGGTACTCAACAGAGGTTCGAATTACAGCACTGGTCAGCGACAACTGATATGCTTAGCTAGAGCCATTCTCCGTAACAATAGAATTCTAATGTTGGATGAGGCAACCGCTAACGTTGATCCACACACCGATGCACTTATTCAGCGAACTATTCGTTCTAAATTTGCGAGGTGTACTGTGCTCACTGTTGCGCATCGATTGAACACTATTGTGGATAGTAATAAAGTGTTAGTTATGGATAAAGGTTGTTCAGTGGTAAGTTTTAGTATTGACTCAAACAACAAAATTATATATTCGATATGGTCTTGTTTTTTACTAGAATGCAGTCTAATTTTTTTAATAAAAACGTTAGATATTTTTTATATCGATTGAGATTTTTTAATTTTGAAAAAGATTACAAAGATTTCTTCAAGGATAAAGTCTTTGCAGTTTGTTTTTTAATCTTCACATTTTCGCATTGCGCTAGTAAAAGAGAATGAATTGCAGAAGCTAGATTCAAACCTACGATTTCCAGCTATAAAATGTTTATGTAATGAGTCACGGAAAGATATTATGAACTATCAAGCTTTGTGACAATGCGGAATTTTTTTTAATTGTTCTTATATTTTTTAAAATAATAATTTTTTTTCAGGAATTTGATCATCCTCACAAACTACTTCAAAATTCAAATGGTTCATTCACATTGTTGGTGAAAGAAACTGGTCAAGCTATGTATGAACAGCTTAAAAAAACAGCTCGTGATGCTTACTTTGCTGAAAACAGCCATGCTTAAGGGGGTGTAATGACAATTCTAATCAAAGTTTTAATATAATATAAAAAAAATTAGTTTGCTGAATGATATTCGACATTTCTAAATAGTGTAAAGAATACAAAATTGTATAATTGTATTATAACTAATCTATCTTTATCAGGATTTTATATGATGATTTCCATTTTTTATCAATTAAATAACACGCTGACAGGTAATCGTAACAGAAATTTAATAATAATAATCATCATAATTTGTATTGAACTTATATTCATGAACAGTTTACTACAATCAAGTTACTATTTTACCAGATTTTAGTAAAATGTATTTGGAAAATATGCCGTTAATAAATAGTATTAAAAAAATCAAAAATCATCATGTTAAATGATGCTGGAATAATTAGTACTAGATTACCATCGGTGAAATGGAAAATATCGTTTTTAAATATAACTGGATAAGAGAAAAAGTGAATAAAATAAATAATTAAATTTTTAGTTTTTTACATCGTAAAGTGCGAGATATGCAAGAAACGGAAACTAATTATCAAAGTATTACATTTGAAGAATGTTCACGGATGCTTTCAATAAGGAAATAAGAGAACATTCAATGTTGAAATGTATTACTAACACCCCCCCCCCCCCTCCAGCCCCTATACCTTTCAGAAAAGTTAAACTTCTGAAGGGTAAACAAATCTAACTTTTCTCCATTTTACTGTATAGTGTTATGGCCGGCCAGCAGTCGTCGTGGCACTTCGTGCCTACTCGCCTACAGCTCTCCAGTATCCACCGCGACCCCTGATAAAACCACAGCGAATATTGATAACAGCTGTTGTATTACTCAGTTTTCTCAATTTGAATATTTTGAATTATTATTGAAGGTATATTATATAAATAATAAAAATAATTTAAGTTTTAATCATGTCAAAAAGAGTATTATAAAAAATATAACTTTTTAAGGGGTAACATCTATGTAGAGACGTGTTTTTGAAGGACATTTTCGGAATTTTTTTTTAGAAAGATATAATATTTAATGCAAAATCTAACAAGTTGTCTTTATTATACATGGTTTGAACTACACAAATTAATTTTTACAATGGATTTAAAAACAAAATGGCGCCTGTATAGAGCTATAAGTAGAGCAGCAATTTTTAGAGAGGCCTCCACTACCACCAATTTTTTATCGTCGCTATTGATCTGAAGCACATAAATTAAATTTTTATTTATTGTATGGACTAAAAACAAGAGAACTACGTAGGGGTTTTCAAAAATATCAAATTTTAAAATTTTTGCAAAAGTTCGAAAAAAAAATTTTTTTTTTCGTTAAAAAAAGCATGAAAAATCAGCCGTAAAATAAAAAGTTTTCAACTTTTCATCAAAATCCTACGCTTTTCTCTAGAAAATGCTGTTTTAAAACTTGTACTGAAATTTGAAATCGATCGGATCAAAATTGACTGAATAATTATGGTGGTAAAGTGAAAAAAAGTCGTTTCGAGAAAAACGCTTTCAAAGTTAGAAAACGGGAAAAATCGAACATAGTTTTAAAAATATTCACTATAAACGGTTTTCACCTTCATTCAGCGATGCCAGCACCATAAAGTTGACCTTCCAAGTTGGTATGTCCTTGCTGTTCTTCTCTTCTTTTCGAGTAGAAACAGTCGTAAAGGGATATCTCAGGTAGGTAAGCATTTCGGAGCGAAGGGCGCACCGCGGGACCGCGACCGCGCAGCGGGATACCTAGCGTATAATGCTCACAACTCAGAGAAAAATTTTTTTTTCGTAAAATCACTTTGGGACGTTCTTTTTAACATGTTTCTCTACTATATTAGCTTAAAAAAAAAAATTGAATTTTTGAAATTTCTACATAGATGTTACCCCTTAACGTAAACAGATATCGCTAAAGATTATTGCGACATACATAATGGAAAATGTTACTTCCTATTTTTTTATATTATAGATAAAAAGCGAATTAATTAGCTCAAATGTGATATTTTAGAATTTGGAGCTTGTAGCAATGCTGATCAATCGAGACGTTCTTACTTAAACGTTGTAAGAAGAGAATTTTCAAGTTATGTCTTACAAAAATTATTGTTTTTGATCTACTGGCGACTTTTATTGTTTACTTGTGGTGAGCTATTATTGTATAACTACAGAGAACGTATTTTTTAGTTTGTGCCAGATTGTTCTATGAAATGAAACATACTAGAATAAAATTCAAATAAGACTATTTCAAATTTTGTCAGGACTTCACTAATAATAATAAAAACTTTTTATTTAGCCTATGAGAAACAATTCTTACAATATACACCACAAAATATTAGTTATTGATAGCACATATTTTTGTACATTCCAATACTTTTGGTCAAAAGCAAAAAAGTTATTTAAAATTGAACATTTTTTTTATTACAGATATTATTGAAATGATTACAGATTTTACAAAAACAATGTTGCATGGTATACTGAATTGACGCATGTAACAATATAATTAAAATGTGTAGATCAATTTCCAGTCACCTTACATACATAATATTGTTATTATTAATCACAATGAATTTGGCAAAAAAAATATATTAAGCCCTTTGTAGCCCTTTGTAGTAATTAAACAATAATCCTGCAATTTCCTTGATGTAAAATGACTGTATAACTAAATTAACTATTAAAACAAGCAGGCTATATGTTTAAGAAGAATGGAATACGCAATATGATTAATTTTTTCGGTCATTTGGATTCATAAAATTATTATTACATCCGTCATCAGACACTGAAAAGATTTTTAGTCTTCTCTTTAGTCATCACATATTATTTTGATTATATACAAAATGAAGTGCAAAATGTCTGCCTTCCATAAACAAATTAACATATTTTTTATTGTTACTTCTTACATTAGTTATTACATTGTTGTATAAAATTGTATTACATGCTGTCATATTATACTTATAATGTGCCAAAAGAAATTGGGATAAATTAAAATCGATTGTTTCCATATTATAATAAATGGAATTTTTACAGTAAATGTTGATTGTTTCTTAAGAATTTCAATTTTAAAAAAGTCTTAATATTACGCGTAACTCAGAATTTTTTTGTAATGTAATTACAAAAAAATTGTACGTGGGTGAATTTAAATAAGTAGGTATTATTATTTGCAATTAATGAGTGCAAAATTTATTTTGTGAAAAATAAATAAAATACACTAAAAAATTTCACACTTCCTCATGACTCAGACTTTTTTCCACATAATTATAACTAGAAGATTGTTAAAAAAAAAAAAGAAAAAAAAACAACTAACAAAATAATCAAAATATAAAAAAAAATACATTTTATTTTTGTAATTTACAATTCTGTACATACATTGAATTTATTTTTACAATTTTGAGTACTAAAAAGAATGGTATTCATCCAAACTGAAGTAATTAACTTTATTGAACTTGAAACTCTTATTCAGAAATTAATTAGTTATCAAATTTTTATCTTGAAATTAATGAACATATTTATCAATAAAAATAAAAATAAACATTATTACAATATACCTACAAATTACAATCGAAAAGCTTTACAAAATATGGTTATAAGCTTTTATGTGATGATTATCATTTTGGAAATAATGCTTCTTTTAATGGTTTTCGTTTTTTTAAGTGTTTGAGATACTTTTATTAAGTCCAAATCAATTCTTCAACATAATTATTATTTCCATAATTAAATTACAAATTAGAAATGATGTGGAAGAACTTTAATCCATCTTTCACTAGCAAACTTTTCAAACCGCTTATTAACAAGTTTTTGTTATATTAACAATTGTTTTAGCCTTAATATAGGATTTATTCATTTTTAATTCTAACGAAAATGTAATTTAATTGTAGATTCATGTTCATTAAGCAATGAACGTGATAAAAATTTCTCACATCGTGAATTGAAAATTTCAAATTTGATATTTTACAAATATAATTTGAGTCAAATTTTTTACTGTTTTTATTATACCAAGTTCTTCTTATTCTAAATATAAATAATGATAAACAAAAAGTGTATGGCTTGATCAATAAATAGATCCCATATTCATTGCTATTTCAAGATATTTCTTGTTCATTGCAGTCTCGATTTACACGTCGAGTGTTATCTATTATTACACTGATGAGAAACTTATTGCCTACTCTGATTTTCACGTCTGTTCGATGAGAATTCAGCATACGTGACACGCAATCATTTTATCATAAAAAATCTTATTGAAAAGTAATTTGATCAAAATCATTATCATGTTATTTTTAAAAGCATTATGTAAGTTTTTATACTAAAGATAACATTTTATTGTGAATGATAAATTCATTCAAATTATTGATTTTTTCCACTATACTTCACATGCAATAGTATTTTTTGTAACTTCATAATAATGACCGCTGTAAACTTATCTAAATCGATTATGTAATAATAATATTAAAAAGATATTTTGCGTCGCAACAGCCTTTGATATCTCTAATAGAACTACATGGGTCCTTCTATAAGACTTATCTTCATTGTACAATAATAGAGACTTCTTCCAAATAAAAGAATAGCTAAAAGGAATGCACCTAAAAAACATCATTTAATTATGTTTTCTGTTTATTTTAGAGCAATAAAGAATTTCTAATATTAGGAATGGGACAACTTTTAGAAATAAATTTTTAATTTTCACAATTCTCTAAGTGAAATTGTATACTCTTTTTAACTTACCAACATAAGCAACATATATTCCTCCATTGGTCTTTACAATTTGAAATGTACTCGCCTATATTAAAAAATAAAGATACGAAAGATATCAATCAACATTTTTTCACTTTATTATAAAAACTGTCTTTTCGAATTATGTCTTACAGAATATACGGTTGAAGTAAAAAGAAAGCTTTGTGAAATATTTCAAAAACAAATATTACTATCTGTCAGCAAAAAAATTATTCTTTATTCGCGTCATATCACTAATTGATTAGTAAGAACTGAGGAAATAAAGACAAGATTTTATAGGCTCAATGTATTTCTAATCTAGTTGCAGTTGATAAAGCTAAAAGATAAATTTCAACGCAATATTCAGCTATGATGTCATATTATAAATTATAATCATTGCACTGCGAATTCAATTTAATAATCAATATAAGAACATAATTTAATTTAACAAAGTTTCATTTTTATAAAACCATTTAAACATGTACTTACAGTTACAGCAATTCCTATGACTAAAGAAATAACTCCAAGAATAATGAATATAATTCCGCGTCCCCGGGCGAAATCTGGTCCAACAGATGAAACTTTTCGACAATGTGGACAACGTGCTAAAGCATTGTTTAACGTATTAAACTGAAAAAGAAATTGGATATAAAAATTCATAATTTATACTTCCTGAAAAGAAATGTAGTTACTATTGAAAATTGAATGTTGATTTTCTCATTATCCAATTTTAATAATAAAATTATATAAAGATATGTTTACCAAAAATGTGTCATGGCAATGAGCACAGCAAACTCGACACATTCCAGGCATTGACAAAACTGGAGGAGTTACTGGACTTGGCGCCAAATTGATAATTCGCTTACAATTAGGCCTTGGGCATGCAATCCTTTGAGATGAACTTTTGCATATGAGCAAACAGTTGCATGGGCACCGCACATATTTCTTTCCTGGTGGAGCATTTTTTATTGGCTACAATAAATCCAATAATTAGTCATGGAAATAATAATGAAGCTTTATAAAATATGGATTAAGTAAAATATCTTACAGTAGCTTCATTACATTGATTACATTTTACAACATGCTGATCCCTTTTTCCAGAAATATCAATCATTGCTTGACATACTCGACAAGTAACCATATGAGTGTTACCCTGACTAGCTTGATATGACGGCGGCAATTCATCAGGACCAATTGGAGCAACTGTATTGACTTGAGATTGCGAATCCTCTCCTGCAAACCCATTAACTGATTTGAATAATATGATTTCATTTTCATATTTATTATTTATACATATGTTGTAAATATTAGTTCATAAAAAGCAAATGAAAAGTGGAAATAATGTCACTAATAAGAAAGTCTCCAAAGCTATTAATAATTTATTGGCCAACTATTCATTAACAAAGTTAATTTTAAACTTGATTATGAACGAATATATATATATGCTGTGGTGATTTTAATCATATGGTCATTTTGATTCACGATTAACTAGAAAATAAAATTTACTTTGCTTTGAATAAGTAAAATCCTATATGTAAATAAAAAAAGTGAAGAAATTACTAATTTTATCATGAAAGCACCTGGAAATAACAGATGAAAAAGTAGATATTTTTCAGAGTACATTTCATAAACAAGATATAAAAACATTATGAATGGATAACAGCAGATGAGAAATATAAGTAAAATTTAAGTTTTAATCATGATAAAACATGAATAGGTTTGCACATTGGAATCTTGAAAATATCAGTATAAAAAAAAATTTTTAAAAGATATAATGGAAACATGTAAGCCTAAAGTAAAATTATAGCAGTTGTTTCATACACTTTAACTTCAAAAATAGCTGATTCGCAATAAAATTTATTGCCCTGGAAAAATATATTAAAAAAGCTATGTATGTAATTTTTGCAAGCTGACTAAGTAGTTTATCATAGCAATTTAATTTTTGCATGAATCATACAAATGCATTTTAGCTGACTATGCATAGAATAAAGAAATTAATTTCAATTTTTTTCATTATAAGAACATTTGTGTAGAGTTGTTTTGCATAGACAACTCCAGCAAAGTATGAAAAAGTTTAAGCATATTAAAATATATTAGGGAACACTATATAGTTGTAGTATTCAGATATTTTTTACATTGACTGATATAATAGAATCTAAAAAAAAGTTCAGTGTATTTTATGAATCAATTCTCATAATTATGGAAATCAAGTTCTTCAGTCATATCCAGTCCAATCTAAACTTCAATGAGACTCCAATAAATAGATTTTATTTGTCAAGCAACTCCAATTTGTAACCACGTTATTTTCTAATCTAACAGGTAAAAATTATGAATCACTAAAAATACCAGCTTCAAATAAAACCATCAACTCCAAAATTATCGTCTAGGTATCGACAGTCCGTCTAATAGCTACTGTGTATAAACAAATAAACAAAGGAGGCCTGTGATCTCATGTAGCCACCATGACAGTCGTGTCAGCAGGCAAAGGAAAGTACAGAGAGTCAAAGAGAAAGAATAAAGACATTTAGTACAAGATATACATATATATATTCACCTGCCAACTCGCTGCTGCTGTAATTGACATTGTCATTTTTAAGGAGCGGCTGGCGCTCATTGTCCTTGCCGTCGCCCATGTCTAGGAAGCTGCAGATTTACGCAACGTAAATTGACGACAAACGGGGAGGGTCGCGATATATTACTACGAGTTAGCGCACACTGCTGTTGGCTTTGAGCACTAGTGACGGAAAAGCCGAAAGGAAAAACAATAAGCCACCTCGCGTGATCTGTTTAAACTACTTATCGTCGTCTTCTACATCGTTGTCGCCGCCAAGACGTTGAAGAAAACACCCAAACGTCTTCGTCGTAGCGCAGCTTGGACGGCCTATCGAAAACACTACAAGTCTGCGATCGGATGATGAATCAGAATCATATTGCCACTGTGTGCGAACGACTCAACATATATGCCGCTGTTTGCATGTATATATAGCTGCGAGTATGTGTGTACTAATGTGAAAGTTATTTGTCGAGTGCACATTAGGTTAGGTTAGTTCAGCTCCTAAGTGTTACCTGACCGTCAACTGAATAACATTTGATTGTTTTTTCATAAATTTTAGTGATTATTGAAGATAAAATAAACAAGATTAAAGTCTTAATTAGATTGGTATCGAAAGACAAGTGCATATTTTTAATTCTTCCTTTTTTTTTAAATAAGCTTGTGACCGATTAATTACGCAACCGATTGAGTGGTCACAGTATAGCTTTTATAAATCCAACGAATCACATTCAAATTGCAATAGAAATCCATTATGTTTGCCATTGGTCTGTGCACTTTAATTCGTCGTTGGTGATTTTACAAATGGTTGCATTTCACCTATAGATAAGCGTCTATATTCGTTGACTTTGTTTCTTTTAATTGTTAATAAATCCTATTCAACGAATTTTTCATATCATTTGTGCAGTTTAACTATTTGATTTCAGAAATGAAGGTATGCTTCTGATTTGTAATTTTTTGAAATAGAACATGAATGTTGTTAAATATTGTTTATAATAATAGAAAAATTTAGTTCGCAATGATTAAAATAATTTAATATTTAACGGATAATTACTATAGGCATAAAATACTTATATTTTTCAGATTAGTAGCCACTAAACTGGCGCGAACGGTAAAAAATAACGCATATAATGATCCCATCGCCGATGATTGATAAAAATAACCTCTCAACTCTTTCAAACGAAAGCAGAGACACTGAGTAAAAAGTATCCTAGAAAATGCCCCCGAAATTCAAATTTCAGGAAGGTAAATTAATTAATTGTTAATCTTATTCATTTTCATAAACACTATATTATTCGTTTTTCGTTGAAATTGGTTAATTACTCAATAAACGTTTTGTAAACAATCGGTGTCAAGCCGGTTTGAGTGCATCGTTTGATTCGATCTTTTTTGTCCGAGAATTGAAATAACGGTGCATTTCCTCATGACATATTGTGCAATGTGTTATTTCTCCTTTAAGGTGAAAAAGTACTGTGTTTCCATGGACCTCTTATCTATGAAGCCAAGTGTTTGAAGTCTGAATTTTCAAAAGAAGATAAACAAATTAAATATCTGATACACTACGCTGGCTGGAATAAAAAGTAATTTTCATATTCTAAAAGTCATACTTGTTTTTATTCAATATTTAATCTATGCTTAATTTCCTGTTCATAAATTCATTGGTTACAATATTTTATTAGACTGTATTTTATTTTTTTAGTTGGGATGAATGGGTACCTGAAGACAGAGTTTTAAAGTTTAATGAAGTCAATGTTCAAAAACAACTAGAAGTTCAAAAGGTGCATGCACAATCAAGTGCAAGTAAACAAAATAGAAAAAGTAGTGGAGCATCAAAAATTCAAACAAGAAAAAGTGATACTAATCGTGAAAAAGAAAAGGATAGTGACAGTAGGGCAAGTACACCCGTGGCTCTGTTAGAGAGAACTCCAAGTCGTGCTAGCAAGTCTGGCAGTGCAGTCACACCAACGTCATCAAGTGATTCACCGCTGGAGGCTCCACGCAAGAAACGAGGGTATTTTAAATATTTATTTATTTTATATAATTGAAATTACGATAAGAACCATAATGAATTTCAATCTTCAGGCGACCTGAGCCTTCGGACGATGTTGTAGAGTATCATGTTAAAACTGATATAAAAATCCCAATACCTGATGATTTGAAGTGTTATTTAATTGATGAATGTGATGTTATCACAAAACAAAAAAAATTACCTTCTTTGCCTATGAGTACAACAGTTGACAAAATTATAGACAATTATGTTGAAGCAATCGAATCAGGAAAAATTGATTTGCATATGTATGAATTTATAATTAATTTATCATATATATATTTGAATAAAAATAGAATAAATATTTTTTTACTTTTTCATTACAGAGAAAGTGCAATAGAAGTATCGAAGGGTATTAAAGAATATTTCAACACTTCAATAAATGTACAATTATTGTATGCTTGGGAAAAACCTCAATTTGAAGAAATGATTCCAGAGGATTCTGATACTCAACCAAGTTCATTGTATGGACCTTACCATTTGCTAAGGTTATTTGGTAAGAATTTTTAGAAAGAAAGGTTCATCATTATGCTTTATTTTTTGAAAAATTATTAACATTTCTTTTTTCAACCTTTAGTTAAACTGGCAGATATGCTGAAATATACATTATTCGATGAAAAAAGCAAGGAGCTTCTATTAAAACATTTTCATCATTTTCTGAAATATTTATCAGATAATAGTTCCACTCTCTTTAATCTAAATGATTACAAGGATCCTTTACCGGACTATCGTAAAAAATTCTCAAAATGAACATAATTTCGAAAATCTAAGATTTATTTTATTTAGCAACACAAAACAGTCATGAAATATCACAAAAGATATACTTTTTATTCTCATCATTTCTTTATAAAAAAGTGAATAACATATATAAATTTACATTATCTTTTATAATCAAGTTGTATATGTATAAATTGCTCTGTGTTCTATGTATATAATTTCAACTGACTGTTGAGATCACTATTTACATTATAACTGTAAGGTAAATCAATTTAACAAATATTAATATACTGTATAATAACCGATTTTTATTATGAATAATTAACGGGAATCGTTGGATATACAATTACATTTGGACGTTTCATTGATTTTGCCTAGTAATCGATTTATTACTTAAATTAGCAGCTAATTGATCACTCAAATGAGAATATAAATTAATCTAGGAAAAAGTATGCTAACTACATAATGTCAAGTGTAAAACTACGTAACAAAGCCTTAAGTATATGTTGGACGTAACGAGCTTGTGTCCATATACATAGCACGGCGTAATCGGACGATAAAGGCGGAGTACTTATAAAGCATAAGTATCGCAAGCCTCCGCAAATTCGCGTACAGAGCTCATGCACACACAGACACCTGGTCGAACGGTGGCTTGCGGAGGTTTCTATCTAATATCCATTCAGCAAACATCGACTCACAATATATATATATATTTTGTGCGCACTATACATAAGCAAGCTTTTGCATCAGCGTATATAGTTGGGTTGGGGAGGTTGGTCATAAGCGCGCAAGGCAGCAGTAGCCAGTGTGAGTGAGAGTCTAGTGAGGAACGGACGGATTTGCGGCGGTAGCTCTTTTTGGTGGAGAGGTGTGGAGAGAAAATTCCTAAATTAGTGCTCGACGAAGGCATTAGTTTCCCTTTTCACGGGGAATACAAGAATAACATAACATGGCGGACGTCGAACTCAACATCGACAGCCTTATCCAAAGGCTCCTCGAAGGTAATAACCCACAAGGGCGACTCATATACGATGAGACAGTACGAAGAGAGAAGCAGCCTCATCCCGATTACACTTACTGTTTAAGATTAGTACATTAGTTTCATAAGGAAATGTTTTAGGCAAATTGTCGACGTTAGTCAAGGTGTTGTCGTGACATCGAATTTAATCAGTACAATAACACATTATGATAGATCATGATTGGGTTCGATTGGTAGAGATATTTTGAAGTGATGTGTGAGGTTATAGAGCACAAGTGTAAAAGAGACTTGCGCGTTGCCTGCTGCTGCTTCGTCGTCATTTTTTTTTCACTCGCGCGCTTTTCTCTCTCACTCTCTCTCTCTTTCTCTTTCTCTCTCTCCTTCTCTCTCTCTCTTTCTCTCTTACTCATTCACTCACTCGCGACACTAACTTTCTTGCTGTAGTGTAGTTTAACATCGTGCGTAAGTTTCGAATATCTATATATATTTTTTTTGAAACCCTCGCGTAACACTCGATGGTAGGTACACACGAGGTGATGAAAATTGTCACGATGGGTGGTAATGTGCTGTGGGCACATATAGCAGGCAGAGATGTTGCGCTTACTGCTGGATCAATATTGAGCACAGCAAGTGTTTTGTTTCCCTTATTAAAGAGTTTTACACACAATGAATAGATACGTTTTTGTCGACGTACATATATAACGGAGTTTCAGTGTTATTTAATATATATATACGAATGAATTCGCATAAACTATCTAGCTGTTTTTTGCCTAAGAGAATGACAGTTGGAAAAGCAAGCAAATTATTGCACAACTAGATTAATTGTCCATTTAATTAGATTACTTTTTTTGGCATTCAATTTGAAATTCAAAATGAATAGCTCGTTACTTTGTTAGACATTCTTTTTTTAATAAAAATAATAATTTTGTTATATATACTTCTATTATTAATAAAATTTGCTTACTTTTTTACTTAAAAACAGTTGACATTTACTCTATATATTAAAAAGTATCATAGTAAGAATAATGAACAATACTACTCCTCAATGACATTCCTTGACAAAAGAATAATTTCAAACTCGATAACTTCCTAGTTCACACTCATAACAATTCATTTATCTTTATGTTTTTTTCTTGTTTTCGAAAAAATTGTTTATTTTTTTATTCTCTTTCTATCATGGATATTGTGTGGAACATTATTGCTGTAAAGCATACCAGACCCAGAAAGAAAATGAGAACCAGGTTCAGGTTCAGACTCAGAAGAAGGCCAAGCTTAAAGATATATTTTCTTCAGACTTTGTTGGTATGCAAATAACAAAAAAAAAATTTGGAATTGCCTCCAATGTAGCCCTTTCTCTTAGATGCGCTAGATATCCCCACTGCCTTGTACATCACTTCGTTAATTCTTGTGCATGTACAAAGACTTTGTTTTCAATTGGCCAATTTGTCAATTAAAGAAGCTTACAGCCTAAGCTACTATGATTGTCCCTTGAGCACTGAGACAGTAATTTACATCTTCGTGTTTGCATCACCTTGAACTTTTTTTTGCATCTTGTATTTTCAGTGGTGTGTACAGTTCAATATACAATCACAATTTTTTAATTAATTGACTTTTTTAATTATTTATAGTTCACAATTATATGCATACATATTCATGACTCAATAACTTTTTTTTTCTTTATATTTTTTTAATAACAATAATCAGGATAAATTCTTGTAAAATAAACTTCATATAATTGAAATTGAAATAAGTGAAAAATAAATATTAATATGATAAACATAAACATAACTTTTGGACTCTATAGATTCGTTTTTTTTTGTGATTTAGATTTTGCTGTATAATTCAATGTCCAGTAAAGTAAATTGTACTTTCTGGTCATTAAAGTTATTAAATTTGGTTAATGCAATTGTCATCAAACTAATTTTCTCCAATTGCCCTGTCACAATCTAAACTATCACCAATCAAGAATTACTCTATAAAAGCTACATTACTTGTTTAATCAAGAAGATAATGAAGTATGAAGCCTCATCAGTAACGTTGAAAATTGAAGCTTCTTAGTCTCTCTTTTTCCAGAAATATTTGTCTGCTATTGGATTAGCCTTGATGGTGTTGATTTTTCCAATAACCATCACGGTAGTTATTCAGGCGTGTAAAGCAGTCCTTTATGGTTGCTAGCAAAGTATAAATATAACCCTATGGTATCTGCTAAGAGAGAATCATCAGTATTCTTGCACTTTATAAAAAGTGCATTTATCACATTAACTATCTATCAAATTAGTTTTCATATGCAAAAATTCTTTTTTTTTATTTTTTCTTTTTTTCTTTTTTTTAACGAGCAATAATTTTGTGAAATTATGATTTGAATCTAAGATTCCTGTCATGATATCCCTCATTCATCTTTAAATTATCCAAGTAATGCTTAGATTGTCTCATAATTGTCCCAATGTTTTAAAGTAATTAGAGAACATGCATAAAACAGAATATTCTATAGTATTCAGTTTCCTTGCTTGTGCAAGGCAGACAATTTATGACAATTGTCTTATATAAACAGTACATGATAAGATAATGCTTTATTTTACTTTTGCATACTTTCTTAAAAGCAATTCAAGCTTGAATTTTAGTTGAAGATGATGAGTGTTCTCTAAAATAATAATTTGATGTAATCAAGCAAACTTAGCAGTATCTCATTAATGTTTTGTATAAAACTGGAATAACAAATAATGTTGAAATGTAATTATTTGTGCAGTGCGAGGATGTCGGCCTGGCAAGTCTGTTGTCATGACAGAGACAGAGGTACGAGGTCTCTGTCTGAAATCACGAGAAATCTTCCTCCAACAACCAATTCTTTTAGAATTAGAAGCACCTTTGAAGATATGCGGAGATATACATGGACAGTACACTGATCTACTCAGACTTTTTGAGTATGGAGGCTTTCCACCAGAAGCAAATTACTTGTTCCTTGGTGATTACGTTGACAGGGGAAAACAATCACTCGAAACAATATGTTTACTACTTGCATATAAAATAAAATATCCGGAAAATTTTTTCCTGCTTAGAGGAAATCATGAGTGTGCAAGTATAAACAGGATATACGGGTTCTATGATGAATGCAAGCGCAGGTATAATATCAAACTATGGAAAACTTTCACAGATTGTTTCAACTGCTTGCCTATTGCCGCGATCATTGACGAAAAAATATTTTGTTGTCATGGCGGTCTGAGTCCTGATCTACAGGTAAACACGTTAATTTTTATTATTTGCATTGTTTATATAACCAGACCGTTATTAACGTAAGCGATTTCTTTTATTTTCTAGAATATGGAACAAATTCGACGAATCATGCGCCCAACTGATGTACCTGATACTGGTCTTCTCTGTGACTTATTGTGGTCTGATCCTGATAAAGATGTTCAGGTTTGTAGGCTAAATAAGTAATTTAGTATCTTTTACATCAGCTTAATCATCTATATTTTGCATACTTAAATAAAATTATATTAATTATATTATTTATGTTGCTTTAGGGTTGGGGTGAAAACGACCGAGGGGTATCATTTACGTTTGGGCCAGATGTGGTGTCAAAGTTCCTGAACCGTCACGATATGGACTTGATTTGCCGAGCTCATCAGGTGGTTGAAGACGGCTACGAGTTTTTTGCAAAGCGACAACTCGTCACTTTATTCTCCGCTCCAAACTATTGTGGTGAATTTGACAATGCCGGTGGTATGATGAGCGTCGACGAGACTCTCATGTGCAGCTTCCAGGTGAGCAAAGCGCTCAAAGAGTTGCGTCATTAGTGTGAGACGCGCGCGTGCACTCGAGCACAACGCTATTTATAGATTACGCGAGTTTCCGTGGCATCTAAATATAAGCGAACTGGCAAGATTGAAAATGTTGTAATTGCCGAGTTTCTCTCTTGCTTTCTCGGCGACGCATATGATTTAAGTAATGAGAAATCTCTTGAAATTATATTTGCTTCCTTGGCAATATTAATACTTGATCAACTTCGGGCAGTGTGAGAGAGATTATTATTCTAATTTAAATTTAGAACTGAAGAATGGAAGGAAATTCGAATGTAAATATACAGACGATATTTTATCATTACGGTGTTTGTAGACTCCTAACATTTTTTGAAATCCTGACTCGAAAATCAACTAAATTAATATAAGATATTTTCACTTTACTAATATGTACTTGAAAAAGAAGTTTAAATTACATTTATTTCCAACGTTCATTTTCTTTAAATATCTCGGATAATTATGTTTTATTTTTGAGTTAGAATTACATTATTTTCGGTAATACTTGCTTGGATAAGTAACCAATTTGACAAGTATTGGATAAGTAAATAATTTCATTGTGGATTAGAAACAAACCAAAATATTTTAGACTACTAAATAAATCGCGTTAATAAGACATTCTTTTTCAACAAATACATTACAATTACAATACAGCGCTATATTGAATTGTAGAAATCTTTTTTGGGGATCTTAACATAGTTTTATACGCATGCGAAAAAAAGGAACTAACGTGAAATCGACAACAAAAGATACTTAAATAAAAACTATTTGTAACTTTGCAGATATTGAAACCATCGGAAAAGAAGGCAAAGTATCAGTACGGTGGAATGAATGCTGCTCAAGCGGGCAGTCGACCGTCTACTCCACAAAGAAATCCAGCAAAGAAAAAATGACCACCCACGGCTGAGCCAGCATAGCCTCATCCATTGGCGTTCTAAATGAGGTAAGTTTGAACTTGAAAGAGTAAAAGACATCGGCCTATTTCTGTTCTATTGATTACCACCTATTTTACCAGAGGAAGTGCGCGGTTTCCTCTCTCAGATTTTTTTTCTCTATCGCGTTTTTATAGTTACATGACTTCTGTTCGAGGTTATTTAATCGATAAATTATGCAGCAAATTGCAGTTCTGTTATAAATACTATTATTAATTAATTTTTTAATGATGTAATTGCACACGATTTTCATTTAGCGAAAATGGCAAAGCAGCACGCAAACTAGTGTGCGTAGGAAATTTATAGGTACGCGCTCTGTGTATTTATAGGTGCAGATGTGCTTTGCTTATGTGTGACGCACTTTACACAAAAATAATCTAATTGAACTATTTTTATTATAAACAGTATATCTATGATGTTGATACAAAAAGACGTGTTAATGAAAAATTTCTTATTTTTTTTCAGATACAGGACGTCATACTACCAAAATGAATCTTCACATGCTTAATTATATATCCTCTTTTCTTGATTTCATTTTAGTCATCGAAACGACAACGTGAGCAATCTCATGTTCCTATATGTATGTCAGGAAAATTTATTGTTTTCGGTTGGGCAGCGAACTTACGATATGGAATTTCATGAATTGTTCGTAGCATAGAATTCATGTTATGAGGCATTTTTTAAAAATATTATTTTATTCGTTTTCTTTTTCTTTTTTAATTTATTTGCATACTAGTAAAATAATTTTAATTAGTATTAAATACTCTCTTCAAAAAATTGTTGAATAACAAATTAATATGTGCATGACACACACGCGGGCGCGCGGACACGGATACACACGAACACACGCGAATACGTAACATGCCAACTTATTGTGTACACAGCGATGATTTAACCGATTTTTTTATGATTATACTTTGAGAAAATAGGGCGATTTCGAGAATCACCCAGTATTTCATAGTATTGATAGAATTTTATGTTTATTAACGTTAGATTTTGAATGTCGAATAACCAATTATACTTTAGACATCTTTTTATCTGTTTTATTTTAGAAATTGAATAGTATTGCTTTCTTTTTCCCTTCTCCTGAATAGTGTTGTAAAATAGCGAGAAACTTTATAATGAAAATGGAATTAATGTAAAAAACAAACAAAAAAATGGTAATGCTTCTTTAAATTGAAAATGATTAATGATATGGTTTTGATTAACTTCAAAGTATCTTACATTTTGTAATCTTAGGAATAATTATTTATAGTTTTCATCCCTTATAGTGCTGCATTGCTGATATCCAAGCATTATCTGCAAGGCACACAAACTTATCATTTTTCTTTTTAGAGCAAAATCAACTATCAAACTTTTTTTACGAATCTATTATGATTACAATAGTTGAAAATGATATTATGAAATCTGCCATGTAAGTTGATAGTATGCTATATTTTTTGAAAGCATTATATTTTTTGAGTAAAAAAATATGGTTCCAAATGCTCGCGTAATCACTGATAACATTTCAAATATGAATACGAATTTCATTGTTAACAATGAAAATTGTAATAATGAGTTACAATGAATGTAAACAAAGAACTAATTTTATAAAAAAAAAATTAAAGATTGAAATGTAGATTGCAAATTATTGTCTACCCTGAACAGTTAGACATAGATTAAGTAACCTTAAATGATTGTATAGGAAAGGGAAATTTCATTTTAAATAAGTAAACGCAAATTTATATTTTCGCACTTGTCGTTGAAGTAATTGTAACATTCTGTACTATCGACGACAGTCTTCCCCTACACAGAATACAAAGTTACAGTATCAGCTATAATATATGCATTTAATTTTTGACGTGAATACAAAATAGATGCAAAATGTGTAAATATTTTTGTGTATTTGTCATGTATAATCTATACTATTTCTTGATGTTTCAATTTTATGTATTATGTGATAATGCATATTGAAGTCTATTTTTGACGTATACTGCTGTTCTTATATTGTTATAAATATACAATAACATTTATACTTTTTGTTCTAAATGTTGTATCAACAAATATGACATATTTTGAAATACTACGCAAAAATATTTACAAAAAATAATTTGAAATATTTATAAATAATTTACACTAAATTTTCAATTTTGTTACAATGATGCTCTATCTATAATCTATAAAAAATCTGTCTGTACATAATCAAAAGCTACTAGAGTTTTTAAAAAGATGTGAAAAATATTAACTTGAAATCGCTAACTAATTGCCGTTAATTTCTATAAATTATCCAATGTAAAAATTTGTTAAAAATATACAATCATTTTATTTTTTTGCTATATAAATTATACTTTCATATTTAAGAAGCTTCTGTTCAGTTCGATCTATTTTTCAAGTTAAAAGTTTGTTGTGTGCCTTGTTCCCTAATGCGACCGACTGTGAACTCCGATTCGATTCTTGATACCGTATAAAAGTCTTCATCGAGGAGAGATAAGCAAAAGAGAAACGATATTATAGGGAAACTGTATTTTTTTAAATGTAGACTTTACGGTATTGATTCTCTAATTACCTTTATATCCCACACAGTTATATGTTGTTCGATGCGTAGTTTGAAAAGTAGTTTCTTTGTCTTAATAAAAGATTTGGCGTTACTTTTATGTGCAGCAGATGGTAAATAAATAAACATGATTCTAATTTCTGATTTATGTTGCATGAAATGGAAAATAGAATAAATGATAAAACTGTCAGATCACAAACTCCGTGTGCATTTGTAGTGATTTTATTGATATGAATAATCTATTTTTATGAAGGGCGTTCAATTTATATTGTGTTTTTTTAATTGTAAATTTATATATATACACTATAAGACACAAACACTCATGAAAGTTGTAATTACATAGAATCTGGAAAAACACATATTGTCTTCAAAAATAACACATAAGAATTTATATCTTACCATTTCAATTTAAAATAATTTACATAAAAATTGAAGCACCATAAACACGAATATTTTGAAAATTAAGTAACTAACTTGTTTATTTTTTTATAAAATTGACTGATTAGTTGTCTTGTCTAGTAAAAAATGAATACATATTCTTTTTCGCAATTCTAAGTAAAACCTTTGAATTTGTGCATCCATCATAAGAAATTAAAATTAAAGTAAAAATAATAATAATAATAATAATGGACATAATAAACAAACAAATAAACAAAATTAAGGAGAGCACTTAGAGTGAGAGCAAAAAATTAGAGCCTAGTAGGCTCTTTTAATTCCATCAGAACAGATAATTCTACAATGCGAGAATTAAGGAAAAAAAATAATTATAGAAAAAAATTAAGAAAAATATTAATCACGATCACTTAAGTCGTGGTCATATTTGTAAATGATGCGCTTACTGCGATTCGACCAGTAAATTGCAACTTTAACTAACGTTGTAGATGTAGGTTCGCCAAGCGTGGTGACAATTAAAAAAATTAACAAATGAAATAATAATAAAATGTATAAATCTAAGCGATATGTATACTTTAGAATATTCGAGTGCAACTTCCGTTCCGTGGTAGATGTAGTTTAATCAAAAAAAAAAACAAAAAAATGGAAAGAAATATGCGCGAACTCGACGTTTGAATCCCAGCAGCCGCATCATGTTAAAGACATCCTCAAGGTATACATCTTTGAGATAAAAATTTAATAAACGTGCATATTGTTGTACAATTTTGACGTCTTCTCTTTTTATTTGAAATCTACAGTGACCCGTTTGTCCTTATGTTATCCTTGAATTAACTTACCTGTTCGATTTTTAAAGGGACAAAGGTACAAAACTCAAAAGAATGTCTTGTCTAATAACATTTTTGTTGTAGGTTTTATTTTCAAGTGGCAATGATGTACGTTCAATATTTACATGACGATAAATGTTAATAAATAAAACTTCATTGGCGAAACTGTATTGTGAGAGGAGAGAGAAGTATGAGCTGTCTTATATTTTTTGTTTACCGTTTGAGATGATGATATTCGCTTCCAATAAATTGGTAATTTGTGATACTTGTCAATCGACTTTTTAATTTTGTTTCGTGATTGCGCTGATGTATGTTTCCAATGCAGGACTGACGCAGAATCCTAGGCGCGGTAGACAGAAGCTGTAAAAAGGTTATTATATTAGAGATTTGGTCGATACAAAATAAAATTAAGGGACAAAACTGGCGTTTTCATTGCAACTGTTTGGGAGTTTTTGCCTGTAATGGGCAAAATATGCCACTTTTTATTAAATCCGAAGATTATTTGTCTGTTTATTTTTTCAATATACGCATATTACTCCAATCCAACAATTACATTAGTGTGCCAAAAACTTTTTTAATATTGAATAAATAGGTATTATTGTTAGTCAAAATAATAATGGCAAATACACTGCCTAAACGCCAGCATACACAATAATCAAACCAAAGTTCAAGTTATCTAAACTAATTAACATGTACGGGTGAAAATTGCAAAAAAACGTCGATTGAACAAAAAATCGAAGTGGATTGCTCTATCGTTTTTGGCGATTTCGTCTTCTGTGAACGTGCCAGAGGATTAATCAATTATTCACATGGAGAAATCAGGAGGGTTTATTTTGGGAGGTTTACACCTGCAAAAAATGTTATAATTTTTGTGTGAAAAAAATCCATGGTTGCATCCAAAAAAATAGGTCCGCAAAAATCGAGCGTCGAAAAAATAAGATGCATGATTCTGAAAAACATCATTTGTTAAGCACCCATTGGCTTAGGAAAAATTATTTTAAAGATGTAGACGGATAAAAATTATTCATATATGTAGTTTAATGGAAAACATTTATGAACGAAAAGAGATGTAACAAGTATTTATTAAATATCTAAATTATGATTGAAAATTTCAAATAAATATTTTAATTTACAAAATAAAAAATATACTCAAGTTTATAAACAAATGATAAAAAAGTATATTATCCACGTTATAAACGAAAACTACTCTAATTTCCATAAAACAAAACTGCCACCTCTAAAGAATCTGGCTTCCTTTTCCTCCTGTTCTTTGATAATATCATACATGGTTTTATCGTGGGGAACTATAAAAAACCAAAAGTAATTATTTTCAGAGAAACAAAAAATGTCGTTCGAGTGTAATAAGTGGATAAACACATAGTAGTAGGATAATTTAAAAGGTACACATAAAGGATAATATAAAAAAGATAGAGACAAGGTATTTGTAGGTGGGTGGGCTGCGAAAAAAACTTTTCGAGCACAAAAAGAAAAAGAAAATACAACAATGTTAAAGATGGATCTCCGCTCACTTCAGTTTTCAATGACGATTGTACCATGGGCTCGTAAAGTGGAAGGTTGGAACGGGTTGCGAATAATAGAAATATTCCCGAGGTCCTGTAAAAACTGATGAAAATATGATTGGCATGATGTGAACTATCAACGAGTGCATGATTTATAGTCGAAGTATACATTCTATTTATTCATGAGATTGGTTATATCAATTTTATCTTATTTTGCATAAACACATTTGTATATTTACACTTCGACTATATTCCGTATAAATGTAATTGATTGCGACTACACATGTTTATGTATATGTATAGAAGACAATGGATTATGCTCACTGCTTGGAATTATTGATTTCTGTGACGATGCTTTAGAAAAAAATTTGTTGTCGACTGATGACTTTGTGGCATCATTATGACGATGAGAGAAGACATGTTCTCAAATGGCAAAAAAACTTTGAAAAAATCGGCAAAAAAACCAGTCAAAACCAACGACTACTACAAAATTACTAAACTACTAATATCTATCTACTAATCCTCTACTTTTAAAAAAAAAATGAAAAATACGAAAATATCACAGCTCAAAAAATTAGAAAAAATTGTTGATTAAAAAAATTATCATGCTGCAACATTGATTGCTTATCGGTTTTTTATCCTATATAAGCGAGCGATAGACAACAATAGGCCTCTTTTTTACGCTTAGAAGTGTGTCGTCAAAAATGCTCACTGAAAAATCTCCGTTTCTTTTATTTATTTTTTTTTTCAAAAAACAAATTCATCTGGCCGAGATTTATGGCTGCAGATCTCGGTCGACTGAAAAAAAGTACGATCGATGATTCATTCGTGATATCGAGTATTGAATTTTGTACTTTCTAAATTTCGTAAAATTTAAATTATGCTAAACAAATGCTCTGTACTGGAAATTTAGAAAGTAGTGCAATGGAAGAATTCTTAGCTACATCTATCTATGATCTACAGCCTATTATCTACTTAGTCACAATATTTTATTGAAATATTATTGATTTGTTCATAAAATTAATTAAATTACTTTGTTAGTTCATACATTATTATAAAACTAATTACTACCCTTGAAATAACACTTTCATTGAAAACTCGATCATCTCGAAGAGAGAAAAAAGTTTGTAACGTCTACGGTTGGCCAAACGAGTAAACGTGCAGGCAAGTGATAAACGCGTGTAAAAGCTGTAATGAGGAGCGACGAGCCGTGAACGTCTGTCACGTCAGTGGAATCGATCGATTTATACCGACGGTCGTTCTAAATGCGTATACATAAAGTGAAGGTTGATCGATGTTCGACCATATATACGAGAAGCTTACAAACTCATTTAAGCTTACTACTGGTATTTTGATAAACCGATAACCGCACGAGCTTATACTTTGCGCTAATATGCCAAACTTTGCAAATCTCAGTTTTTCAGAAATTTTTGGAAAAAAAATTTCTTTTACCGACTGACACGAAATTATTTGAAATGAGCAGTATTATTTCATATATATAATTTCCTAAGATAATAAAATTGAAAATAAAGGAAAATAATTAATTTTTTTTTCGACTACAGCTACACTAACGAGCAACTTACCGAAAGGCCTGAGTGGGTGCCTACTCCAAAGGTAATTGCGCTTGATCGGGCTGAGGTAACTGTCCCTTAGGTAAAATGGAGTACCATACTGAGCATAGCTTGGGATGTACGGCGCGAAGCTTGGGTACCACCATGGATCCCTTGAGAAAGCGCTTACTGGCGCACTCGGCGATGGCTCGAGCATGTCGAAGAATGGCCTCGCTCGGTCTTTCAACAACGACGTCGGGAATCGCGGCAAGATGTCGTCCAAAATGTTACCTACAAGGTATAAACTTTTAATGAAGCTTACATCTCTTTTCTTTTGTATTTGTTAAAAAATAAACCGACCGTGAATGTCAAACAGTGGTTTCGTTGACAGTCCAGCTGCAGGCGACGTGTGACGAGATAGAAGAGGAGACTTGCTCGGATACAATTTGTCGATGTCAGCCAAACGGTTCAAATGATCGTTCCATGCTTTGTCTGCGTCGAAAGGCTTTGCTGTGATAGAAAAAAATACATTTGAAAATATGCTTTTTCCAAGTTTTAAACTATATCTACTTTACGTAAGCCACAAAAGTAAATTATTATGATTTACTCTTCCGGTTGCAGAAATACAGTTTTATAATTGACATGTGTGCTTTGTTGATAGACGATGTACTAGTTGCAAATTACTTATTTGTAATCGCTTTGAAAAAAACATAGATCGTTCTATTAGTGAGCGTAACACGAAAGTGGTGATAAGGTATTATATATACATCGAAAAATTTTTGTCTTTTTGTAGACAATTTTTATTTTGTTTTTATAATAAAATAAAAAAAAAGCTACGTAAATATACATTATGTCAAACTTATTTCAACGTCATATTCAAGTCTAGAATAAAAAATATTTCATACCCTTAATTTTTTCTATAAAACATTTTGATATTTGTATGTTATTGACAAAAAAGTTGTTCTAAACATTTATCATGCTTACGAATTATTTTATTCAACATCAACGGACAAATTAATCGATTCGTTATCGGTGAAGCAAAAACAATGTTAATTTTTTTATAAACAATTTCCAATTTAACGTGATGTATGAGATTCTAATGAGATAGTGAAAGTATTGATGGTTGTTATAATCAAGATAATATTATGTAATTGGCGTGATTGATGTTAAGCCCAATTCCTTTCGATTTGCTAATTAGCAAAATAAATAAAAATAGATATGCAAGCCAAATATAATAGCTTTGACTCCAAAAGTTTGCTTGTGAAAAGTGTAAAAAAGCTGTTCAAAAAAAATATAGTTACTCTAACAGAAAAAAGAAGAAAAATAGTAAAAAGCACTCAGTTTTTGAAAACATCAAGCATATACTGACCTTTTTTTATCAAAAAACTTCCAGCGTGAAAAAAGTAGCTTTATGCGCATCAACTCAAAATTAAATTATTTTTTTAAGTATCTTCGTCTCCCATAAAATATAATTTCAAATTTTGTTAAACTGCCTTTGAAGGCTTGAATTCCAGGGCGATGTAAGAGGATGAACAATACAGGATCAAACATAACTTTTTTCACAGATTCATCGTTACAAATCCGATTGAATGCTTTTTTTAAGGTGAACAAACTGCGTACATTGTTTTCATAAGTACATTTAGTTTACAACTTAACAAAACTGAAAAATTAATTGGTTTGACATGAAATTTTTGGAAAAGACATAACATGTTCACAACTTGTAGTGTTGGATAGATCTTATATTTGGTCAATTTTGATTGTTGCAGTAGGTGTTTAGATAAGGAACATAGGATTAATGAAAAAAACAAACATGCCATCTCCTGAAAAAGACAGAAATTTTATAGAAAACCAGCTTGATCAAAAAAATAAATAAAATCAAGCCAACAGAATTTAGCTGCTTATTGTACTTTGAAAAAAAACTGTGAAAAAAGAATTGCTTTTTACTGATGTTAGTAAGAAATGCCTCTTTTACTCTAGCGCTGAAATAAAAACTAATCAAATTTATCAAGCTGATGAAAACTTCGAAGCATAATGAGAGATGTGAAAAAGAAAAAAACAGAAATTGGTAGCTTTCGATTTTTCTGCATCAACGAAGTTAGTAAATGATCATTTAAAGCTACTACTGACTAATTTTGTCCAATTGCGAAATAATTGTAGAGAGAGTAAAATGATTGTTCCACAAAGAATTTGAAAGTAATGTCATAATTTTTACTGTTTTCACAGATTTATCCATTTTCCTTTTTCACCACGTTTCGCAATTATTCTCACATGAAGATTCAAGAATTCAACAAATCCTTGCTTTTTGTTTATATTGAAAAACCGAAAGCACAAGTGACTTTTTTCAAACACTTAACTGATTTCTAGCTTTTTCAAGTATGGTGGACATGTTTCCTCTGTACATTTCATACATTTATATTTCTAAATAGTACTTATATATATATATATATATGTGTATATATATTATTAACTGTAACAAAATAGACGTTTTATTTAGTTGTCTTTGTCTGTAAAATCTATATTAATTGTTATGGAGTGTGTGTAATTATAAAATTTAAAGCTTAAATATTTCAAATATATTTTTGCTCTTATCGTATTCTTCATCGGCAACATCTTCATTCTTCAGAATTAATAGTTACATTTTAACGATAATACGGCGACAAAAGCTACGTAGGTGCGAATAAGTTGCTTTTTTTATTTTTTTGTTCAAGCCACGGCTGCAACGAATTCCACAAAGTCTGCAAAATTCAATGACATTCAGAAAGTCTCATGGGATGCTCCGACAAATAACAAGATAACGACAAAATTTCTATCAAGATGATGAAAGTTCATACTACTGCCGGAAAAATTTTTGCAGTTTCACAAAAAAATCATTTATTTTTATCGCCTAGCGTGGATGTAAGAATGTGTGCAATAAAGTCTTCGATTATTTTTGTTTTATACAGTCGCTGTATAATATTCGTCAACAGTTCGAGATAACAGCGCGAATGCTTCATCCACCAGTGGCTAAGTCAGTGTCTCAGTAGCGTACACATATGTGAATACTTTTCATATAAATAATCAGTCTGTGGTCTTGCAAAAGCTTGCAAAACTAAATGATTATAAAGACTATGACAAATATTCCCACAAACAAAAGCTACGTAATCACAGGAATAACCACTGGTGATGAAATCGAAAAAAAAGATACAAGAGAGATGAAACAAAAAACAAGGAAAAACATCGAGAACTAGTAAACAGCTCGATTGTGAACAATGCGACAACGCAAGATCATCGGCCCGACGATAAGTCTTTCTCTGTGGACCCATTTGCGCGCAATTTGTTGCCTTCTCACGTCGCTCAGGTTAGCAAGGCGATGGATTAGCGTCCACTCGGACGGTAAGCCTGGAAAGACAAAAACCACAATGGGCGCATGCTTCTTCTCCATAGGCGAGACTTTGAGTTTTAAGCGATTTTCTAACTTTTTTGTCAAAGTAATAGAACAGAAAAATTGTACGTTACGTCAAAAAGCTTGACAATAAACAAATTCCTTTTGGTGATGGAAGAAAAAGATGACAGCTGGTGGAGCCCAGACTATCTGAATGATCAAAGAGAGCCACAATAATTGCGAGAACAGTGACGACTTATGTTCATGGCAATGATCCATATGTGAGTCTTCCCTGGTTTCCTCAGTGTTTGTTTTCAGACTTCATAAATTTGAAAATAAAAGAAAACTTTCTTTTGCTTTTTAATGGAACGACAAAGGTGCTCAGTCCTTTTTGTTTAGCAGATGTATGTAAGTACAACGCATGTGAGAATGAATAACAAAAAATAAATGAAAAAATGTTTATTCGAACTTTTATAGCTCACTTTATTTTTCATTTAAGAATATTTCTTTTTATTATTTCATCGAACTAATCTTGTTGTAATTCGAAATTGCACAGTTTATTTTGTTCTTTAAATATGTAAATATGATCAGGTATAAGATATACATTAGTTAAACCTTATGTCAGTAACACATGTGTAATAGGTATATGCATGTGTAACTTTTTCGTGCTTAAATTCGATATATAGGTATAATAACGTGCAGTCGATTCAAAATTAAGACAAGGGCAACTTATACATATGATTTACGAGGAAACACGTTACAAGTATTGTAATTAGTGACGCTTTTACATATATTGTTTTCACATGATGGTGCTCACATCTCATTAGACACAAAAAGTACGAATTTTCAATTTAAGTTTTATTTTCGGTTTTATTTACTGAATTGTAATTACTATTAAAAATTTGTACTTTCGTATGTAACAAAAGTAAAAAAGGTAGGACTAAACAAAATATCATTTATTTTGTTTAATCATAAATTTTTACTTACGGTAATATTTATAAGGAGATCATGATCACTAATCACGCGAAGTCATTAATTTGAATAAACCATTTCGGATGTGTATTTTATATTTTCAGAAAAAATATTTAATTTCATGTTTTCAACTTCTAACTGCGAATTCTTATTTTATTTATTTTTGTGTACTTATAAAAAATAAAAATACATCTGTGTGCTTAGTATGTGTATATATATGCACACACACACGCACTAATGTGTGTACGTATGTATGTGTGTGTATTAATTAACATTTTAACGCATTTATACCATAAATATTTTTTTAGATTTTTACCGAATAGGCAATTAGAAGTCAAATAAATAAATAAAAAGTTACATAAGTGATATCTTAATAGCTAGTATATATTTATTATACAAGATATTAAATATATAGACTTCGTAAATTATTTATAGATGAGCGATCATGTTTATCTTTGATAATTTTTTCATGGACTTGTTAAAAATCACTCATGCGGGATGTTACAAACCTTTTCAATACGAAAATTACGAAGAGAAAAAAATTACACACATATTGACGACGCGATGATATTATATACGTATAAGTGTATGCAATTGCTTCCTTTGGCATTCGTTTATACTCCTATTTGATTATTTCGTACATACTTTGCACCTATAAATTTTCTAATTGTAATATCTAATATGTAATGATCGAATCTTATTTATAATAAATAATAAATACTCTGTACGTCTAACAATAATAATGATAAATAATATTAGAAAATAATAAATAGTTGTTCTATATTCGCCGTTTTTTTGTCCTTACAGGATCATCGAAACATATACATAATCATATATATTGCGATATCCATACTTCTTAATTCGGTTCGCATTAAAAAAGAAGAAAAAGATTCGATCGATTTAAAATGATTTGGTTTGCTGTTTTTTTTATGATTATTTAACGTTGTTATTGTGCTTGCCGAAGGGGGTGCTTTAGTACATACCGGAGACGAAGCGGTCGACGGGTTTGTATTGGTGGGGGTACAGTTGCCTTGGCGAATATCCGTAGATTTCACGATGAACTGGCAAGTACCTGTAACAACAGATGATGTTGAGACAATTACAAACGAGAGTTATAAGATTTTTCAATGCCTTGAACTATTAGTACGGATATCATGATAAAACGCGTGTTTAGCGATTGTTAAAAATACATTGAGAGGTAAACTAGATTTTGCAACAAATATATTACCTGTATCCCGGTGTGTGGATGCGATCAGCAGCATGGACCGGGTCATCGTAGATGGACTTTCCAAATGGATTCCACGAGGAATGTAGCTCTGGGAACTCGGAGCGGAAAATGCCGCGAGGTCTGTGAGTGTGCTCGGGTGCCCTCATATCGTCAGTGCCTAAACCGTCAAGGATCGTTTACATCTTCGTCATTTTCGCTCTTGAATTGCAAAAATAAAAAAAATCCAGTCGTGAGATCTCATACCTTTCAAAGCACGCACGTAGCTCTGCCAGAACTTTGCCTTCTTCGTGATGGGCTCGTTACGCCCAATCATTTCGAGATTGCTTCTGAATCGTGCGTCCATCTTACCGCTCTACTCAATTGCAACTACGTTCGTTCGCTGCAAATGAAATATTCAGAATGATTCGTGACAGTTTAGAAATTACACAGTAAGTATTTTGTGGCTTGTCCGATTACATTTTGGCTACACTACTGAAATCTCTTCTTTAGTTTGCAAATTCTATTTTGGGCTTTCTCATTCTGTTATTTCTTTTATTTCAAAATTACGTTCAAAGAAATAACAAATTCATAATCGGTTTATTTCTCAATCGCAGGCGCCCGATCAATTGTTTCGCGGCCAAAAATACAAGTCAACGGCGGAAGTTCAAACTGCGAAGCTTTTCGAACCCATTGAAATTCGACGAGGGTTAAACTCGTGTTTATTAGGCGAAAAATTGGAACGAAGCCAGATTGGTTATAGGATGTGCAGATTTTGTGAAATGGACCGCGATAGGATTTTATGTCTTACTTGTGCTTGCATAATTTTTGGACGCGGCTTGCAAGCCCACAATTACGAATAGTGTACGTGGTACCGAAAATGTCACGCATACTATTCGTAATTGTGAGAATCAAGATGATCGATGCTAATATCATCGAATACACTTGCCGCAATTAATTAGATTTCGAAGAATTTGAAGAATTACGAAATAATAGGTATTGGAAAAAAAGCTACTGAAAAATGTCATTTATCTGTAATACTCTGTATGCCGGAAATTGTAGAAATGTTGAGAAAGGATATAGATAGAATTTAGTGTAAGCAGTAATTTGTATCTGTGACAAAATATTTGGTCGAAAAGCTTCATAAAATTCAACAATTTTACAGATTTGGATGGCCTCCAATTTCTTATAATGATAATAGCTATATTTTTTTAAGCTGCGAAATTTACATTTATAATCTGCATCAAATTGTGTATTACAATTTATGCTATCAACTATTTATTATTTATATAATTTAAGATTACGTTGGATCAAAGGAATTATCAAAACATAATTTTCCAGGATTTGGTACAAATAAAATAGGAATCAAACTTAGAATCATATATCTTACTAGTCAGCTTATTTATAAGTTTCTAGAAATGTAGGGAATCCCGTACGAAAATACTAGGGACAAAACAAAAAAAAGAAGCTGGCGCTTCCTTAAAAGCAGCGGTGAGCAATCGATATCGCATGGCGGAATATCGCGTGACGCGAGAAACGGAAAAGAGAGATATAGAAAGATGGACTGGACCAACGAACTATATTTAGAAGTTGCCCGGGTGCACAACGCTTTTAAGTGGGAAAAACAGGTGCGCATGACTTTGACCGATTTTGTCGACTGCCAGTTGGTTTAGATCTGTTCATGGTTTGATTTATTAATCGTGTAATAAGATTATTATTGTGTACAATATCATCAATTTTTACTTGGCATTTCCATTTTGGTCACTTATTAAATTTAATATTTTATGAAAATATATTTTAAAATAAATAAAAATCATAAATTACGTAACTTTCATATAGCATACAGGTGTTTTGATATTTTATTATTTTTAAGCTTACTTAATCTCAACTACTAAACTGGAACAAATTTACTAACTGTTTAGTCGGTTCGAACCGACGGTTTGTTTATATCAAGTATAAATAAATATGAATCCATTGTAATAATTTGGCAATAACGTTGAAAAAAAACATGAAAATCTCCCACGAGTCGAAGTTCAGCCTCGAGTGTTTGTTGAAGGCACCTATTTTTAAAAGATTTTTGCTACGCGTGCAGTGTGTTAGCCAGACTAAGTTGAATGGTCGTGAAAATCGACGCACGCGAATTCTGTTGCCTGTTCACCGGTTTCGCGTGCCAAGAGCTTGCGCGTGCACACCGTATTAAGCGCGCTATGGCCTCCTTTTTAATCGGGTCACTGTCGTCACTTCGCCGATGGGGCACATTGCTCCAGGTGATGTTGTACCTTATTTATTCTCGTCGCTCACGAATGTCAAGTTGATGTTTTTAAGAGTCGTTATTTTCTCATATCGTAATATTAGAATGTACAATTTTTATTTAAGTCAATATAGTAAATTGCAATGCAAGTGCGGCGAAGTAGATGCTTGTGTCGTGTGGCGTTTACGGAAAGTCACGCGAAGCAAGAATCTCTTTCTCGAGCATGTATCGTAGGCTATTTTTTGATACAACGTAAGCAAAGTTCGATTTTGAGCACCCACCGAAAGGTCGATCGTGCGGGAAAATCACATTTTGCACACGGAGTGTCGAAATAGTATTTTTTTCCGCATTTCGCACCAAGCAGTATAAAAAACTATTCGTCAGTACAATAAAATATTGAAAACTCGAGTTACGATAAATGCGATCTGATGTTAACTATAAAGCTCAAAAATACATATGAATTAGATGCAGACAACCAGAAAGGCACGTCAAAGTGAAATCACAGTGGGCGCAAAAAGCAAAAGTGCGCGCTCGAAGATATGCTTTTTCATCGGTCGCTTGTAATCTAGATAATTCCTAAAAATAGATGCACGCACGCTTCGTAACAGACCGAATCGTCCAGGGCAACAATCCAAAAGAAATGAAGAACTCGTTCGTAGGTGGTTTCGTTTATCGATTTATCGAGACAGACTACTTTCTCTCTTTTTAAAATAACATATTGTCGGCATTTTCAAAAAATGAAAATTTTCACATTGTCGCATTCTTTGAAAAAAGAACAATCGATTTCGAATTTTTAATCCGTTCAGCAACATCTAACTTTATTTATGTTAAATTTATATTTGGACGTCAAGTTCGTCTATCGGTATATCCATTAATCAGTTCAACAATGCGGTCGAACAGCCTCATAATTTGCAGCGGCGAGAGAAAACAGAATCGCAAATGCGCGTATATGCTTTGAAATAGCCTTTCGTTAATTGAACGAACCAGTAACTTCAAAGAGCGGAATTTATCGACGAGCGATATTTAAACGTGAAATTTCTTCGGCGACGCGAAAAGCTCGAATAAATTGTTAGGAAGGTACTCTCGGCATAATTCACTTCCGATGGAGCTTGTTATTCCAATTTCGCTGAGAAATTGCTAGATTTTTAGACAAGCAAACAAGAAAGCTTTGACTCTATTTCAGATTACTTTCTGGCGGATGATCGTTCCCGTTTTCACTGAGTTATTGACACACACACACGCGCGCGCACACAAGTCACAAGTCTGTTCTAAATGTTTGAACGCCAAGAGCACTATAACTTCGGATGTATTTAGATGCTCTCAAAACATTAAAGAAAGACAATGAGATTGGTTTGTGAAAACGTTACTTTATGGTCCCATTATTATTGAGTGCAATTGATTAAGTTTTTATTTGCATAGCTCATTTAAACTATTGATACTGGTTTGCCATTGTGTACTTTCAATAAAATGAAAGTGTAAATAATTTAAATTTATTATAAATTCAGTTAATTATCTGACTGTTGAATATTCGAATAACGATCGGAAAATGACGAAAGGTTTGGTTCATAACTACACAACTTCAAAACTAAGATGGAAAATTCTAAAATAATTCTATTTCATCAAAGAATTTAATGAAAATTGTAAAAAAAAATTAATAACAGGTAAAGCGAATGTGAAGCTCACCAAAAAGTTGTAGATCAAGACTCAACAAACTACCTCCGTCAGAACTGAAGAACAAAACAATGCGGGCCGCACGCGCGAAAGATACGCGGAGAACAAAAGGTCCGCGCGCGAGTAGCGTCGACTGTAAGCTTCTTCAGCCTGTCTATTTTTGAGTCGGACGCGCATCGTTGCATAATCATCCCCACCTACCTTCCTACCATTCACGCCACGAGCCAATTATTATAAACAAAATATCCCATCCCGATCGGTTTCTTTCCTCTCGAAATGTGTGTTATGTTATTCGATCATTTATTTTCTTAAGCGCAAAATTGAAGAAATTTCATCGTTCGAGTTGAACGTCTGGATAGGGCAAAAGTCGGTCGGTTGTCTGTTCTGCTTGCTATGGTTGATTGACGTTTTAATTGCTCACCGCGAGCGCGTGCAAAATAAGATTATAGGCCGCCGAGTCTGAGTATTTCGGACGTTCCCTCTTTTCTTGAAATTTTCTAAAAGCGACAATAATTCACAAATAACATGAATTTCATAATAAAAACTAATAATTGAAATCCAAATACTTTTAAAAATTCCTTAAAATAATTTTATAATTATGCAGAAAATAACGCAAGACATCGTTATTGCGACATTCCAAGCAGGAAGTATAATATTGGAAGGATTCAGCATTGGTTTAAATTACGATCAAATATTGCTTGCCAGTAAAAAAATATTATGTAAGTAATGCAAAATGAACGGTATGTAGGGTTATTGAGAGGTTAATCATTTATTTACAGCAAACTGAAATACACAAACTGTCAATCAATGACAGCTGTCATTATTTCATTCATGGTGTTAGGTTAGTACAACATAATACAGTCTTTATAAGACTTGTCACAAGTAATAGTAGTAGAGCCAGGTTACAGCGTCTCGTCTGGCAGCGACGAAGAGAATGAAAAAGAGAGAGAGAGAGAGAGAGAGAGAGAGAGAGAGAGAGAGAGAGAGTAAAGAAAAAAGAGAGAGTACGAGTGCGAGATAGACAGAGCTTGCAAAGTCAACTCTCTAACGCACTCTGCGATATGAAATTTGGTTCACTTGGTCCGCTTTTTATTTACTTGCTGGTCACACCACTGATCCTTAACACTCTCGTACACTTGTATGCGTGCACAAATTATGAAAGAAAAAATTTTTTTTGAAATAAATTAAAGAAGATGTGTGAAGAAAAGTAATAATCTCGAAAAACAAGCCACTTGTGTATCGCAAGATCCTCTCCTGTAGGCAGGCGCATTTCCGCAGAAGGAGAAGATGACAATTACCTAAGTTTATCGGTTGACCGTTCGGTTCGATGATGTGAGCCAAGACTGAGCGGACACCGGCCACACTCTTAGTTAGTATAGACTTGCGACAAGGGGGAGGAGGAGCTTTTTTCACTACTTGAACGCCACCTGGTGGTGAGTTTGTATCTTCGCGACATTTATGGCAGCCCACACCGGAAGGTCATGCGTCGTCTTGGGAGAGAGAGAAGAACAAGAAAAAGAAGAAAAAGCGCCGAGGAAAGGCGAAGGTCGACGAGCCTCTACAACTCTTTTACGGATGGACGGTTTATGATTTGTTTTTTCCTTTGGCTTCTTTTTTAGATGGGAAAGAGCTTGCGTACATCCGATGTATGTTAAACGACGTGGATAACGAATTTTCGATTTAAATAAAGAACAAAATGTCATAAATACATGAAAAATAATATAATTACATTTTTTTTTATTTCAAATAAAAAATTCTTCCTCACTCGACTATCAGATTCTAAACATAAATGCAAGCTTTTAAATTCATAATCGATGAAAATAACCAATATGATATTTTACAGTAGTAATGTATAATATAATTTATAAAATTTATAATTTAGAAATGTTCCTGATTTTTTTTCTCTTTACTGATTCACGTAATTTTAACAAAACGTTTTTTGCAAATTTTTAAGCTATTTGTTTTCATAACAATAGCATTGTTAAATGTTAAACAAATTAACAAAACAATATTTGACAAAGATATAAAATTACTTTCATATCTAGAAAAAAAGGCAAGTAATTAGCTTGTAGAGAAATGGCTTATTAACAAGCTCTTGGACATGTATTCTCCACGGCGAAGGTCGGTACAGAGCTCGACGACTTGGTCGCTTTTACGAAATCCATCGCGACTCGTTCCGGCCTCGCAACTCGATGGCAAGTGGTAAACAATTATTAATATCTATAAATAATGGTTAAAAAAGTGATTTATGACTGCACGAGAATGTTCTCAATATTTTTGGATATTTATGCAGGTAAAATGAGTAATGGCAGTGTAATGAGATAACATAAATAGATAATAAACAAGTTTGTTCAAAAAATAAAAGCATCGCCATGCTTTTGAGTTCATCCATATTTTGGTGATAAGCGGAAAAGTTCTATCTAAAAAAACAAAGCTCGATTTAATGTTACACTCATGAAGCACCCGATTATTCACAAAAATATTTTCTACTCCACTCGAATGTCCATTTTTGGCGGGATGAACACCACTTGGCCAATTTTGTCCGTAGCGTAATCGCGCAAGCTCGCTTATGTGCTTGGGCGCGTAAATTAAATTTAGCGAAAGTCAAACGAAGAGCTAGAATTGGCCACGTTTTGTTTACAAGCGCAGCTTACTCTCTTTCTCAAGATAAAATCTACGTCACAACTCTGCTGTTCACGCGCGTCACCAGCACAACAGTCAGGGGGCCAAAAAACAAATCTGCCTCGTGGTTCGAGAGGAAAGTTTTCCTATTTTACGATGATGTGGCTGGGATAGGTGCGCTAAGGAACCGCAAAAAAAATAATACTCGAGCTGACGCACGCGGGGATGAGACTAATAAAGTCCCGTCATTCGATTCAGTTTGCTTGTGCGCCGGCGACGAAATAAATATCTATTGCAAATATTTTTGTATTTTGCAATGGGAATTTCGCATTTCTCTCGTTTTTCTCCAATTTAGAAGATACAGTATTCGGCGAACAGAAATAAAATAGGTTTTTTTCTTGAAGATTTAGTTTCTAAGTGGCGTAACGTTGAAATATCTACTTAAATTAGTTACATGAATCATATTTTTTTTGGAAATAAATTTCGTTTCTATTTCATGTATGATAATATTTTATTAGTATAGATAAGTATGATCGTAGCTTTAAAATGTGAATTAATTTTATATCGTTTTGTTCTATCTTTTCATCACAATTATATATTTACTGAAATTCATTGGTGACTATGTAATTTTCCAGTGAATTTTTTCCACACTAATTTGATATTCTGATACAATTGCATTTAGTTACCGTACATTTGCAAAAGCTTCTGTAATGAACGTGAAAGACTAAATTATCGTGTATTTACGATTTGCAGCGAACCGATGTAAGGGTAAGACTATAGAGGTAATATATCGTATCCAAAATATTTTAGTTTCCTTGTTTACTGAAACCCAATGATTTCATATTAAATACATTGTCGCCAATTAACTTGATGACGTTATCAAGTATCTCGCAGCTCTTTCAGCCAATATCTCAAAGAATAACCCATAGTTATCACTGCATGTGCTTGCATATAAAGGTGAAATGGTCTCGAGACTGTGTGTCGGAAAGGTGATCTCTTGGATTTGGCAACGTTCGGTCATTCGTCCTCAGTGGTTTGCCCGCCGTTCGCTCTAAATGCACAAGCTATTTTTATGCCCTCCTCGAGCAAAAGTGAGTAAGAGAGAACGTATGCGGCTATGCATCTATATACACAGAAATCCGCTACTGTGCGCGAATTTATATTTTTCAACGCGGCCACGGCCAAACGGGCATTAGGCGAGCTTCCATTTTTTTTCATCCGACCAGCGCCGCGGAGAGAAAACAATACTAATGGATTCGTATTCATCCTTATTATCGTGATAGGATTTGTTAATTTTAATTTTTCATGTGACATTTTCTATAAAATTTACTTGAGAAAAAAATCTCCATCTCTAATTAAATAGCGAACGAATTCAAATTAAAAAAAAAGAAAAATGGCGATTTTCTCCTCAACATTTTTCTACAGGAGGACAATTTTTCATGAGAACGTCGCCACGGCAGCTGTCTCGCTTTCGAGAATTCGCGCTTGAACTTATTTCGCGTTCGCAATAGCCTACTTTCAAAATGTTGGAACTCTTGGTATCCGACCCAATTTCCGCGAGAGAATTTTAAAATTAGCAACATGCCACCCACGCTCATGTGAGTGCCCTTGCCAACGACGAGACACACTAGTGACTGGAGAACGCCATGTCCTTTTTCGTTTGATAGTCGAGGTATGGTATGAATGTATTGTAAAGTTTTTTGAAACATTATAGCTTTTTAAAAATGTATTCTGAATTTTAGCTTCGTGTTTACGAAGTTTATTATATTTCAGTAATGTCGAATGTGCTATACATAACTAATTGTTAAATATGATGATTAGCCGTGGTATATTTTTGTACTACGCTCAGTAAGCTCGAACCAAAAATAGCTCAAAATAAGAAATTCTGGGTTGGCGCTCGACGAAGGAAATTCATTAGGAACTAGAAAAAAATATATTCCACACGAAAAACTATTTTCCAATAATATGTAAATAAAATTTATACAATAAACAACAACAAAATAAAAATGAAGCTTGCCGTAAATCGACCGTCGATCCTATTTTTTTCACTTGCTCAAAATAGTCAACATTTTATATTCGAATAATTTCACAACATCGCAAGCTTTCCAAGAAAACAAGTTGCGAAAAGTAATTCTCAACGACAAAATAACTATTAGCTTATTACACCTCACAACGCTATCCTAAAATCATACTCTTCTATTCCAAAAATATCTCTGAGCGCACCGACAGATTAACACGTATTTTCACCTGTATGTGCGAGGCTATACTTTCGCAACTTGGCTCGTTTCTTCCGGCATTAATCGTTGTTATCCCGGATGCATTTGGCTTTGTTATGCTTTGCAAAGAAGGCGACATAATATTCGGCAATGCGACGGCGTGTCGATCAAAGCGCGCAGGGACGTTATGGTGACAAATTGATGATAGATTGAGCGACGAAGAATGTGGATTGCATTGTTTCTTTATAGCTATTTTTGTACTTTGCTTGACAGCTTTTTCATTTTTACTAAACAAGTACATAACAAATACAATGAGCTGGTAGCCATTAGAATATGCTTAGAAATGGACGTAGTCTTAAAGAATTGTATATTAGACCGCGTCCGTATGTATTCTCGCGTAATAATTAATTTCATCTGAATGTAGAATTATTATTAGTACATTGAGAAACACATTTGTTCGAAGAAAAAAAGTGACTGCTGATGAGGTAATAGAAATCAACCAACGAAACGTTGAAGAAAATGGATATTTATGTGTTAAATTGTTTTTTCGGTAAGCTAAAGATTCGAAAATATCAAGTTTTAAAGAGCCTGTAGATTTAACTGTGATAATATAAATTTGATACCGATATTAGTATGTACTAATTTGTAATAATTTGAAAAAAAAAGAAATTTCATCCGTCCAATGGCAAGTGGAGTAATGTAAGATCTCATGCGAGAATCTAATTTTTCATAATCGATACAAGAAATTGTCTCGAAAAAATCACTATACTTAACCCATCTTGAAAATGTTCTCTGTTCCGTAGAGAATCTCATTCTACAAAGAAGAAAATCCAATAACTTGAAAGTAGATCAGAGCTAACAACCATCATCCTTTTCGCGTTAATTAAAGAGCGAACTCGTTGTTATCGGGACGCGACGAGCGTAGTGAAGAAATTGACACGGCAAAGTAGCCCTCGGGAGCCAACAACAAAATCAATAAGGCGCGCCATTCTAAAAGGATCACTCCGTATATACCCAAGTCCCGAGAGCCACGCTGATCCTCACTAAATTGAAACTTATGAGTTTTTTTCTTCCGCTACTTTCCTCCCTAGGCAGGTTTCGCTCGCTCGGGGCGCGATCTTGTGCCGTTTTAGCAGTCTACTTCACTCTACTGTCTCGCTTGGATTTTTTGTTCGTCTTATTCTTCCTGCAATTTTCAATTCTTTCAAGCTTGTTTATTCCATTTTGTAATTAATTGTTAGAAGAAAGTTCGCTTGTTATTATTTTGCTTATTCTATTGGTTTCCGCAACAAATTGGTTCCGGCAGTTTCAAATTGCAGCTTATAAACTTCTATTATTCGCCATCAACCTATTTTTATTGTTAATGTGTGTAAGTTGAAGAAAGAAAAAATTTCGATAGCTCTCTGAGTCATAAGATCGCTCAAATTGTATCAATATATACACTATCAGGAATTCAGTATCAATATACCACATCCATCTCGACTCGCATCAAATTTAGACGTTGCATCAAGCGACTAATTGGTCATCTGTACAATCCTTCCGACTAAATTATACATACGATAAAAATAGCATAATGCCTGATCAATTACATTCTAAAACTACTTTGCACGACCTTTCAACTACTGACTCATCGGTATTCTTGAAAATCGTATGCTTTAAGATAAAATTTCATTTCGTATTCACACTCAAAAAGATACTTGTGCAGTCGAACACCCGGCTTGCTCTTCTCAAATGTAAAAAAGCCAACGCACGCTGATCGAAATGAAAACACCGATAGCCCCGGAAATATTGACAGGCATTGTGCGCTTTTTGGCGTGTGCGCGCGTCTCGGGTGGTCACCACGGCTGCCGCTGCAACAATGTCTGCACGCCGACGCCTCGCTCCTGCGGTGCATTTTAACATTAGACCGCAGTGCCGCTGCCGCACACTGCAGGACAAATATTTTCTAATGGGCTTTTCGTATTGTTATGATGGACCGCGATTTTTCTCGCTTGACTTCTGCCACGTCAATTGGACATAATTGTTTATGATATTTTTGACGGCGAGAAGGATCGGCAGAAGAGATGGTTTTTATTTAGGGTGTGGCTCGATGACACACTAAGGATTTTCTTTAGCGGATGTTATTGTGTTTGTTAAGATAATAATAATAAATGACATTTATCTTGCTGCATATTTCGGAAATTGACGAAGAAGTATGTTTCCCGTCTGCGTTGACTGCGAATGCATATAGTGTGAATAGATAACGAAGCCAGCATTTTTCTGTGAAATTCAAAGACATCAGTTCTGCATGCAGCCTGAAAGTAAACTGTAAAAATGCATTGCTCAAAACAAAATAAGTTTTAATTGATAACTCACTTTTTTTAAGCGACAAAAAATACTTGAACGATAGAAATTAATTAATATTATAAAACATTGTATCCTGTTGTAAAAAACGCAGGTTTTATCAAAGCACAATCTGTTTTTTTGAACAGTATTCATATTGATATCTATTTAGTGTTATACGTTTTTCTTGACTCTGGTTTTTAGCATTGGCATTTTGTTTTTTTAGTCATTTGGTAATTTAGCCAGAAAATATTTACACTCTTTCATTTTCAAAACAGGAAATACAAAACGATTAACAAAATCAGAAGAAATGATAAATTATTGTTCCGCTTTATTTAGTCTGATTAGATTTAGTAAGTCTTTTCATCATGGGCAAGATATTGCGTATCGACGTTAAAGCGAAATGAAAACTATACCTGGTGTTGAAAATTCTATCATATATAAAAAGTATATATACAAAAGTACTGTTTACCATAGTCAAGATTATATAAATAAACGAAAGAAACCAATAATTCATCGTACAAATACATTCTGGAGAATACGGGCATATTATAAAAATTATAAACTAGAACGACGAACCACTTATACAGCTACGGGTTTTTCATATTTTCCAACAATTTTTCCAGAAATATTACTCAGATAAGTAATTCTGAGACCCATTATTTATGTCAAATGCAAGGTTATAATAATAAATATAAGAAATGTCCGGAAAAAACTATTCGAGCAAGTCGGGAAGTTATCATTGAAATAATAATTAGATGTTTATCAACGTTTATCAACGTTCAATTGTAGCTAATTAAAAGCTAATCATTTTGTCTAAGTATAGATTCATTTTTTCTTCAACCTCATGTCACATATCACTTGATGAAATAACCACTGTATTATCAACATGAGATTTTATTGCATATTCTGACATTATTACAAGTAGATCATGAACATTTAAGATGAAACAAAGTAGTCCTAAAATCGTGCCCCGTAGAATTCCAATTGATATCACTTCATCATTAGTGAAGGCTCCATTTACGTTTACTCTATGTTTACTACGTGTAAGAAGACAACTTTTTATCAATTTGTGTACAGTATCCACAATTCCATAGTTGTATAGCTGGTTTAATATAAAAATTGTATGATTAACAGTATCAAAAGTTTTAGCTAGTTGTGAGAAAGTAATTGTTATTGGAGTACTCCTATGTAGTTTGCTATATATAATGTTCATTATGTAAGAGTGCATCCTTAGTACACTTATTTTTCCCGTATCCGTATTTGTTCTACACTGATACATCTCACTTATCAATTTAGAATATATCATTTTTTCAACTATTTTGGTTAAATTTGATGTGAATGAAATCAATCTATAATTTGCTGTGCTGTATTTACCTTTATTCTGGTGTATTCGTATTATTTCAGTCATTTTCAAGGTTTCTGGTCATATGACTTGCTCGATGCAAAAATTAATGATGCGTGTAATGCACAGATTAATGATGCGTATGTAAATCTAATTATCTTCATATATCCGAGGGAGTCACTCAGATAATGTGTTTTATAATCAGGTAATTAGCAATAAATAAGATAAGCAGGTATTATATATTGCATAATGACATTATTGAATCCAGTGTTGCAGTGTTGCATCTGAGCTTTATAATTGACTGTTTCATAAATAAAATATATATTTAAAATGTTGAACGTTAATCTAAATGAAGTTGAAATCGTCGATGATAATATTTCGAAACTAGAAACATTAAAAAATGTTATTAATAAAACAGAAGCAGATGATTCCCTACATTTATTAGATTTAGGAAATGTATTGAAAAAGTATCAAGATTGGTCACAAAAAATGCCTCGAGTCCTACCTTACTTCGGTATATATACCCAAATATTTTGTAAGTAAAATTTTAAATATTACAAACTATTATTTCCTTTAATTTCTTCAGCAATGAAATCTAATCCTGAACCAACCATCTTAAAACTATTAAGTTCGCTGGGTGTAAGCTTTGACTGTGCATCAAAGGTAATCTCTAGAAACCATTACGAATAGTTGAAAAAATTAGATTTGCACGGCATTTGGGAAAAAAAATTGCCTTTTTAAGTACAAAAATGCATAAATATTCTAGGAAGAAATCGTTCAATTAATGGGACTTGGAGTGCCGAGTGATAGAATAATATTCGCTAATCCTGTGAAGTTTCCAACTCACTTAAAATATGCAAGAAAAGTTGGCGTGGCACTTATGACAGCTGACCATGAAATCGAATTAAAAAAAATAAAAGAAATTTATCCGGAAGCGAAGTAAGTTTGGGAATTAAAAAAATGCATAGTGCGCATTAAGAACTCTGAGTAATTTCATTTTGAATGGTTTTAGAGTTGTGATACGCATCCGGTGCGATTCTAAAACGGCTATGATAAGTTTGGGTGAAAAATTTGGATGCGATCCTGAAAAAGAAGCTATTAATTTGATAAAAGTAGCAATGAAACTGAATCTGGAACTGAGTGGTTTTGCCTTTCACGTAGGCACCCTATGCGACGATGTTGATGCATTTTGCCGAGAAATACGTACGTGCAATAATCTAATACAGACTGCAAGATTTTTGGGTTGCAAGACTGCAAATATCATCGATATTGGCGGAGGCTTTCCTGGCGATCGTAATTTTGATCTTGACGAGGTAAACATTTTAATGTTGTAATCAATATGCAAATTATACGTTTGATGCAAATGATGCATACACGCAATGCGATTATGTATCGGATTAAAAAGTTGACAGGTCCAATTAATGATGCTCTAGAGAAAGTAGACTTATCAATTAAAATCATTGCTGAACCTGGAAGATATTTCGTTACCTCAGCTGTTACAATAGCCGCCCAGATCATCAGCAAAAAAATTGCAATAGAGAACGGAAAGAAAAAGTTCATGTACTACGTGACTGACGGTATCTATGGATCATTTGCCTGTAGCTCGATAAACACTCGTTCAAGACGCCCAAGAGTCTTAAATCCTGTAAGGATTAGAATAAATACACGTATTACAATTTCTTATTTTCTTTGTATTTACATCGAATTGATCTAGATTTGCAACACAAACAAAAAGTATATTTCTACAATTTGGGGGCCTACGTGTGACTCCCGCGATTGTATTTTGAAAGAAGAACTTTTACCGGAATATTACATTGGAGAGTGGTTGATTTGGTATGATCTCGGTGCCTATACAGCTTGTTTCTCGAGTAAATTCAATGGCTTTAAACCTCCAAGAGTGTATTCTATCATGCATAGGAGCGACTGGTATACATCCGCTGATTATTTTTATAATATTTATGAATCATCAATTGATATTTATATGTTTACAGGAAATCTATGCAGATGTATATAAATAAAAAGAATTCAAAATAGAATATCTCGATGAGCTATTTGAAATAATGTAAGATAAGATGCTAATAATAAAGAAATTTTGTAATCGAATATAAAATTTAATTTTCATTCGATACCGCTAAAATGTTGATTTCAATTCTCTTCGTAATTGTGAAATCAATCTTCGATACAGTAACTTATACACAAAATAATGTTTACTGTATATTATCTAATCCCTATCTTTTATGAACAATGTCAAAAGCCGACAAAAGAAAAAAAAACAAGTGCGCGTGATATTCATTTCGTTGCGTGATATCCATCGACTTGTGGTTCGATACACGTGTGTCTGTTTATTCGGTTTCGTGCACTCAATTCAAAGTCAAGACAACAGCGCATACATGAAACACATTAAAAGTTTGCAATTAACCGACAGACGTTATACACATGTCGAGCTGTTCTGCACGCTGCAAAGTTAATATTTATGCCTCTGGCGTTGAGGCAAAACAGCGCAAGTACAAATTAATCTTTCAATCGCTTTTTGTACCTATGTCGTGTATATAAAAATGCTTTGGATTTATTTGTAATGATATCCGATTTCTCATTATAATTGATTTGTTATACCAAAACTATCGAAAGTTCGAGAATCGTATTCGTAATCCATTCAACTTCATTGTAGTAGCTCGCACCCATATAACATAGTACTCTGAGCCACCAGTAGCAAAAGGCAATAAGTCAACGTTATTTAGCCCTAAAGCAATCTTCCTATTGAGTTTTTGAGACCAAGACACGGCCCAGGGAAGCTGCCAGAGTAGACAAAGTAGAATCTCACCAGAATTGATCCTCGCGCGACGCGCGCAGCTGACAAAATTAGCCGTGTGGCGAACGACGGATGAATAGTGCGCTAAACTTTTGTATCTCAGCTGAGCCACGCGCGTGCCGCCCACGAGAAATCGATATATGTGGCTTTGTTGATCTTTCTCCAGGGGATGCGCTGTAAACTTTTATTGCTACAACAGAGATTCTCGGAAGAAATGCATGGTCGTTTATAATTTGAGTTATATTTTTTTTAATCGTTCGTTCAGACGGGTGAGGAAGGGTAAATATACTATATTATGGCATTGGTTAGGAATAGCATTCGAAAAATACCATTCTTAAGAAATTATTTCGTAGTTTCTTTTTATGATAGCCCAATTATCATCAGAAAGTAGGCCGAGAAATCTAAAAATAAAATTTAAAAAGCAAACTTCTTTGAATGTGCTTAAGGAAAAAACTAGTCGCTTAATATATTTGAACACAGATGCGATAGATGTGTGAATTTGTTTTTAAGCAAAGAAGTGTTTGATTCTTTTTAATATTAGTTTTAAATGTTTTTTGAAAATATCAGTAGATCTTTTTAATTTCAATTAGAAAAACAATAACATTCTATAAACGATTACAAAGAGTAAATAATTACTCCTATAAATAAAAACTGCTTGGCTGAATACATGCGTTAAATGTTCATTTAATGAGATTCATTCGCGAGAGATGTACGTCAAAATCCAGATACGCAAATCATTTCAACTAAATGAAATTGATCTCTCTTTTGTTAAAAATCATTGTAATTCAGCCATGCCTAATAGCTGCATAGCGAAGGGAAGCGCAAGCGCAGGCGCAAATCTACACAAATTTTCCAGAAGCCAATGAAAGCGTATCCATAGCGTCAAGATCACTCGTGCCTGAAAGGTTTGTCGTTAAATCGGCGTGAAAAATCTGCCCCTCGCCGCGCGCGTATACTTACACATAACGATCTAACGAGGATCGTGTTTGCGGTGCTCGCAAACCCATTGTGCAACTATATCTCCCCGCATTCACGCGTAGAGCGCATCGATCTTTCGGAAAAACCGCACACCTGGGCTCTGGCTATAAAGCGGAATTTGTCAGCGTTGCCTTCGACTCCCGAAATTTCACGCCCATTACCATTGTCAATGGGCAGATGTCAGATGAGAGGCGCGTCCCGAGGATATTTAGCCGTATTAAGGAAGCCTTCCCTTTCTTTTTTTCTTCTTCTTCCTTTTTCCTCGCGTGCAGCACGTGCGCGCGCGATCGGACAGAAGAGGATACTCTTCCTAAGGTGTGCTCTGCGAGTTTTTGGAATTTTTTTGAGCCTTTGCAGCTGATGTGTTCTCTCTCTCTCTCTCTCTCTCTCTCTCTCTCTCTCTCTCTCTCTCTCTCTCTCTCTCTCTCTCTCTCTCTCTCTCTTTCATCTTTCGATCCTGTGATTTACTGGTTTGCATTTTATTTTTTTTTCTATCCTACAGATTTTACTTTGTAGCACATGCATTGCACGATAGATGAATGAATTCGTATTTAATAGAAAACAAATTCAATTCTTTATTCGTTGATAAACTTTTAAAAACATAATTGAGAATAAGCTTATTTTGTCTAATTTTACTTTTCAATTTTTTGTTCTACAAATTGCAATCATTACTTTAATTTCAAATATTTTAAATAAATCTATAAACATGTAATTTCATTGGTATCACTAATAAAAACAATGTAATAACTAGTATTTCTAATACCATGATAATAAATAACGTATAACATTTATTTTTTTAAAAGAAGAGAATAATCCGGAAAAGATAAAGAAAATTTCTATGACATATCCGTAAATTGCATTATTTTATAGTATAAAATAATAGAATTATTTTATAGTATTAAATAAAGAAATATGCTATCATTAAATATGAAATGTAATTTTTTAATTTTAGTAATTTTTAACACTACAAAAAACTAATACTCGTAAGCGTGTAAATATATAATACAAAATCAATTGCATTAATTTTTATAAATTTCTATATAAATAAATCGTCTGCTTTAATTACTTTTCGCAATAGTTATCAAGTTTATATTAGAATTAATGATATCAATATTAACGTTTCCACCGACGACAATAAATTCATTGAAAATTATCAAACGATTGAAATTTTAGTTATCCGCAAATTTTTAATCTCAAAAGTCATGAGATTATAGTCATATTAATCATTCGCGACCTACGAGCATCGACAAAAAGGCGTGACGCTAAAAAAAAGAAAGGGGGTCAGAATCGTGGTACGTATATCGGATGTAGGAGAAAGGAAAAAAGCGCAGACTCACTGACATGTCAATTTTCTCCGAGCCTCTCTCCTCCCGTGTGTTCTTTCTTTTATCCGTATAATAACGCTTTCATCGGCCTCGTTTTCCACTATGCCGACGTTTAATTAAACCCCATCGATCTTTATTAGAGTCGACGTGAGGCCGAGGTTTATATGCATCGGTTCTCCCCCAATTTCAAATGTCATGAATACATTTACACGCGACGGAGTCGAGAATAACGTTAAGCGTCAGAGATGTTTAAAGTCGCCAGTTTTCCATTATTTTTATTTTTTTTTTTTCATTTCGTAATTGATTTTTTAAGACTTTGCATCAGAATGTGAAGAATTCGCGTAAAAGCTTTATAGAGAACATTTTACTTTACGATTTTTTGGGACACTAAAAATGAAACACTATCAATCAGCAAATATCAGTATAAAGCTGCTCTTTTTTACCTTTCCACAGGGGCCAAGGATTTTATCGTGATATGTAAATTTATATTGTTATTCGATTTGTTTAGGATCTATTGATTACATCAAGGCAATAAGTACCTATAAGTAGTTTTCAGTCTTATAAAAAGCAGCTGCTCATACAGAAACGGACCCTCTATAAATGGATTATACGACAACAGTTACTTGACAGCGTAAAAAATTGTCGACGCAGCAGGTCGTCATCTTTAATGCTTGCAGACGCACGCACAGATTTTCAATCGTCTGCAGCGCACTTACGTCTTGCACTTTTTTTAGAATGCAAGAGCTGTTAATTAGCAAACGTTATCAGCGGTAACTGTGCTTCGCGTGAATACTGAATTCTCTGTAAGATAAAAAACAATCTTCGTTAGTTTCCTCTATGCTGTCGTTTACACTCGATGATAATTGACCTGCATGTAACTTTGTGTTTGTGTTTAATTTGCAAGATAACGGAGTTAGTAAGTAGATATCATACTTGTCAATACCAATATCAATCATATCACGTTTCTGTTGCTTATATGTCACTCTCTATCATTGGAAAATTCTTTCTTATCGTCGGTGTACTGCTTTTCTAGTTAACTGACAAAATACGACGTGCAGTCATGGAGGAGTTCTTGCAGCTGGAGCTTGTTCAAGTCGTGAGTATCCAACACGGAATCGTTTTCTTTTTTTTTTTTTCAATTGTGACGTTAATTTGTGATAACAAAGAATTTCAGACATGGCATTCGTACTCCAAGCGTGTACGAGGCTAACATTGTTAATGTTACCGATCCGAAATATTATGGAACGATAGGATTTGGTCAATTGACCAATGTGAGTATTGCGATACATTTTTATCGGATGATTATTTTTATCGAAGTTTTACACATCAGGAAGGAAAATGTCAATCATATAGATTTGGTCAACTTCTTCGAAAAAAGTATGACAAATTTTTGGGCAATTACGAACCTAATCAGCTGCACGCTTACACATCTAAATTTGATCGTACAAAAATGACCCTGCAACTGGTTTTGGCGGGTCTTTATCCACCTTCGGAAAACAATAGATGGCATGCTACGTTGCAATGGATGCCAATACCGTTTGATATAGCACCGAATATTTGTGACACTTTACTCACACCTCATCAGTATCCAAAGTAAGTTTGGTTTAACAGAGTAGTGAACAGTATATATTATAATTTATGCTTTTTAAGCTTTTATCGATTATTGGAATCCGAGCTCAATCTATCAGAAGAATATCAAAGTGAAATGACAAAATATAATGATCTTCTCGATTATGTAGAAAAAATGGCGAACGTTCCAATGAGAAAGAAATTAATTCATTATTCAGGATGGATTTATTACGCTGTTAAAATTCACGTGAGCATTATTTTTTCAAGCAAATTTTAAGCAATGTAATGGAATACATTGAAAATAATTGATTCGACAGAAATTGTTAAATTTACCGCAACCTCGATGGTGCTCGGATGAAGTCATGAAACGATTGCGCGAATTATTCAAATACAATATAGATGCGATGTCATTGACACAAAAATTGAAAAGACTGAATGGAGGTACAATGGTGCGACGAGTGATTGAAAATATTGAGGAGAATAGAATTGCTGAAAATCCGAAAAAGATTTATTTGTACAGCCATCATGATTTAACATTGGCAGCGTTCGAAAGAGCTCAAGGAATCAAAGTTTTTGATATTCCTCCGTTTGCCAGTGCCATCATTTTAGAAAAGTATCGACATGTTAATAATGTTGAGTATGTGAGGGTAAGTTAAGAGATCTTACCATCGGAAAAAATATTATAAGTAATATTTAATTAGATATATAATATTTTGAGAACAGTTCCTTGCTTGGGATGGTAAAGACAACGAATTTTTCGTCGTGAAATTGAAAGGCTGCGATGAATTCTACGTATATGAAGATTATCGCAAAGTTGTTGAAGACGTTATTCCTACAGATGAAGACTTGAAGTTTTTGGTTAATGACAATTGAAAATTCTTCAAAATTTCTTTTCTAAAGACTTAAAAATAGAATTTTATTTTCAAATGTAACCAAATGAAGCTTTCTCTTAACTTGTGGATGATGTAATACGACCCATATGTGGATATTTTTTTGTGGCATAAAAAAGTGAATTCTTATTCGAATTCATACTTAAATATAGCGATATTTAATTGTATTGACATGATATATTTAAAGCAAAGTAGCGTTAGTAAAAAAAACATACACGCATTCGAACAATGCAAAATATATTCATCGAAAGTGGCTCTGTGCGAACAAGAAATCAGACCGCTCGTCACGCACGCGTCGAAGCTTTTGGTATGTTAATAAGAGAGTCATATATAGTAATACATAGTAGGTAGAGATTGGTGTGCACGCGCAAAGCAATATTACACCACAAATCCCGCAGAGCGCGCCATTTTATCTGCGAACGAAGAGAGAGGGGGGGAGGTGTATGACAAGTATATTACGGCCGTACGCGCCGGCGCGTTTATATCAATTAACCCCTGACATTTTGTCGGGGGCGGTTCACATGTATAGGAGGGAGGAAAAGCTCGAAATTGAGCTCCGGAGAATATGTGCGTGTGCGTGAGCGAGAACATACTGTTTAATTCAATGATGATGTTGCTGACGCGTGCCTGCGCTTTTATTTCATTGCTTCCTTTCGAATTCATGACGCGCACCCGCGCAGAAAATTAGTTGCCTGTGGCTTTACGACTCTATCAACGGATTTATGTGTATCCGTGTGAGACGTTTGCAGTTGAAGTTTACATTGTCAAGCTTTCTTTCTGATCTACAAAACTTTCTAACGTGTGAAACTACTTATTCAAATATTTTATTATACTTTGCTACATCAGTTTCGCACAGTTGATTTTATATCGTTCTCACAGGATACTTTTTTTCTTTATGTATCTACGTCATTGCATACGCAAAAAGCCACTCCGATCCAAAAAAGAAAAACATCAGTAAGTGACATGATATTTTATCTATTAAAAATAACCGTTCCCATATTCATCGTGACTCATCTATATAAGTGCAATTCAAAATATACTCAAGTATACGCCCATTTACCAGCATAAAAAATCGAAAGAACATCTGCCTCACGCGCAAGCTGTATGTGTGTATAAGCTTGAGATTTATGAATTTTCGAACGCCCCGAAAAATCGTTCGGCTGTTTGGGGATACATACATCCGCTTTTGAGTAATTCCGAAATTGAATGACTTTTTATTGGACGTAATCTGATTTGAAAAATGTCTTCTCTCATTGTAACTCCTTAGAAAATCTTGCAATGTCATTTATTTAAAAAAATAATAATAAAAGTTTAGTACTTGTTTTACTTTTCACAATTTTACATTCTTATTTGGGCGAAAGAAAATATTAACATTAAAATCCTCTACTGAATATCAATAACTGAAAGAACGAACTCACGATTGACACGAATAAAATCAATAAAATAAATAACAAACACATATGAGAGAGCAGTAAGTAGTAGCGGCAATCCCTCAAGTACCTCCTCTTAGTCTGGAAACTCGCCAAAAAAAGTCATCCTCACACGCGTCGCTCGTACGCAGATAAATCTTATGTCGTGGAAGTATCATTTAGGAGCATTTAGCTCACCGGGAGCACTAGCAACACGCCCCTATACGAGAGGAGGAGCCGCTTCTCTCTGTGGCTTTTGTTTGCACCCGCGGGAATCGAAAGGTCGATCTCCCAAAGTGACACACCAAGGGAGAGAAAGTGTCGGTGACATCGCTCTGCTTAAATAAATTACAGGCTTGTTATTGCGATATAGAGGGTGGAAATGACCGTTGATTGAGACGATTTTTCCGGGGGTGTGGGGAAAATTAAATTTTTCGTAACGGGATTAGTTGTGCGAAAGTGGGTTTTTAATGGACTTGTATAGGAAGAGGGAATGTAAACGATCTATTCATCAAAGAGATATATAACTATAAAATTTCATGTTAAAAAAAAGTAAAAATAATTTATAATGGAGTTACATTACCTATTAATGATTATGTGTGGAAAATAGACTCACATTCTATAATTTAACTTTATTTTTTAGAAGAATTGTCATTTTGTAAATAATCAATTGTAATTTGTTTTTTCAATTATAATTTTTGATTAAAAATATTTCTTGTTGCACTGTGAACTTTTACCTGTAAATGATGAAAGCAATGTTTCATTTATCAAATACCGAGTATTATCTTGATAATGTAATCGCATTGATGCTCATATATAAATTATCTTTCGTACTTTTTTAAACTTCTCAATGTTATATCGACTTTCTGTTTACACTGCACATAAATTTTACCGAATAAAGATATCATAACTTTTGTAAATCTGAAAACACAGTATTTTCTTAAGCGACAAGTGAGCATGATAAAAGACAGTTATAAGTGAACAGCAATGTCGCAGCAGGAAAAAAAATGAGGCCGTTTTATCTGTTATTTTTACAATTTTCGTTGTCGTCAGAGATCGTATTCTTCGCATTTTATTAAAAGCACTCGCGTATATTGGTGTCACTTTGTTATTTTTACATCAAGTATTACTTATCAAATGCTACAGATTGTTTTATAAATTAACTTTGTTTACGCAGTCGCGATGATTTAAGTTTGTTCACAATTCATTGACATTGAAACTTTGAGATGTAGAAAACATGCAGAGCTGAAATTATAAAACTGATAAAGTTGATTCATTTATCATTCGAAACCTTCATTATTGAAGTATCACGTGCCCTGAAATTTTAATAAAATTAGTACTCTATTTTATGCATCTAATAACATAATAGTAATTTTAACTTCCTCTAAGCAAAGCAAGAAAACGGAAGAGCGTTTCATACTTCTAGAAACTTCAAACAGATAAACAATGAAGCGTATATATCTGATCTCCGAATTTGAAAATCGGCAAATCCAGCGGAAGTTACGCAATCTAGTTTCCTCGCCAAGAAAGGAACAAACAGACCGAATTCCTTGACGATTCATCGGCACGGTGGTTTTGATCTTTTATGTTCCTTAGCTTTTCCATCTGTTTACAGGTATACAATGGCCTCAGGAAATGTCGCTACCGGAATTTTTGACTACCATCATCTTACAAAAAAAAAGGTAACCGTCTGGGTTGTGTTTGCGGTGTGTAACAGTTTTCAGGGGGGGGGGGGGGGGTGTTATCTGTGATTTGACTAATCAGACCTACAACTTGATTAAATGATCAAAAGTCGATATCACAAAAGTGAATTCGTTTATTTGCAGTTTTGCATGAAAAAAAATTTAAGTTCAATTTTTGATTATAAAAAAGATATTTTTAATTTTTAATCTAGCATTCATACAAATATAATTAATTAGCATAAGCACTTACGCCAATAAATATTTACACGTACTAATTTTAATTCTCGCTTATTCGTAAATATTTATTAGTGAGAGTATAAGCAAAAAGATAATAGGCGTGTCTTTTATTTTCAACTTTTGGCATCGCTGCGGCTTTCTGTGATTTTGAAACTTGATCGAAGTAAACAGCCAAGTTTCCCGCTAGATGGCTAGGTTCGTATATTTTCCATACTATATTGAAATTATACACATGGTATTATAAATTATATTCTAATATTCCAGCTAAGACTATTATAGTTTAAAATGTATAACGAGCATAATTTAATTTCACGAAGAAGTCATGTGGAAATAGTTAATCGATTATTTTCAGCAAAGTTTAGTGAAGTCACTTAATACATTTACAACGTCTTGTAATACATATGCAAGTCACGGGTCACCGATTAAAATTTAAAGAAGAGTTAAACATCGCATTCATAAAAAATCTCACCTTCACCGTTCATTTCACTCGTACTCAAACAAGAAAACTCAAAGAAAAAAATTGTGTGTGGAATCAGCAGTGCAGCAACGCTACGGAAAGAGCGAGGAAGAAAAAAGGAAGAAGACCGGACATGTAGCGTTAGCTCGACCTCGTAACCCACAGGACAATAATTAGGAGGGTGACAATAGCGTGCGAGGGCTTGCCCCGAAGAGGTGACAATTGGCCGGATGTTTCCCCCCGTTCGGCATTGTCGCTTCAGACTGGTCGACGCCGCTTTTCTCCCTCTCAAACTTTCTTTCTCTCTCTCTCTCTCTCTCTTTCCCTTCAGGGGTGGTGCGCCCGACATTTCATACAACTGGGAATCAAGCGGAAAATTTGACGTATGCCCCCCCACTGTCTCTTCGATACTTTTCTTCGGCGACGCCTACTACTATGGAGCACACACTTTAGTCGGAAATACAGTTAGATAGGATAAATGAGGTATGTTTTTATAAGAGCTGTGGAAGTATGATTTTAGTATTGATTGACTTGAGGTTTATAGATATATATCATCGGCTCTACATTCACTCTTATGGGTACTAAGAAATGATTGATGTTTCTTATGTTAACGATTCGAGTCGTTCGTACAATGGAAATTCCGTACTTTGTCACAAATGCAGCTCTAAGTACAATAAATTAAAAATATAATGTCGGGCTAGTAGAGACGTGCGAATTGTTAAAATTAAATGTTATGCTCAAAAGTTAGCGGAAATTCTATATCCTAAGCCAATTATTCTAATTTTAAATGCTGACAAAATTGTACAATTAAAAAATTGAAATATACACTGCTGCTATAATTAGATGTCTATTTATACCGTTAACTATGCAAGGTTTAAGTCTCAGCATGAAACAATATTAAAGAAAAGAAAGTGCACGTAAAGAATTTCTCAGAGGCAAACTAGACACCTACACTTATCCTCCATCATACACCCAACATCTTTTTTCCTTCCCTTTCCATTTCGATTATCTACTCGCCATAGAAACTAATGCCACACATCTCGTTCTGGAATGGTATCCAGCTACGCGGAAACGCGGCAGATATATACGGGAGGGCTGTAATTTTTCTTATTGTCAGCAGAAACGCGCACAGACCGTGTTTTGCCGTGGCAGTATACGGGAGGGGAATCTGCGCGAACGTATTTCGCGCGTGTGTGCGCGTACATTCGAACCGACGGGACGGGAGATGGGCATGCGAAGCTCCGCCGTATCGCCGTAGATTATCATTTCATTTTTCTTTCTTTGCCTTTCACTTACGCATTTCTCTTGTTTACCGCTGTAGCAGCTTGATGCGCTGCTGAAAATGGATGATATTGCGAAAGGCTTGTCGCCCTACGGAAATGCGAGTGGAAAAATATCGGTTGAAATTGAAACGAGCTGACGAATTTCATTGCCTCCATTCGCTCGGCATCTGATTTTCAAGTGTCATACGAGAATAATACTCAATTGGCTATCGGTCTGATCGCCACTCTACTGCGCAACAAAAATCAGTTTTCCAAACCCAGCACGTGAGGCATACGAGGTCAAAATCTCCGAAGCGATATCACGTGTACGCCATCGATTTTGAATAATAACTCATAACTAGAAGCGCGCCCGACACCGAAAAATCATTGCAGCTACTCACGATAAAGATACAAGAAACAATAGAGGGGGAGGGTAGTCGGTTGTATAGGGCAAGTACGAGGCAAGCGGGTGTCGAGCCATTACCGCGCTTCCGGCAACAGAAAGCAGCACTTAGCCGCTTTTGCCCCTACGTGCGTATATAGATCGCGACTATCATCGTCGACGTTTAATATATTGTTCTGTGGGAACATTTTTTCGCTGCGATTGTGCTTTTTCCGAGGTTCTTTCAATCATGTGTTTTGATATATTTTATGGTTTTGGCGTGATAATATGACGATCAGGACTTGTTAATTAATTAATGTAAAGTACATTATGCAACATGGAAAGCTACTTTTTTTAGATGATGGAAACAGTTAGAATTTTTATTTTTCGAACGTCAAATTATACGAAAAGATCACGGTGTGCTTATGCAACATATATCAGCCAAAATTTATTATTTGGATACGGTGATAAATGAACTTGCAAAAATGTTCGAAAATTTCGAGATGGCTGATTTCTCAATAAATGCAACAAATTTAGAAAACTAGGTTAATATTACCGAAACTAAATATACAAGAAATCGAGTCGTCGACGTCGTTCATTCACGCGCATCAACGAAATCAAGGTATGAAGATTTTTATTAATGTATCGCGACAAGCGAGAAAGTTTTGACGACAGCAATTTAGCAAAAGCCTACGACGGTGGATTTGTCTTTAAAATATTTAAATATAGCGAGAGGCGTGAAAAGAGTGAGAGAGAGAGAGAGAGAGAGAGAGAGAGAGAGAGAGAGAGAGAGAGAGAGAGAGAGAGAGAGAGAGAGAGAGAGAGAGGCGACACCCAAAAACACTCGAAACCTTCGGTAAAAGTGGAACGAGCGAGGTTAGAGAAAATGGAACCGTTTATCGGCTGGATTCAAGCCAGAACACGGGAACAAATTTGTAATACGTCGATATGTGTAAGAAATAATTTTTTCGTCAGTTTTAAAAGACATTGCTGTGACATGGACAACTTACGAAACATAAGTGTGATGTTCGATTTCCAATTTTCTTTGTTATTTTTGAAGAGTTATTTATTCACTTTTGCATACATAAACTGAGAGTGAAAATTGAAAGGTTCAAAATGAAGAACAAAGATATAAGGTGACTCTACAAATTAATTTTATCAAAAGAAAACCGAACTAAAGCTGCACCGATGACGTTGCAGTTTGTCTGCGGAGCAGCGGCACGTGGCTCACGCGTGCACGATTTAATAGTTCTCATTTTGACGTTTTAATACTTGAATCGATAGCGATGATATTTCAGTTCCAATTGTTTTCCTAATTATCGTTGAAAAATCTACTTGAATTGTTTGATAATTTTTGTTGCTCGCGATTACTGATCAATGATGTATCAGAACCACGCAAACATGCGTGTTTTTAAACTGTTGGGCAATTTGACAATATTAATTATAATAATCTATCACTTTAAATACAAAATAAATCATAAGTATTAATAAACAAAGCTACTACATTAGTTTTATATCAGCCATAAATAATTCATCTTTTAAAATTTCTTTGAATTTTATTTCCAAATAACAGTTTATTGCTGTTCCGCAGTCAAAGCGCGCTTTTAAATTTTTCACTAACACGATCAAATTAATTTGTTAATTTAGTTTTAGATATATAATTTTCTGTCAGACCACTCTTATTTTATAATAATTTTTAATTTGATTAATTGGAATTTGAAAGTACATATGCCTCATTCCATGTATCGCAATAGTATAATAGTTCTAACTAAATAATTAAGTGGGAATGGGAATTAATAGTAATAATCTTGCTTTCTCAGCAGTTGAAACAAAATTAAATATCGGGTTTATAACCGTTTAAAAGACAACATTTTTCAATTTGGATATAAAAAACGTTTTCTAAATTAAAAGATCAAACCGCATGTTGCGCATTTACCCTCAATCCTGATAATCTCTTTTTTTTATTTATAACTCCGCCCTTTAAATCAAAATTAAAACCGACTTTTGATTAGCAAAATCATTCTAATTATTTCGCCACATTGATCTAAAAAAAATATAAAATTATCCAACTCCCGTCCTCATAACGGATCATCACGTGTCTACCTAAAACAACAGCGAGCCGTGCGAAAAAGAAACTCAAGTTGCTCCTTCCGTTGGGAGCGCATATATACGCGTAAGGATATCGACCACTCGCGCGCGTTCACCCCTCTATATAAGACGAGCCACGCCTATCTCCCAGGTGAACCAACCCGCCGCGCCCCCTTTTTTTCTTCGTACAAGGGGGATGATGATGATACCGAGGTCTTGTTCTTTTTTTCTCACTGTTGCGCTGCAGGATGGATGCTTGTGCACGAGCACGAGAGGCAAGGCGGAAAGTTAGCCGAGTTGCTTTGGAAAGAGATGAAAGTTTCTTCTTCAAAGTGAGATTGCAATTGTGTCCGAACAAAAGTACATCCCGGCACATTCAAATTGAAAGCTACAACTCCACAGACTCTCCCTTATAATCCAATTGAATTTCCGACACCTACTACGAAAATATTTGCGGTAAAGCTATATGCCGTGTTTTTCCAAGCCGTGGAATATACGGGAGACACGGTGGACACATTATTATCTGCGAGAGATCGATGCCAATTGTCTGAACATGCCACGAAAATCCCTGAAAAAATATTTGGGCCAAATCGACCGATTTAGCTCACTCTCTCCCTACACGTCGTGTTAAATTGGCCTGGATTTTCACGCATTGTGTCGCTCGTCCTGTTTTTCTTACCCTCACACTTCTGCTAGAGCGGCTCTGTTGTACGTATACAGAAATTTTCGTAGGGGATTTTCATGTTTTGAGTGAGGCGATCACCGAGTAAGTAGTTTAGCGACCAAATGCTTCATCTTTTTTTCTTTTTGATTTGGTTTAAGGAGGATTCGGGTCGAGTAAGCGATATTGTTTTTTCTAAGTTGAACGAGTGTCCTCCATAAATGTTTACAATTTTCTTTTCATTGATATGTTTTTATACTTTCGTACAAAGCCAGTTACTTCGGGAAACGAATCTATTTTCGTTAGTTTCTTTCATACTTGTTATTGTCGCTGAAAGTAATATCAAAGAAATAGGAAAACATATGTAAATGCAATCAAGTCTTTGAAGTGAATCTTTTAACTATGAGATTCACAGAAATGTCGATATTTTTAATGTAAAAAAATCTGCTATTTTACTGAGTAAGACGTACTGAATTATGCAATTCTAGCAAAATATTTTCAATAAAAAATAATATAATTATTGAATAATCTCAAAAATATATTAATATAAACTTGAAATAAATTACGATTATTGATTAAAGTCCATTCCGTGTTCCAAAATCTACATACCCGTCACTTCGGTATGGCATTACTCGGGTGAAAAGCGAGTCCACATTTAACGGGCTTATCCATGGCTATTGTGCTCACGTCTCGCGAAGGAGAGAGAGCTTAGCTCGGCTGGGGTATTCGGGTGAAATTGAGCGGGAAATCAATGCACGCGTTGACACCCACGTTCAACAGGATAATCCTCTCCCTCTTTCCAAGCGTTCGCAGTAGTTTTTTTTCGGAGAATCGCTTTTTTGTCCTTCAATTTTCGTAAATCGGCGGTAGGTGACGAACGAATGAGAGGGATTGCATCGTTTTGATTGTCAGACTGTTATTTTGAGTGCTCGTGTTTTTTTCTTCATTACTTGAGGATCAAGAATGCGATGTCGACAAAGCATTTTGAGTGAGATTTGTAAGAAGCTTTTTTCAGAGTTGAAACAGAAATATCTGAGTTGGAGGTTGGAAATCTGTCGAGTTTGATGTGGACATTTGCGATGGTATAAAAAGTACACCGTTACAGATGATAACTCAATATTAAATTTGCAAGGGTAAGCTATGAAATATATTTATACAACAATTATTAGATTAGAACAATATTATTAGATTTAATTTTTTGCGTGAAGTGATTATAAATTGGGAATGCAGTTGACATTTGTTGATAAATATGTTCACGCGGAATCGGAAATCATACGTACTAACGAAAGAAAGAATCCACTGTCAGATTCAGATCAACTATGCGATTACATGCGCATTTGTATTTTTCAGTTTCATCATAAATAATCGGAAAGCAAACCATTTTTCGGTGTGGCATAACACTGCGCAGTTTCAATTGTGGTGTTGGACCTATCCCGGATACAGGCCTATTAGAAGGCAATTACCTGTTCGACAGTGACCGTCCAAATACTTGTAATTTGTAGTTGTATATATGGTAGGAGGTAGAGCATGAATTAGCACTCCATTCCAGTTTAGGCATTGAATTTTCTCTCAGTAGTGGTGACGTTAACATTAGTTTTTAATATTCACGAAAAAGATGAAAATTGTCGCATTTTGGAGTTGCACTTGGATCAAGGCGTGGTATTGTTCGATCTGGACTGTACTGGTAGTATGACAATATTCTACCTTTTTCAGTACGGAATTCGGAATATAGTTAAAATTCTGCTTCAGCGTCACGTTTCTCCAATGGAAAAGAAGCGAAACGGTCACTTACCTATACATTACCACGCGGAGAATATAAATGAAGCCGCACTTAATGAACTGCAAGGCAAAAGATTCGACGCTAATGTTAGGGATATAGTAGAATGTATGCCATTACATTATCTGTTCCCGTAAAATGTTGATTTCTTGTTGAAGAACAGTGATGAAATTAACAAGTCGAGCAGTGATTTCATGACACCATTGGTTTTTGCGATTTAGTCATCAAATTTGACGAATTCGGAGATGAATTTTAAAAAAATAATAGATTTGCTGCTGAGAGGTGAAGCTGATATACAGTAAGATGAAGGTGGCGCTCGCATCGTTTCCGATATCATTACTTTGTTTAAGACATACAGTTTGTTCGAGCCTATTTTTCTGAATTTGGTAATTCAGGATACGAGGTATTCCTATTGCCAATGTGATGTGGGATATATTAGAATCAGATGTTTAATTTGAGTTATATTTGAATTTGTATCGAAAATAATACTGAGAAATGCAACATTTAAATATTGATGGGTATTTTACATTTTTTCAATTTATTGTCGAAAGAATTGAGAAAGCCATCTGTACGACTCAAATAAAATATGAAACTGCTATTACATTTTTACAATATTTTCAATTTAAGGCAAGGTGGCTATCATGCTGTGGCGAATATGATTGTTAAATATCTGAATGATTGTGATTTTAGAAGTTTGATCAACGTGTAAAGAGGATAATAATTAAAAACGAGATGTTCCCTTTTTTAATTGTATAAGAAATAATCGTAAATAGATTATAAAGATTGTAGATATGAAACTAAATCAGAATAAATCATATTGATTTACGATAATTCTATAAATTCGATTACTTCTAAGAGTCATTGGCCTTGTTATTCTCGTAATCTAAAACTCGGTTGCACCTAAAGTCCTCTAGTCTCCTGAGCTGTATTTGGTATTATCTTGAATCATTTGTTGGTATTTTCAGGTTCGTATTAATTTTCAAAATTCCAATTGAACTGCAATACGCTGAACTGCATTTTAGCTACGGAAGCAGTTAAAGGCACTCTTTTTTGTACAGGCCATCGTATGTAATTATCCATGTAATTTCGTCTTTATAAAATATGAATTATTTCATTTTTCAGAATGAAAAGTCTTAATTGCTCTGCTCATAAACAACAAGATAGCAAGCAACCAATGGAAAGAAGTGATAGAACTCTAGCTGAGGTGTATGGGCGAGAATCTAGGTAGACGGAAAATTCAAGGGAAAAAGTTTGAAAAGCATATCTAAAGTAGCGCCAGTGCGGGAAAGTCACGAAATTCTCTCATCAATCTTTATATTTTACAAATGAATTGTTTAGAAGAATATATAGAAAATTCTATATAATTTAGTTAGAAACTTCAAAGTCGCTATTAAATAGCAATATTTAGTTTACTTATTACTATCCTTATAGTTTTAGCACTTACGCCTACAGAAATAATTGTTGAATTTAATATATTATTATACAATATACCATTACCTGATATCGAGAGATGTGTCACTTAATAGACCAAAATTAAGAATATCATATAATTTATAAACAAGTTGTTAGTTTGTATCTCAAAAATACATTATTTATAAATAGCCGAATATACCGGTTTTTAAAGAAAATATATTTATTTAATTTATATATTAAATATTCATGAATTAATACAATAATTCATGAATATATTGAATATTCATGAATTATTGTACATATATAGAGCAACAAAATAATACACGAACCTCCCTTCCGAATAAATTATATTCAAATTAAAATGTCATACTTACATCTTAATTATTTTTTAAGCAAAAAAACAATTGTTATGTTCATGTAACCGAATAAAATGTATTATGTAACGAGGTTATTATACAAAATTAAATTAATTTATCACAATTTGTGTACAAAATAAGAGTATATTTATTTCCATTTTGAAATATATTTTTAGAAACATAGTCAGTCTTACGTTCAATCAAGCAATATTATCAGCTACTAAATTGGCTAGACTTTGTAAATCTTCACGATTCAAGTAACTAATCACCTCACGGACAATAATATCGTTATATCTAATTGTCGATGCTGTAAGATTTTCTAAAGCGATTGTAGCTTGCTTTCTTAAATTGGCAAGTTCTATAGCATTATTTATACGCATCTGAAATCGGTGGTTAATATAAGCATTACAATGATAATCAGAATTATAAGATTGTATTTTCGAGAGAATTTCGTTATTGTACATATAAGATGTAATCTTATCTTCACTTTCAATTAAAAAATCATATAATGTTATTTCTTTATAAATTGTCTCTTGTTGTGTTTTTATGAGCCGCTGTTTGCAAAAACTGAATTGCATTTCATAAAAACAATTTAAAAAAATTTCTTCCTGAATCACTTCAGTAAGTTCTTTACCAAATGCTTCAAGCAAGACAAAATGTCCTATTAAAAGTACCGACAACCGTGCAAAATTACGCGACTGCGGCACGTTGAAAACTGTATATCCGTTATCACTAAATTGAGCATCCGCACCATGATCTAAGAGCAACTCGATGCACTTTTTACAGTTATTGTACTGGTCTGCTCCTGTGATTGCATAAAACAACGGGACTGCTATAAAAGTGTCGCTTACTTTATTTACATCGGCGCCTTTGTCAAGAAAAATTTTACAAGCTATTTCGTTCTTTTCTTTAGCAGCGATATGTAGTGGTGTACGGCCCTTGTCATCTTCAACGTTAGGGTCTATATCGCGGGATTTCAACAACTGGACTACATCAGTATTACGATTTTTTACTATATAATGAAGTATAGTTTGATGAAATGCATCTCGCGCAGCATAATCAGCATTTAAATTTAATAATATCTCGATAGCTTCTTTTGGTCCATAGCACATCAAATTATATATTTGCATTCTATAAGTTTCATCAAGCAGACTCCATTGACATCTATGTTCAAGGAGAAGTTTCAAAATATCTTGTTGTTCAGCAGTGGCATAAAAAATATTTGGATAATTTATTGGTATTTGTCCTATGGTATTTCGAGCATTCACATCAGCGCCGCATTCTAGTAGTAATTTAACCATTTCAGTTTGCCCAAAACGTACAGCAAAATGTAACGCAGTATGCCCTTTCACATCTTGTGCATCGATTGCAAAACCGTGGTCTATCATTATTTTTATTACAGCACATTTCCTTGTATGAATCGCGTAACATAATTCACACTTTTCCGCAATCAGTATATTAGCTAACTCCATATCATCGCCACTTCTCACTTTCACTTTTTGTAGCAATAATCGAGGTACATACCTAGATAACTTTTCTTCACTTAAAATTGTGTGCAACCAACTCCTACCGACACCTTCATCAACGTAAACTTCAGTTACATAGCGAACCAACAAAGAGATCATGCTCTCATCTTTCTTCGCCAGACCTAGTAGAAAAGGTGTTCGTCCGGAATTATCAACTGCATGAATACTGCATCCTAACTTTATGAGTATAGCTGATATCGATACGTTATTGTATTCAACTGCGTAATGAAGCAATGTACATCCAAAAGTATCGACTAAATTATCAATATGAGATATCTCGTCAAGTTTTGTAAGAAATCGGTCTACTTTATCATCTTGGCTCCAAATATAATGTAATAGGTGACGATTAAAAGTTTTGCAACCTCTGTGATCGGTTAACTGCAAAATTTAATAACGTTAAATATTTTTTTAAAAATTCTTTGAAAGTTATTATTAATGTTACTTCTAAATCAGCATTATTAAATTATATGAGTGATATTAACAATTAATAATTATTTTATTCAATGAAATATAAGACTGATAGAACAACATTTTATAAACACTATTTTCGGAAAATTGGTATAGGTATTATATCTATGTTTATATAAATATATAAATACAATATTCAATTGACGACGTAAGATATTTAAGCCAACTAATATAGATGCTTATACAATATATACATAATGTAAGCGTTTATATTTGTTGTTTAGGCGCGTTGACGTATGCCTATTAAATACATTTAGCCGTGAGAATGAATACTTGGCTCACCGGGAAACAAAACAAAGATTTCAATAAATGCATTTACCAAAATATCGTATGAATTATAAACACAATTAGGTGAATCATCCATTGTCAACTATGTGAATATAACTTGCAGTACTGCAATTTTCTTATGTTTTCGCGAGCAACCTTCACTAATTCAACAAACTATCGTAGTGTTAATAGCCTAACAAAGCCTTATTTTCTTTCCACATTTGTATTTATCTCTCTAGCACATTTACTTTTATCTCTCTAACAAAAATTTTCATAAAATATGAAGCTGTTAAATTAATTTAACGACAGAGGGGCTGAGAACTAATAAATTTAATACTTAAAAGAAGTCACTTTGCACCAACTACTCATTTTTGTCTTCACGTTAATTCACAATCTCACTTATTTTACAAAGCGAAAAGACCCTCGCTTCTACGCATCTATTTATATCCACTTTGGCATCATCTATCTTCGTTGATTATATATGACACATAGCAGGGACTTGGAATTAGAAACAGAGAAGCGTTAGATTGGGGCAGGTAGGATAGCGCTCTTGCGGAACAGTCACCAAGTTACCGACCGTTTGGTCACTCATATTTTATATACATGTACCAACAAACAAGGTATATATACACTGTATTCCTTGCTAATAGCAACGAATTTGTGCACTTGTCGAAAAATAATTTTCATGGGTGTCGTTAGAGTAACACGTCGCGTAACTGAATGCAGTTTATATATGAAGCTGTAGCAATCCTACCATCAGACGGCGCTACTACGCCCCCGGTATACATGTGAAGTGATTTATCCGTAGCAGTCAACAATTTCCGCTCGTTCCATAATTGTAGAAACGATAAAGAAAACAAAACAACAATAAAATATAATGAATTCATATTGGTTATTTGTGTGCCTTGGGCGAGTCAAGTGTTAGTTCGGTGCGGGGAAGATGATTGCAGCGCGGGACAGCACGAGGCCGAGGTAGCGAGCGAAAAAGAAGTCTACATTGAAAATAGTAATGCCGAGCGCTATAATGACCTACATGAAAATTACAGCAAAAGCCAGCTTTAAAATGAACCCTTTGAACGCTTTCTTTCTGAAATATGTGTCAGATACAGCGCGGTATCATCAATAAAGCTCGGTATCCATTAAAAAGCAATCGCTGCGCGAGGTCAGACCCCGTCGATAATATCAGATAAAGAAAGTAGAGCTGCACGTGCGCTACGCCATTGTCAATCGATTTCACCCGTGCACCGATGTCCCCTTGCCTTTTTGACTTCTTTTTACTACTGCGATCATCAGAGTGGGAACAGGATGCTTATCGCTAGCCAAATTGGTAGCTGATTGCAAAGCTTCGTATCGTCGTCATGCGATTTCACAGTATAGGCGCAATAAAGACACAATCTCGTATTATTTTTCCAAGTTACGTCTTGAAAATGGCCTTTGCCCGAGTTACATTAGTCCCAGGAAAGCTTGTGTATTCGAATGTTTGCCTATTGGAGCGCGCACATTTGTCTAAAGTCAAAACGAGCGAACGTCGGCCGGGCGAATCTCTCGAGCGAGGAATGAAAAATCGGCCGTTCGCGGCAATATCGATTAAGTAATCTTAATACATCGCTGGGCTGCGCTGGGCTACGCGAGCAGCGTAGCATAAAGCTTACGAGAGAGGCCAGGAAACGGAAACCATCCATTCTTACGGGGGAAGCGAATATGCTTTGCGCAGGAGAAAATTCCACTTTGATTAATTTTGCCAACGGGGTAACTTTGGCTGTCGTCCAGAGCCATACGTGTGCCCGACGTCGTCGTCCTCGACATTAACTCATCCTATGTTATACATCACCGCTCCATTATTCTTTTTATTTATTCTTTTTCTTCGTCGTTTTCTTTGCTTTGTTTTTCGGCTGCTATAATTCGCCTCGCGGAAATAGCGGTCGACGAGAGCTTTTTATATATATCCAACCCTTTTGCCAATCACGTAGCAGTTTTATTTTTTGAAAACGCTTGACGGATTATTCAGCTGTTGTCGATCTGTTTTTCTCCTCAAGGTTTCATGGAAATGTTACTTATTAATTCTAAATTATGTAATAAAACTAGTTATGTTAAATGACGCAACCCTTTATAAACAATTTTCCGTTTTTTTCGTTTTTTAAATCAAATCAATACTGTACTAATTAAAATTTTAATAACAACTATAATCTACTATACTTACAAAAGTCCATTCTATAACAAACTTTGAAGATCGTAATTTGGCTTCTAAGTAATCGCCTGTATACAAAATATCCAAACCAACAAAAGAGAGAGGAGCAAGTAGAGAATCGAAGCTGCCTCGAAGGAAAAAAAGTAAGCCAGTCGTTCACATGTAATTCACGAAGCATTAGTCCTCGTAAAGTGGACATTTACATTGTGCGTGTTTCCCCTTTCGTGACGTAGAAATCGAGTTTTCTCTGTCTCTCCCTTTCCCTTCGGAACTCGCTCTCGCTAAACTTTGCGCCGCGATTGAAAAACTTTGCGCGCTTGTTTCCCTCTCTTGCGTACTTTTTTCTCTACCGTTTCCGCGTATCCCGACGACGACAAGCTTAATAGGGGAATCTTGTTGTCGGACTCTAGACGTGTCGAGATAAACACTCGCTTGAGGTGGGTTCATTGTTCTCAACGCGTCTGTCTATCAAATATACTTTTTCATCGTTACTTGTCTATCTTTTCAAACTTTTTTTCAAGGATTATTTAAAATAAATTCTCTTCTGCTCTTTTATTTATTTCTTTTTAATTGAAAAAACTCATTGATTTATATTGAATCGGAAATACGTCACTTTTACCCATAGCCATCGTAATGCATATGATAAAGATAGTCACGCAATCAAACAACTCATCAAAATTCACAGGAACCACGACAAAGAGTCAACGAATCATCGACAAACATATCAAAACATCTTTCCCATGACCGAGTAATCAGAAACTTACATACAGCTAATTTACTCGTCGCACGAAGGACAGCGAAAGCGAAATATAAAAAAAGTAAAAGAGCAGTTGGAATCGATATCAATTAGGATGCCTTTTCCGGTCGCGTGTTCGCAGGCGCTTCCCTTTCTTTCACCCCTCCTGTCGCTTAGATAGCATCGATGTGCGTGGGTGCTGATTCGTCTCACGGAACTGCCTTTTGTGAACGCCACTTGATGCAAGTCGCCCTTTCTTTTTTTTTTCTCTTTAACGTGTGTTTGGATAATCTTTTTTCTGTCACTTGACTGTGCAGCAACGCTTAAAGTTTTGTTGATGGGGTGAGAAACGTTAGGTTTCTTGTTATTGTTTGGGGTAATATGCGAGAGATCGCGTATTGCTTGGTTATCGCGTATTGATTGATACTTAATACGTTAATAGCTCAATAGGCTTATATAATTTCAAGTTTGTAGTTGAAAAGTATAAAATAAACAATGTGCACGGAGAAGAAAGAGTTTGAACTACAGAGCTTTGCGTTATTGTTGTAATGCACCAATGTTTTAAATGTAAATGATATAATCGGTCTCATTCATATTTGAAACCAATATAAAAAATATCTTGTTACAGGCTATTCTGGTATAAAGTAATTTATATTGTAAACAATCTCTTAGATAAAACATTCCAATACATTCAAAATATATATGGTAAGTAAAACGAGCTATTTAGCGGAAATCGAAATTTAATTTTTTGTTGAGCTCCGCAACAAAAATTTTGAAGATATACTTGTTCCTCGCCGAAAATTTTAACGATATGTTTTACTGAAAATTTTTAAATACCGAAAGAACATGTTTTACAGCGTTTGAAGGAATCTTGTTTATCTTCTCCTTATATATCTAAATAGTTAAGCATTGACTACATTCTTAACCTATATTTTCTTTTCTACAGATTTTAATAATTTTTATTTCCAATGAATTCCACGTTAAGTTCATGTTTATAAACTCTCATGTCTGCAATTAATAATTGAAAAAAAAAACAAATATAATCTTAACACATGATTTGCGCATGTCCAACTGCCACATCATTTAAATTATTCTTTTTCACAAAACAAGAAGACATAGCAGCTCATCGTTACTCTAACCAAATAAATTACAATATCAGCATAGAAACAAGCCGAGCGCTCGTCGGAACGTAAATCACAGCGCGTAAAGGAGAGTAAAAAGCAGCAGTTACCGCATGGCGCCCGACCGAAGCCGAGTGTTCGGGTACGCGAGCGCAGGCAGGTCTCGAGAATCGAGTGTGCCGACAATGATCGCACGTATAACTAGCTGACGGCGAGCGGCGTTCGCGAACAAAAGAGAGCAGAGGGTTAAAGAAGGGCCACCCCACGGAAACCAACCAATAAAACACTCCCTTGAAGCTACGGGTACACGCTCATCTCGTCTCATCGTCTTTCTATTCAGCTCGTCTTCTTTTTTTCGGGGGCTTTATCGACTGCTTTCTGTCTTCAGTTCGCATTTGTCAAGAGTGAACTTTCCTCACGTTGATTTATTCGCTTATTGGTGTTGAGATGTAATTTTGAGATATTTGTTTACATCCGAATAATGCATACTTTCACGGGTGATCCGCTCGGCCCGGATGTGGACGTCGTCAGTGAATTTCAAGAAAAACTAACAATCGTCTTATAAACATGCTGTCTTATATATAGACCTTTTTTCATTCACTTGAATGATATAAATTAATCAAAAATGTTTGAGCCGCATTTAACGCAATAAATTCAGTTCAATATCGAATCTAAAAAAAACAAAGCTAATTTTACGCAAGTACTTAGAGTGATGACCATCGGCAAGAAAAACAGACAAATTCAGATCGCAGACTAATTTTCATCAGTGCGAATCCTCCAAAAAAGCAACTTTTCCCCTTTACGGTCATAACTCTTCATTCAATCTGTTCGAGCGCTGGTTGCATCCTTCTGCTATATTTTTACTGCATCGCCCCCCATGTGTTTTTTTATATTCCTGGAGAGAGAGAAAGAGAGAGAGAGAGACGTCCACCCCCTCGATTAGACTCGGAAATATTAGGGGACGTCCCGCGGGGTAAAGGTCGATCGATCGACACTGATTTTTCCGCGATTGTGCATTGCACGCGCCCGAATCTCTCTCTCTGTCTCTCGATTTTTTTGTCGGATGACTCGACTACTTTTCGGCCAAATAGCCCTGATTTATATTCATGCATAACGCGCATCGGTGGATTCACGCGCGCGCGTGTATCGGTAAGAGATATCGTTCGATATGTTATTCGTTATCTTGTGATTTATATTTGTGTCTAATCTCGATTTGTACAGAATGGCATACTTTTTTTGGAGGGGTATATCGACATAAGTACTTGCACTGCTTGTTCTCATATTCTTTGCGACATATACTTAATATAAACACTACAAACATTACGTTATTAATTTCTTTAGTCTAAAAAATGTTTTATTGGTAAAAATTGTTGTTTTTACTTTTGCCAAAACGTAAATTGCCTGAGATAAAATTTGGCACCCATTCAAAATCCAGCGTAGTTTATTGGTTGAAAGATAATTGACAAAACTAACGTATGAGAATTTAGCGAAGACTGACCAATGCATCACCATATGGTCGTCAAATGTTTAAAATAGAACTTATACATTTCATTTGGCCAACTCAAGATTATAAGCTGAATTTATCTTTCGTTCATTTGTCAATTTAGAATTAAACTTAAAATTACAAATTAGACGAGAAAATTAGAATCTCACTCATCCAAAATCAACGACAAGCGAAACATACCTTTTCAGGATGTGAGTCAAGGAAACGAATCATCGCTAAATTTTCCAAAATTGTAACCGTGAGTGTAAAGTAACGTCAACAGTGAGCGAAAGCGCGCCAACTGAAAATAGATTGGCGGCGCTTCGTATTACGCAACATGCGATCACCTCTTGCGAAAAATATCCGGAAGGAGCTTCCTCCTACAATTTTATTTATTGTGCTGCATCGCGAACAATAAATTGCTGTACAATAAATTTCAAAGTGTTGATGCGTCTGGCGTGTTCGTAGTTAAATCAATGTATTTTTGCGATAACATAATTTATGCAGTGCCTTTTGTGTTTTATAATACCAGTTTGATTAGACCTTGATGAAATAACGTATATTTAGAAATTACAAATTACATATAAAAGGGAAATACGTATTTTTGGAAGAAATAACGAACGTGACAAAATTCATCTTCCACTAAATCCAAAAAAAATTAAAGTACATAAATGAGATGTCGTTTGACCGAAAAGTAAAATTCAAAATCATTTACAAAACTCAGTCAAAGTGAAAATTCTTGAAGAAATCGCAGCTCCTAACCACAACGATGAAGATAGAAGAAAAAAAGAGACATCGTAAACGTCCAGTAAGCGTGCAGAGAGCTCGCGCAAAAAAGGAAAGCCGATGGACCGTGTCCGGATCGCGATAGCAGAGTGCACAGCTCGTATAAATCATAGCTTTCGCGCAGAGGCAGTTGAATGTTATCGAGGTCCTTCCAGTCGAGCTAACTCCCGCGCCACCGGCATATGTCGACCGCTGTCCAGTCCATTTACCCTGGCTAGGCGATCATCTTATCCAACTTCTCAGCAAATTATACAATCTCTTCTTTATTCTTTCTCCTATGGATCGGAGCAGAGTGCACATTGCGATCTAACTTCGTCTGGTAAATAAATAAATGCGACGAGTCATATTTTTTACGCACAAAGAGGCAAATCTAATTAGTTTCCTCGGATGAATAATTTCGGCTACTTGATTCAACATTCATGACAATATTTTCAGATAACAAGACACACCGATGAAATCTTTTCTATTGAAATTCTACTTGGTAATTGGTATTCGTGAAAACATTTTCATAATTTTCAAAAGCTCAAAATCAAAAAAAGATGAAACGAAATATATTGAGGTTGTTGACCGAAAAATTGACTATTTTCATGTGGATTTCGTAACATATTGGTTCGTTAATAAAAACAATAACAAAAATGGAATATTCACTTACACATTGCACACATAATAATCGTAAAAAAAATAGAATTAAAAGTTTTGGCGAAAATCTGCTTTTCACCAATTTGTTTATAAGAGATAAATACAATTATAAAACTAATTAATTTATTCACTATCACAAGAATTCAACAAAATCGCCCTAAATTATTTCTCAGTCAAACCAAGACATTGCGATGGAAGAAAAACATAAACAAAAACATGCCTTTCTGCAAGGTTGCAAAAAGCCTGTAGAATAAGACAATTGCATTACACGATTACGTCTGCCAGCAGCGATCGTCGGTCAATTCTCTCCCTCTCCCTCTGTTGATCCCTTCAGGAAATCAGAAGCGGTAACAAGATGGCCGCGCGCGCCACGGAAGCCGGAAACCGGAAGCACGTCACTCATCCAAGCGCAAAAAAAGAGAAGATAGAAGAAGTAAAAGGGACTGGACGCTCTCGGACGGCAATCGAAGCGCGACCGAAGGATTTCGGTCTGTCTACCCCTTGTCTCGCAAGGACAAATACGATTGTCAGTTGCAGTCACCGAGGGTACATGGCTCTTCTCTCTGTACATACTTACTAGGGGAGATGATATGTGTCAGTGTTATTCGATTTGGCGAGTCGTTGATTTTAGTTCCTCGAGGATCTGATAGTTGATTGTATTTGTACATGCTGTATTTGAGTGTACAATGCCTCTTATATTGTTTGTATTTTCAAGCTTCGTTTAGCATATATTTCATTATCATCAGTGTTAACAATTCCGATTTGAATGAACTTTCATTTATCCATAATTTTTTTTTATTCCTTTTTTTTCAGATCATAAATTTATTATGTACGCTGAAGCTTATACTGTTTATTTTTGTTTAAATTACAAAGGTGCACTATACGTATATTTGTCCGATTTCTTACTCGTATTATTGCGACTTTCAAAAACTGTATATACGATTAAAAATAATAAACAGCTAAGAAAAAATGTTACTTTAACGTAACTCTATTGCTATCACATGAAAAATTTTATATCAATTACAAATATTATCATGCTAACTCAAAATGACACTAGCTAATGACAAATCAACTTGAATAGCTGGATTTTTATGTAGGCGAGCATACACCAAAGAGAAACTCGAAAGTTTGATGTATTAATGTAACTTTTTTCTAAAATAAAAATGATATTTTTTTCGTTGTAATTGATAACTCAGAGATCATATTCAAATGAGTCAGAATCTGGAAGGCTTTTGATGAATCTATGCTCTACGACTTTTAAATACAAGTAAATATCCAAACCGCAACTAACACAATTCTAAATGAATTTATTTTAGAGCAATCATCTCAAATATGACTTAGTCAAAAATTTAGATACATATTAGATTCCTTGCAAGCAGTAGCAGGTAAAAACAGTTAATTAAAAAATTTACGAGAAGTTTAGTTAATTATATATAAATCTATTACGTATGAAGTTATTACGTGCAAAAGTAAATCTTCAATTTAATATTGACATTTTTAGCGTCAATAAAATAAAATTCAGTTTAAAATGCACTATTACTTAGTTTATATTAAGAAAATTCAAAAGTTATTCTCGATATCAAAATATAATAGGTTGAGGGTAATGCAAAAAATAAATGATGTAGTTGATTTAATTATTTTTTGATCTTCGTCTCTTATTTATTAAATTAATACGCAATTTTTGATATACGATTTCACTGTGTAGTTATAATACATAATGTAAATTATATACAGTCACTAGAATAAATATCGCTATATTTGAAAATTATTTATTCGGTTCAAGAAAATACGGAACCGTCCACTTAAGTATTTCCTGAAGAAATTGTCTCTCACGAAAGGATCCTACAGAAATGTGAAACCTATTCTTTACAAAGAAAATAATTTCTAGCTATAATCAGAATTTCAACAACCTCACACGAATTGAAAAGTTCACTGGTGAAATGTCTCTCGTCAAGTTTATATTTGTTTTTGCACGTGCGTCCACATCTGACAACATCTTTGGCTTGGCCTGTCTCTCACACATTCATTCATCCTCGCGCCCGTCGCTCTCACCACCAGTACGGTTTTTGCATATAAGAGTGCATTGGTATTTGTCCATTGAGCCCCGAGTAGGTCGACGCAGCAGAAACAGCCGCCGCAGCAGCTGCCGCGGCAGCGGCCGAGCCTGGTTCTAATAGCTTCGATTGGCAAGGTTTTCCATCGCGAACTAGAACTGGAACAGCAACTCGACGTGGTGAACAGTCTAGTCTCGTGCCAGCGGCTTCCACTCTTTCAGTGGCAGCGCGTTTCGTCTTGTACCTGTGATTTTGGAACCAAATTTTCACTTGCGTCGGTTTCAATCGGATTATCGAGGCGAGATGTTCGCGTTCGGGCGCACTCAGGTAGCGCTGCTGTCGGAAACGACGCTCCAGCTCGTAGGTTTGAGCTTTGGTGAATAGAACTCGTCGTTTGCGCTTTTTGTGCTCCGTTTCGTCATGATCGTTAGAGTTCCCTTCCCGACGACGTTTCTCCCCTTTGTTCGTATTCGTGCCATTGTTATTGTCGCCGGCTAGTTCTTTCGACTTTTTTCTGCCGTCGTCGTCTTCGTCATCTTCTTCGTCGTCGTATTCTGCATCGATCTCTTCCTCTTGTAGATCATCTTCTTCTTTGGAGTCTTGGACACTGCTTTCCCGTTGCGACGGGTACGAGAGATCCGATATCGCGGGGCTCGTTGAGTCTGGTTGTTGCAGTGCTGTAATCATACAAATATTCACTTATCAATTTGACTATCAAAGGAGAAATAATGCTTGAACATCGTCTGCACTGGAAGAAAACTGAAAATCCAATGACTGTCAGTCCTTCCAGCAGAGTAAATAATAAAAGTCACTGTACATCCAACTGGTCAAGCCGAAACCACATCATTCACTCGAAATCTCATCTACAACCGCATTCTCACCCGAGCATAAAAGCCTAAATAGATGACCATCGGAAGAAAAACTTGCACGTCACGCACGAGGGGCTCATCTCTCTGTCCCGCAATGTCCAACTCGAACTTTCATAAATCAAAACAGCGCAAACATATAGTGCTAATTTTTTCTTCGTTCCCGTTGTACTTTTCCCATTAACAGGTACTCGTGTCTCGTTTTTTTTCTTCGCTTTTTTTCTTCGCGTGAATCGATATCGTCTGCTCGGCAGTATGCTCATCGATTTGTTTTCAAATGCAGCTGCGAAGAAAGTGCTGCAGGGGGTCAGGCGTCTGTACGATGACGCGGCGCAGATGCTTTTTTGTAATTTCTGGTTCTTGGCGTTGGATGCTAATTAACGTTGGTTTTTTCGGGGGTGTAATAGCTGCAATCGTTTTCGATTGTCGAGTTGATTGAGTTGTTCGGGAGGTCGACGATTATAGGCGTTTTTTTAAAGGCGGAGTAATTGAGCGATTTTCAGATAGTATAGTATTACGTTTTGATCGCATACCATTTACCACGTAATTTATTATGTTTGAAATCATTGGTTTCTTAATATACAATTTTCATGAAAATAACTCTGGTAGGATTTTGCAGTTAGAACAATAAATAATATAACTAGTGTATTCTACCGCCATTGCAAATCAATGATTGCATTAGTAATTTTAATTCCATTTCTCAACAACGTACTAGTCTCGTGTTCCATTAAAACCCACTATAATATTCCAATATTAAAGAATATATAAAAGAAAGTAGGCAAAGCGAGAGAATAGCACAGAAGCGTCTCCCCGGCCCGCTAATAAAAATCAGGGATGGGCGTATAATTGCGCGGCGCGCGCGGTCAATCGATCAACCGACACTTTCTCTCTTTTCGATTGTCAAGCGTTTAGCTGCACAGCTGAGAAAGAGAGAGCGCAAGTCCCCTTCTGACGCTCCCGCCCCGTGACGAGCATTATGCAATGCGGCGTGTAACCGTGGTAAAGTAAAAAGAAGACAATTGTGAGGAATAGAAACAGCGCGATTGCAAAGAATTTTTAGATGAAAATAATAATTATAACAAAGTGCTGCTTTACGTACGCTCGATCATTTTCCCGAAAGGAAAACAGCTCACACCCTCAATTGCCAACTGTAAATATATCCCGTGCGAGCCCGCTAGCACACCCTCCTCGCTTGACGTGTATAAACTAAGAGGTACAACGGGGATGTACAGCCAATATACTGTGCGCTGTGGATGCGCGTGTGTTTATGTGAGTATCCGTTTCATGGGAGATTTCGGTGTTGGAGCAGCTAGCATTCAATCGACTTCTAGAGAATTTCATCCCCGTTAGCGATTGTAAATAAAAACAAATGTATGAATACATATTTGAGTAAATGGAAAATCGATGAGTTTCTGATGCGAGCAAATTTGTAGCATTTGGACATATATATTTATTTAGCGTATATATTTTAGATCATTGCGATGTGCGTATAAGTTTTTTGCACTTTACATGATTTGAAATTTATATTCGAGAACTATGGGAGTGTGGTCAGTGGATAGTCGCAGTGAATAATAATACTGTTCGATACACTATAAGAATGATTTATTATATTCTTTACAAGACTTTGGAGTTGCGGTAAGTATACGTCGAGACTCTGGATATTTCTCTTAACGAGTCTCAAGCACGGGTAAACCCAGCGGTAACTCGCGGCAGTTACGCTCTCCGCTTACAGAAAGACACATGCACCATACGCAATACATGAGAACATTCACTCTAACAAGATTAAATAACGAAACTCTAAATTCCATTTAACTATAATCGTCAACAAAAATAATACCTATGCGATTTGAATAATCAGCAGCGTGCAACTGTTAAATTGCATCAGCTAACCCATTCGAAGTACGCATCCGTGCAAACCAAAAAATACCAGCTCAGTCTAATCATCGAAACGGAAATAAAATGCGAAAACCGACGTTGTCGCGTTAAACGATCGCGTAATCTCTCTCGCAAGTGGATCAAAAAATGGCCGGTAAACTGTTACACACATATAGGGGCGTGACAATCGCCGCGCATCTGCACGCACATCTGTCCAATCGGGCTCCCATTAGATGCTGTTTAAGAAGAGAAGGACGAGAGGGAGGGGTGAGCCGTGCTAAATAAATATACACCGCGACAAAAAAGAGAAGGGAGGTTGCACGCAGTGTCTTCCAACGCGGAGCTTGATTTATCGATGTCCAACGGACAGAAGTGAGTACCAAGCTTTTTTCTTCATTCAAAGGGATTAGAACCGTCTTTCGGTAAATATATTATGCAGATATGTTGAGTACGTGTACATATATACGAGACACGTTTTGCGCACTCGAGGTATGAGTGGATTTTCGAGTCTTTCTTGAGATTACGGCGAATAATATCCCTCAAGTGCAACACGCACACGCGCACATACACATACATACACATACATATACGCACACACACGCACATACAGCCGCAAACAAACAATTGAACTAATAAAGAAGCACAAAAAAACAAACCGTTGACTTCGTCGAGGGTTTGGGGAAGTGAAGGTGGTTGATGCCAACTCAATAGTCCGGCGGCCGTCGGCGGTGCAGCGATGGGTCCAGTAGTTGCTATTGGCAGCCTATTTAGCCCGGGAAATCCTGGAACTCCCGGGCCAGGCAACATAGTACCAGGCTGTTGACTTTGCTGCTGAAACATCGCTGTAGTGTGTTCTATTAATTGTTGATATGTTGATGGTACGTCCGGAACTGGTGGTAATATCGTTGTGCCAGCTGTATTATGAAATATTTGCGAGGTAAGAATCTGCCGAAGGTAAAAGTGCTGTAAAGTGGTGGACGATCTTATGTACCTTGAACTTCCGCATCCGTATCGTCGACGTTGGGCTTAGGATCGTTTAGATCAAGAATGTCGCTGATGTGAAAGCCAGATGTTCGATTTGATGGCATTTTCATGCTTTCGAGTAACCTGCAACGGAAAAAACGAATTCCACGTAAATTTGATTGGCCGGAAATATAAGCAGAGTGCATTCCTTCCTTCCTCTTTCTTAAGCCAAGAAGTTAAGACCCCACGCAGTGCACCTGACCTGCGCTCCCTGGGCGGTCCCAAAAAATATTGGTGGGAGGCCCGTCAAAGCTAAACGTCCTATTATCGCGAAGTGTTCCGTCAACGACGACGAATGCCAAGTGTGAAAGTTTGTTCTACCTAACTTTTTTTCTTTATTTTACTGCGGAGTAGAAGTTGAGAGTTGGCAAGATTTTTTTTCATAGACCGTGAGTAATGGGTAATTTGTGAGATCAAAGCTTTATAGCTTTATAACGTGATTTATCGCTGTGAAGATTGTGGCAAATAAAGAAAGTGAAGAAAAGTTTTTATAATGTAATAGTTTTATTTTAATAGAGGTCTACAACATAAAAAACTTTTCAAAATTCAGTATAGACACTAAAACTTCAACCTAAGCACAAAGATATAGTTATCGTAGATGATATTGTTTTCATATCTCCTTGCGAGTGTACAACAGATATACAGTATAAAGAAATGTTTCCATACCGTACAGTAACATGTGCTGTTGGACTTGTTCAGCAAGACTGAACCACATAGAAAGAATCATATTCGCAAGTGATAGGAAAGCAACTATAGATTATTGTAGGACAGTCAGAAACATGCTGATAAGATTTTCGTAAAGAATATAAAACAAGTACATTTATTTAGTCGCCTGCTTAACGTGGTAGTGAAAATTACCATTGTACAGACACGTAACAAAATAACTTTTTTAGTTTTAGTTTTAGTAATTATATTATTAGATAAAGCTTTTAGTTTGTATTCCAGACCAGCGAATAGGAAATCAATTTTCTCTGCTGGGTTGCAATATTATTTTTTAACTTGTTGCTATTTTGTAATATACGTATAGTACTCTGATTAATAATAAATAAATAAATAAATAAATAATGAATAAGTTCTTTCAGAAAGGTTTGAACATTAGTGTGGAATGTTTTTTTGAATTAAATTTTCAGAACTCATACTTTGTGTCAAATTTATCGAAGATTGCAGTCGTGAACAAAACCCATTACCACCACGCTACAGAAAAAGCTTTGCTTATACTCAATCGACCATAAGAAAAATTCCAAAGCTACCTTTCGGCAATTATTCGTGAGCGCTGTGGCGTGTAAGCCGTAAAATAAACAGCATTTTTGAAAAAAGATGGTGAGAAAAGACTACCGCATGAAACTAAATTAGGAAGTTCTGTAGCAGAGTTAAGAAAATCTTTTTCTGCAGATTAAGAATTACAGCAACCATTGTGAAGTGGCTAATAAGTGAGGTTAAGTGGGCTTTACGGCTTTACAAGTATTTCTAAAATTATTATTGATACTATAAAACTTCTATTTTGCATTAGTGTTTTTTTTAAATTTTATATTTTTGTACGTTCCTATTTCTTGTTTAGCTATTTGACTTCATTATTTATTTTTTATTTCGTCATAATAATAAAAGTGATTTACGTATAAAAATACCTGGTCAAATCTTAGTAAATAATTGGGAATAATTAAAGTATTTTTACCGACAATATTCAATAATTTATTTTGTATTTGCTGAAGTAGATTTGCTACTGTTTGATTTGCATTCCCCATGCAATTCTTACATAATTTAGTAAATCATGGATATATGCATAATACATGGTTAATAATATTTTAGTACTTCTAGTTTAAGTAAGCTTATAAAATATAAATATTAAATATTTGTATTTTGTTGACTATATTATTGATTACTCCATTTTAAGTTTTGATCACTTTGTTCTCAAACACATTGCAAGCCTCCGTCGCTGATTAGCACTGATGGAGCATAAATAGAGCGACGTTAAATTAAAAAAAAAAGTTTTGTTCAACTGTTACACTTATATATTTAATAGTTTCCACCCTCTTTAGTATTCTGTTTAGTATTCTAATTTCTATTTAGAATGCAATAAACTTGAGGATTTTTTTGCAGTGTTGTGTTTCCACAATTTTTATGCGGTAATAATAAATATTCATGTCACCGATTCCACGCCGCACCATGTCTTTAAAATTTCATTTCTCTTTACTTCCAAGTTTCACTTGGAACTAACGTTCAAACTCTACATATAAAAGTTTAATAATTTTGACAGTTAAAAAACCGTCCGAACCAACGATATTAATCAACAATCGCTGATAAGGGCACAATCGTTTCGTTATCGTTAAGTGACATCGCGACTAATGTGTAATAAATACGTTTCCTAAAAAATATAGCGCTGACGTTATATAATAAATGAATTATCAGAATGCGAAGAAAACCGCTTCGCACATCGCGACGAAAAAAAAAGATATTCGCGCTGTATAAATTACGATTTGATATTGTGATAACTTTTGTTGTTTTTATCGAGATTTGGTCGAAAAACGATTCCAAGAATAAATCATTTCTTTGTCACACAACATCTACTCGTAACGCGCTTGAAAATAGCAAACGTTAAAAATAAATATTTACCTAGTTTTAATCGCAAACTGACTGTACCAAAAATGGTTGAAAATACTAGCTGGATACGGCAGAAGCCAAGGTAGTAACTTGTTCTTATCAGCCATGACTATATTATTGTAGCTTTGCACTCGCGCACAAACAGCAACAATAAACAGGAAAAAAGGAACGGCAACCATTCGTACGTCCATGTAAGTACACTAAACTTTTCGGAGCAATGTCAGTAATACATGCTCTTGTCTATTTCTCACTCGACGCGTTCTCGACGAGCACTTCACAGCTAGTGGCATGTTCGCTTTCGTTTCTCTGTCTCTTTTTTTTCTAAGGGGCGGTAACGTGTATCCAACACTTCGGGGGGCGGATTCGAAAAGTTCCCCTACCCTGTTTCATACTACCCTCGCGTCACTAGTGACGCGGTTGGTGGGGAAGCAGTTGGTTGGTTTACAAAAGAAGAGACCCCAAGATAAGCCCTAGTGCTCCTTTTTCTTGTGCTTGCGAGGGCTTCTCGTCCTTCGAGCCGGAGTGCGTGGCTTGTTTCTTTGTTTGGTCTCTCTTTCTCTCTCAATGGCGGTTTCTCGTATTTACTTAGTTTTTCGAGTAGATTTCAATGGAGAATGAAACTCGGATACCCTCTCGAATTTTTTATTTACCCGTTCACGAACGTATCGATTGACCAACTATTTTATTCGATGATGTAGGGTTTCCTTTTTTTTATTTTTGTCGTCTGAATTCTTTTTCCTACGAAGGGATTTTCTTGATAAATTGCGACGCTCATTTGTATCGTCGATATAATGCTTACAGCATTGATGGGAAAGGGTATATATCTATGTTTAATGGTTTTTTAAAGGACTTTTAAGGTTGAAAAATGATTGTGAGAACGTACGCGAGAGAATTTATTATTTTCGTCTGATAATTGATAATCCTTTCTCAAAGATAATCTACCTTTAGAACAATACAAAATTTTTCTGAGTGATACAAATGCGATTAAATTGATTTTGAAACCGTCAAGACCTGTATTCGTAATTGACAAGAAAGGAATGGAAGCTTCCCAATAACTACTCAACGAATCAAATAGTCTCGTGAATGCATGTCGTGCAGACGTCACAAAGGAGAGTACCTCCTCCATCATCACCGGACTATACCAAAAGATGCTCACTCTCTAACGTCGGTCGAATGCGCAGGACATGCGCGCAGGCGCAACAACATCCAATGTCGATCTTTCCTGCAGAACCCGCCTCTCTTTTTGTCTACCTCCATGTACTCTTAGGCTACTTGTCCCTGAGAGTGCGTGAGGGGTTGCGCAATCTTGACGCTTGAGTAGTCTCCGTTCTTACTTTCTCTTTCGTCCATCCGATATCACGAGCTTTCCGGCGAAAATCTTTTTCAGGTTATAGATTTGATCCTCTTTTTAAATTCAACTCGGATACGCGCGCGTGATTCGTTTTTTTGAGAGTTGAAGTTTTTTATGGGAATACGTTTCTCCGCGCATTCTTTCCAAATAATGTTGCATTCGAAGCTTGCCGTTGTTGCGCTTCTAAAAATCAATTTGAATAGATACACAGTATCACTCGAATGTACCCTTACTATTGCTGAACGCTTTTAATATCTACTCGTTAAAAAAAAAATGCGTGTCGCACCGATACAGTTACCCACACACTTGTGTACTGCTCGCATTCTATTCAAAAATGAGCCACGAGGATCACGTGTCGACGATCGACTTTGTTTTGATAGCGCCGCCACCGTTGAAGATAAAAAAAGGAGTGAAAGGGCCAAGCCCTGCGTGTACTGCGTATAGATTCTTTGGCCGATGTCGCGTGTTTGCTTTCACTTTGTTATCCTAGTCGATGGTCCCCCTTCTTACTGCTGCTAATCTTGTTTTTACTTACATATATCGCTCGTACCGGTCCTGTAGTTTACAGTGGGGCGATGTACCGAAAGTATGAGCTCTTGTTTTTATTTGCGCAACGTGAGCTTTATAATTTTATATCCCGGGTGATGATTGTTGATAGACACTTTTAAGCATTTTAAGTATCTTTAATATGCACTTTTCTTAAGTTTCTACAATTTTATATATTATCTTATTGTTACTCCAAGTTTATTTACAATCCGTCTCACGTATAGAGACAATAAGCGAATGTTGTTACTATTAGACATATATATAATAACCAGTAGTATACTGTCTTTTTTTTTATTTATTTATTGTCGCATCCCCCCTGTAAGGGTATTAGCAACTCATATATACATATATTAATTACATTAAGTAGCAGAATTAATATTGGTTATTACATAAATAGCAGTTGTAATGTGGTATAAATTATTGTAGTTAGGTGGTTATATGTATAAGGAATTTACAATATATTCATGATTTTTGTTTCTTGAGGGAACTTGATAGTATTCTGGCATCGTAGAGCATTGTTGAGAAGATCGTTCAGGTTAATTTATTTGCTTATTGATTAGTTTACGTTTCTTCAGTCTGTTTAATGACT